AAATCATATGAGGAGAGACTGAAGAAATTAAGTCTTTTCACACTTAGTTACCGTAGTCACAGGGGAGACCTCATCACCGTCTATAAGATCCTAAATGACCAGGCCCATCCTAACAAGAGCATCCTGCCATTAAGTGATTATAGGCTTCCACGAGGTAACCCGCTAAGGATAGCACACCAGAGACCAAGGACTCGAGTGCGTTCACATTTCTTCTCGCTTCGAGTTTGCCGTCTCTGGAACGCTTTACCGGCGGCCGTAACTACAGCTCCATCTGTGGAGATTTTTAAGCGGAAGCTGGACAATCATGCAGAAATGCATGGTTTGTGTCTCAATGGCTTACCCTCTTAAAATTTGAAACCACATTGTCAATGGATAAGCATACAAGCTAAATCTTCACGACCCGTCCTGTCTTCTCCCACTGTACCGACTACTCTATCTTTCTTTCTTTATTATTTCACTTATCTCAACCTATATTATCTACACTACAACCTATTATTATCATTATCATTATTATTATTATTACTCTACTTTTATGACTATACCGAATGACCGACGGGTGTTAGGTCAAACTCCATTCACGGCAGCAGCTGAGTCCTAACATACTGCACACTACAAACCACAATCTTGACCAATCCTCGCATCACTCCTCCTGGAGTCTACCAGAGCTAAAGCAGTCGAGTGGCGGGATTTACTACGCATAAGTTCACCGAAGATCTGGAACCTCTACCTTAAAATCAAGAAGCGAGCTCAAAGAAATCACTGGTTTATACTAGCTCGTAATCAGGATATTGGATATTGGATATTGGATATTGGAATCTGATTGCGACACACTTAGCACACTGGTTGTAATGATTAGTGTTTCATGCTGAATGCGTCAAAACATCTCTACAATGAAGAAGATGGGGTAGTTGGGGGGGTAATGTCATCTACACAAATAGTTAATTTCTTGTAGAAGCTGCAGCTTTCGACATAGTGTCATTCAATGAAGACTACGTCAAAATGTGGCTATTTTCTTGTGAAGAACAGTACTATTTTACAAAAGAATGCTATCAGTACATGGGAATCACCTATAAATGCCAACAGAACGTAAAACCAATGTGTAAACGAACGGCTACGGAACTGCAATCCAACATAACCGACTAACATGGACGAAAATGACCTTTGAGCGTCTCACTACATCAATGACCTTGAGCATGCGGGATAATTTCAGCCCGATATTGGATATTGGACAATGAGTAAGTCCAAGGTCTCCCGCCCCGTTCGATTGTAACGTGTCAAGGTTGTTTTCTTCCTTAGTAAGCAATATTAGTCTGTAAAATTCTGTCTTGAGGGGTGAGAGTAAACATTCTTCTACATGATTGGGATTTAGGTTATTCATTGTAAGCAATGAAAATATTTTTGTAAGCTTTGTTAAAACTGTCGTCGTTTATACACATCATGCAGTGCGCTTCTAATTTCTAATACTATCTTTCTCCTCTTCATATAAATCATTGAAGTTAATACTTGTCATTCGTGCCTAAGTTATTACATTTAAACTTTGAAGTCGGTAGATACAACCGAATTATGTTATGCTGTAGTCGAACACTTCTCTGACAGCCACTATATCCTGTCATCAAATAAGGCTAGATGCAAGGTTAGCGCGTAAGTTGTCCATCTCTTCCAGTGAAAGACGTTATGGTATGAGGTGGTAATCAGCTTTTGGTCAATATCAACTGATACGTACGGTGTGCACATCCCGTCTTCACCAGGAAGAAATGTCGGCAGGACAGATTCTTTTTTTTCTTGGAGATTTTTGAATGTTGAAGCAGGGTAAAGTTAATGCCCCTCGCATGATTTGCAGTATGTACTGGGATTTTCACTCGGAAGGAATAACTTCTCTACTAACGTCATAAAACACACCGAGATTAAGGAATGTCTCATGATTCAGGGTTTGTACCGTTTGTTGATTTTCCGACGCTTCTGTTAGTTGTGAGCATAAGTTCTCTTTTAGAAGTGATGTGCGAAATGCAGCTTATTCAGAAAAGGAGATGTAGGTTTTCACATAGAAATGGATATACCCTAGTAACACGTCACAGTAGAGCAAGCTAACGTAGTTATTCTGTTGTATCCTTTGGAAATTAAGCTCAATATCCAAGAAGTGAATACAATTATGTGAATAGTCAGGACATCATTAATGGACTAATGGAACGGTAATGCGTTTTCTGATGGTGAAGTGTCCAAACACCCTCTCAAACTTTTGCTGCTAATGGTTGTTACATCGACGTTTTTTTTTTGATATTCAAGTCATACTTAGTGTCATGTCGAGCTTGTATGATAAATGCCCATGGTTATGTTTGAGATCAATAATAGGGCTTGAATTGAGACTTCCCCCGGAAAAGTTACGACCTAGGATTCCTTTAAACACTATTGCAGTGCTAAACTTTGCATCCTCAGTTGGGTGTCATGAAGTTTATAGGTTTCTGACAGATATTGGGGGGTAACAAGTGATAATTTTAATGGCTTCCATTTATGTAACCATCGTGTTCCTAAACTGTTTTGTCTCGATATGATTGTAGATGTGTATTTAGAAAATTCCCAAAGCTTACACTATCCAAACTCCTAAGTTGTTGTTACCGAGGTTACATAAAACATGGGGGCGATTACCACCACAATATGCGAATTGCTCAAGTTTGTGAGAATACCTTTAAGTTGTACTCTACGCTTCTCATGTGGTGAACTTTAGCTTATTTCCATGCCCTGAGTTACCAAGTATTAATCATTAGACAGAAGGCTTCATTTGAGGATTCCTGAATGATCTCATATAGTGATAAGAACAATCTGAATTGTTATTCATCAGGATTTGGTAACTTGTCGAGTCTTAAGTGATAAACTAGCTTCAAAATCAAATGCCTGCCGACCAAACCACATGTTAATCTAAAAACACTAACCGTTGTGACACTTAACATCTCTCATTGTTATTAACAATGCGTAAAAGTTTGATGTATGTTGGAGTGTTTCTCCCGAATCCATTTATATATGTAAGTTTTATTTTACCTTCCCAATCTGATCCTTGTGTAAGAGAATACTTTATTGGAGCAGATTGTACAGTTAAACACTACCTTCCACGTTTATTGTGACGTTTTTAATGAGTATCTTACAGCTTCACAGTAATATAACCTAAACGTTTTAACTCATGTTTCCGTAAATAGACTTTTTAGATCCTTTTGGATATAACTACCACTCGAAGAGGCTATAAAGTTACATAGATTGAGATGGTTAGGTCACGTGCTGCGTATGCCTAACCATCGTCTCCCCCGACGGGCATTACTAGCTGATATAGGTGCAGGTTGGAAAAGAGTAAGTGGTGGCCAAACAAAAACATGGCATCAATCCATGAAATCCCTGACAGTTAAACTGAGTCAGGTAGGGAAATGCAGACTTCCGGGTTGGGGCCCTCGGGACTCTAAGAATCAATGGCTGGAGACAATAGGTGACATGGCTCAAAATCGTTGTCAATGGCTTACGCAGATGTATTCAGTCTCTGTAATCTTTCATATTCCTTTCTACCATTACTCATTCTGTTTCACTCTTATACTTGTCAAAACTCTATTGATTCTCTTCATCACTCATTTTCTTGTCTACCTTTGTGTGCTATTTGGAACGTGGCAACTCGAACTGCTGCACTTCAGTGCCAAGTTCTATGTTGAATCCAGCAGCAGCAACTACCAGTCCGAGGTTTATCATTTAACTGCCCTGGTGTATACTTTAACTCATCAGTCGACTTAATAATAATTAACCGGTTGGTAAACACTTAATCACTTTTCCCCAATAGTAGACCTTATCACAGAATACTTACCCCTGGTACTAGTACTCATGTTTGGTTGAGCAGGTGTACACTATGATCGATTAGTTTAATAAATAGTTGTCACTTCGGTATTTCGAACTAGGAGATATAACTCTGATGACCATGATTCCTTAGATGAACCTCGGTTTGCAATGTGAAATCTCACATTTGTCACCTGTGTGCACATCTGACATTGAGCATTCTCCTAAACTTCGTATTTACAAACTATGCGTGGAACTGAAATTCTTGTGGTGGTCAACGAATAAAACTGGTAGTATCAGTTTCCTGTAGGTTCCAAGACAAACTTGTCGCCTTCAGATTCTTAATACTGGAGACTGATATTTCTTGACTTTCGTCTCAAAATACTGAACAATGATCATTAACATCCACTTGTAATTATTTTGGAACATTCTGGTTAGTGGCATCGAGATTCCTCGTGACATTAATTGTTTTCACATTCACTGTATCTAGAGTCAATTCGGGACTGACTCTTTCTCTTTGAATTGGATCGTAAAAATGAATTCAGAGAAGTTTGAGTTGTAGCAGTTTTTTCATAGCCGTATGTAATTATTATTATTATTGTATCCTTTAATTCCTAGAGGAACATAGGGCTTCAGCCGTGCGTCTCCATTGAGTTGGCTTCTCTGCTATAGTCTTCACCTGGCTTCATGTCTGCCCACACGTTTTCATCTCCTCTTCACATGACCTCCTCCAAGTCACCCTTGGACGACCAACTCGGCGCTTCCCTTTCGGGTTCCACTCAAGGGCTTGTCTAGTGATGTCACTTGATGGTTCCCTCAGAGTATGGCCAATTCATCTCTATTTCTTCCTGTCTATTTGTTTCACAATCGGTTCCTGGTTAGTTCGCTCATTGCCAGGGATCCCTGTTGCGGATCTTCTCTGGCCATCTGATCTTGAGTATTGAGCGAAGACAACTGTTAATGAAGGTCTGTAGTTTGTTTGAGATGCTCTTTATGACGCGTAATGCAAGTCTCTGATCTGTGTAGTAGCACTGACTTCACATTGGAGTTGAAAATCCGGATCTTATTTTCATTTTCATTCTGAGTGCTGTTGATCTCCACACAGACTTGAGAGTAGTGAAAGCTTGTCTTGCTTTTCCGATTCTTGCTTTGATATCCTCGTCAGTTCCGCCTGTAGTTGAGACGATGCTTCCCAGGTAGGTAAAAGAGGTTGTTTCTTTCAGGTTCCTCCCATTTATGCTGATTGTTGTCTGTTGTTGTTGTTGCTGTTGGCCAGGAATCTTCATTACCTCTGTTTTCTCTATGTTCACCTGAAGGCCTATCTTTGATGCTTCTTCTGCTAACTTGTTGCTTTTCGCTTGCATATCTTCCAGTTTGTGGGAAATCAGACATATATCATCGGCGAAGTTCAGATCCTCCAAGTTTTTTGTGTGAGTCCATTTTATGCCTGTTTCCTCATTACCCGCTGTCTGTCGCATTATCCAGTCCACTGCAATCAGGAAAATCATTGGTGATAGTATGTAATACATGTAATAAAAGTGACCTCATACCATGCATACCTTCGTTTTCTGATGATTTTAGACATTAATCTGCATTTATTTTATTTTTGGTTTTTTATCTTCTGTTTAGGATGTCAATCTATCGACTAAATATTTCACTTGCAAAGTTTTGCCCAACAGTACCGTGTAATGCCGTCAACATTGACAACCCCAAGTTCGTCGTTTAAGAAGTCAAAATATACGTTATTTCTCATCGACGGGTGCACTTATAATTTATATCTGAGGTGAAATTTCATTGTAAAATAATTCAAATGTCTAAACTGTGGCCTATTTCGAAAACCTCTAAGCTTATTCCTCATTGGTGGATCCCGTTTAGTTCACCTTTATCTTGTCGTCACTTTTCTGTGAATATAACGCCGAGTAAAAATGTTTTCGCGGTAACTGGTATTCAGTCAAGTGGAAAACCTCATCTTGGAAATTATCTTGGTGTTATTAAACCATGCATTAAATATTGTCGTAACAGTGATGTATCACAGTTTTTTATGATTATAGCTGATTTACACGCTCTTACATCACAAAATTGTGCAACCTTAGAGCATCAAATTCATGAACTTGCAGCAACTCTACTTGCCTGTGGATTTGAAAGCAAATCTTTGAAACAGCTCATGTTTTTACAGTCGTCTGTAGCTGGTCATACTGAACTAGCGTGGATTCTGTCGTCAGTATGTTCCTTTCGTGTAAGCTAACTGAGATTGAGTTTTTATTAAGTTGGTATTTCATGTGTGTTTCTATTATGTTATTCTTCTGTTTTTATGTGTCACAGTAAATTAAGTTAAGTTTGAAAGTAGTTGTAAGAAACATTACGAACGCTAGGTGTAGTGTTTCGCATAGATGTGAATGCCCAATAGAGCACTAGTTAGTACTCTGTTTTTTGGAGTCAGGAGAATATACTCTGCGGTCAAATTAGAGAAAGAAATTCTGATTCTCGAAAAGATATTGAAAAACAACAGTTACTCCCAGAAATTATTGGAAGATGTGAAGGCTCAAATGCCAAACAAATCACAATGGAAAAAGCCTATCTTCAACTCGATTTTAAGGGTGATAATATGGCAGGAGTAGTCAACAGAAGATTGAATATCTCACCAGCCAAGACCCATTCTGCAGTTCGCTGGACAACATGTCCTTTGGTGCAGTCGAAAGTCGATAGATACCCTTCTCATGTCAACTCCGACTGTGTATACTGATTGGCATTTATTTGTGATAACAGTTACATTGGGAGAACAGAAGGAAGGGCACACCTCCGATTTTCTGAACATGTACCAAAAAGCGTACGTCTTAAGGGAACTAGCGCTTACAATAGTGCTGTTGCCAGACATCTCATCAATACGGGTCATAAGAGGTGGACATCGCGAAATCCTTCAAGATTGTCAGTGGACATAATTGTTCAGTTCTCCTGGATCTTGCAGACACAATCGACATCAAACGCCTGAAATCCGATTTATGTGATCAGAAAGAAGCAGTTATCCGCGTTTCCTCGCCCTGGTAACTTGATGTCTTTATTCTCTCCCATTTAATTGCGTAATCCTTGGCTTTGACCTCTGCCCGCTTTAAATATAGTGTAACTTTGCTTGTCTCTTGTTTCTATGATTTGAGTTGAACTCACTGTTATTTAATTCACTAGTTGGTCATCAACGCTTGTATAAATGGCATAGATGCAACTTTCTGAGCAGCGTTTACTAAGTTTGGAGCCACCTCCTGTCAAGTGACATCATGTAACACTTGCAAGTATTTTGAAATTGTTCTGTAGATAAACTTAATAATTTCTCTAGGCTGTATGCAGCTGATGAGAAGCCAACAGATTGAATGATGGTTTCATCTTATTCTACCGAATTGTTGTTTTTGCCTTTTTGAAACTACGTTATTTTATAATGTCGATTGTTTGTGCTTAGCACACTACCTTTATGATATACTTATGTATGGAAACTAGGTGTAGTACATGTAGTGTTTATGCAAACTGGCTAAAGATGAAGATAATATCAAGATATTCGGGGTAATCAGTGGCTGTTATATTTGAGTCATGTTGTGGATTTTATGAAGCAATAGTCATAAATAGCATATAAACTTTGTTTTTTGGAGAGATCCAACTGATGACGCTAAATAGCACTAGTGATTACAGTTGCCAATAAAATGAGTGCATATATAGCATCATAGAGTTATGCTTGCTCTCTCGATTGCCATTTATGATATCAGGGGGATCACATATTTTGATGTGAATAATTTCGGTTTCCATAGGAAATCGTGTTGATTTTATCAGGAAGAGTAGTTGTGTGCTTGTCGCTTGGTTGTTTCTCATTGGATCACGCATTCTTGTACTACATTACGTAACTGAATTACTCTCAATTTGTTTAAGTGTAGGTCAAAATTAAAAACACTACTTATCATCCCGTAGCTGATCATTTTCAGTGTAAAGTCATATAAAGTAATAAATGGTGTCTTAAGTATGCCATGCATGAAGGTGCAATCATAATAGGATAATTTTAGTTGATAAAGCGCAGTGATATAGTATTGTTTATTTACTGATGACATTTCAAGCACAGTTTAATACGCCATGATGTCAAATTAATCACATAATTTTCTGATTTGGTATGTTATTTCTTATTGTTTAATTTTATTGATTAGTGTTTGTGTATTGTCATTGCATTACTTTTGTCGCATGTTCGATGTATTGATTAGGTTAGGAAACATTTAGTGTGACCATCTTCCTCCCCCCCCCCCATTGAACTGTATAACCCTTTAGAACTGTAGCTCTTTCTCAATCTATTGCATAATTGTGCGGTAATGCATGCAAAGTCGTTTCTAAGTTAGTTATCTTCTCCTGGTTTATCATTCTACAATTAACTGAGTTTCTGTATTCTGACAACCAGGAAGAGGGTGTGTTGATCATATCTTCACTCTTCAGCAGATTCTGGAACACAGGCATACCTACCGGAGTCCAACAATCGTCATATTTCTTGATTTTAAGGCGGCATTCGACTCCGTCGGCCGAGAGGTATTATGGCGATGTTTGGCTGTGAAGGGAATGCTGAGAAAGTATATTGCACTGATCAAGGCACTCTACTCGAATTCATGCAGCCGGGTGAGAGCTTACGGAGAGTTGTCATCTGAAGTGATGACAACCAGTGGTGTCCGTCAGGGATGCTCACCACTATCCTCATTTCTGTTTAATTTCATCACATATGTACTAATGGACTTCACGCTAACTGACTTCAGCGACTCAGGGATTGACTTGTTACTATTAGAGAATAATCTCGTTGACTTAGAATATGCGGATGATATAGTCCTTCTAGGTGAAGATGCTAACAAAATGCAGAGTCTTCTGAACACCTTGAGTTGCAATCTTCGAATGTTTGGCGTACAAATTGCTCCCGTCAAATGTAAGATGATGCTACAGGACTCATAGCTTAGAGATGGAGAGTGAAGTGGTAGAGCGTGTTGATTACTTCAATTATTTGGGAAGTTGCATTAGCCAAAGCCAGCGGGTTGATTGTTGACGAAATCTCAGCGTGGCTACCGAAGGCTCGTTTGGCATATGCCAACATACCCCATCTCTGAATTAGTAGATATCCGGCTATCGACCAAAGGGCGTGTGTACTGCTTAGCAGTTCGTTCCATCCTCCTAAGACAGCCATTGAAAGTGGAAGACATGAAAAGGCCAGCCAGGTGTCTTTGATCATAGGTGTCTGCGTTCTATCTCTCGTGTTAAGTGGTAATATAGGGTGAGCAATATTGAGGTTAGGCTTCGGTCGAGTGCTAGGTAAGGAGTGGAAATCAGCCGACGAGGCTGTGAAATTACACCAATTGAGATGGTTAGGATATGTTTTACGTATGTCTAGCCATCGCCTTCCTCGATGGTCAGTGTTCGCTGACATAGGATCAGGTTGGAAAAGAGCCAGTGGTGGTCAAACTAAAGCATGGCATCAGTTAATGAAGTCCACAGCAGTTAGCTTAAGCCACATAGGGACGTGTAGACTGGTTGACTGGTTAAAGTCCTCGGGATGGCAAAAACCAATGGGTGGAGGCAATTGGTGATATGGCTCAAAGTGGTCGTTGTCAATGGCACAGATGCATTCACTCCTCGTGGTTTATAATATCCAATAGAATTTTATTGTTCTTCCATATTGATATTCTTTTTGCCTCATATTTCTGTCTATTATCTCTATTTTGAATCTCTCTCTTTACTCTCTTTCTCTTTGTGTGCTACATGGGGTGTATCAACTCAAACTGGTGCACATCTGTGCAAAGTTCTATTTTGAAACCAGTCAGTTAACCTAGTCGATCGATGCTGATTGGATGGTTCTGATCTGTGTACTTGAACTAATAATTGCTGTAGGGTAAGCAGCATTTCACGCTGTTCGTTTAACAGTCATACCGTAACAGGAGTAGACAAGAGACTTGGCAACGGAATGCTTATTCGCAATTCGATGTACACATATTGGGAAATTATGCCCACCTTATATGAAAATCGTCATTTACATAGATCTTTTGTGCTGCTTTACTTCTGCCCTTCATATTCTTTTTCTTTGTCTTCCTTTTTCACGCCTCCCATATTTGGCTACAATACTGGTTCATTCCCTCTCTTTGACGTCAAATCTCTTTCTTCCCTATTGGGTGCTTTTTTACCGATGAATGTCTCTGTAAGTACTACTGATAAATCTTGTCAGTAAGACGCGCCACAATAATACAGTAACTATACAATATGTACGTACTAAAGGATCAATATTGGAATATTCGTAGTTAAGTCGATTGAGGTGGCTAGGACACGTGTTACACATACTGAGCCATCACCTTCCAGGACATTCAATGTCAACCGACATCGGATTGAGTTGGAATAGGGTTTAGAGTGGTCAAACGGAAACCCGGCATCAGTTCATGAAGCCTTTGATAGTTAGCTTGAGCCATGTAGAAGCGGGTGTAAACTTGTTAGTTGAAACCGGAGACTGTAGCCGATGTGGCTCTTAATCGTTCTCAGTGCCGCAGATCTCCTATATTCACTAAACGGCTATGGTTTCACACGTTCCTATCCTTCTTCTTATTATAATAATAATTATTATTCTTCCATCTTTTTTTCTCTTTCTCTACCCTTATGTGCTACATGGAGTGTGGCATCTTGAACTACCTCATTTGTTTCGAAACTTTTATGTTAAAATTCCGCCAGTCAGTCATTTGCAGTTACATTAGAGCCTTCATAGACCATCGTGTGAGATGTTCATATGGAGTGGCTTTCAGCTAAGTACAGCTGTAAAACAAGGTCTTCAAAAGTGAAGAATCTGCCCCCCGAGCTTCATATTTTCATTTATTTTTCCTTTGATATCAGCTAATGTCTAAATAAGTCAGAAGATATACCGAAATAACAAGTTTTCACAATGGTTTCTTTTTTCCCTAACTAGAGATTAGCTCATTTACCTCAATGGAGAGAAAAGTCTGGATACTATAACACAGCATCCAATGTTCCCGTGACTGATGATCGACAAATAACTGACGTGTGTGATACTGTCTCTGTCGGTTTATTTACATATCCTGTTTTACAAGCTGCCGATATACTTCTTTATGGAGCAAATGTTGTTCCAGTTGGTATTGATCAGATAACTCATATTGAATTGGCACGTGACTTGGTTCGATCAGCTGTACAGAAATGGCCTTCCTTATCTTCTATTCTACAAATTCCAGATAGTCTTATATTCGAGACACCGAAAGTGAGTTGTGTAACAACTTTGTATTGTTCAGTTTTCTGGTTTACTGACCTATGCATTTGAATTTCAACCACCGGGTTACAGATTCAATCCATTGCTCTATCTAGCTAGGTTCAGGCTGCCATTTAGCGTTACTAGTCGTCACATTACATGTGTATTGAGCTGTTTAACCTGCACTAATCATCTATGGATGTATTTCAGACTATCTCAGTGATTTCGATTGGACACTAACTAGTCGTATGCGTCTAGTCCTTTGTTTGGTGCAGACTGAATTCTACCAGTCAAGTTTGCGATGTGGTCACCATGCTACGTGACTCGCTATCAGAGTGTGCTGTAAACTATTGTTATTAGATGGTTGGAGGCAGTCGGAAGAAAGCCTTACTTGACTTAGGATTCGTGCTTGTTGGAGCTCGTCATCGAAGTGTATCTGCAATCATGAAGGAATTCATATCCCTCCTGATATTTGAACTCCGTATTGCAATTAGAGACGTTACCACTGAGCTATTCGGGCTCGTAATTCACCTCCTGTAGGACTGTACTGAATACTTTGGTTGGATGATTGGTTGCTGACGAGTGCCAACAAGCACCAAACAGAGGTCCATAGCTTCCTTCCGATTGCCTCCACCCACTCTTATAGGAATATTTCACTTATGTTAGGTGAATGATAGGTGAGTGCTGGCAGTGAATTCTAGGACGCCCATTTTTCATACTGAAGACTCTTCAAATGGTGGATGTGCCTAAAAATGGTGATACTCTCACTGAGATTCGAACCGAGCATTCTTCGTTTCAAATGGCAAGGTGTTATCCTGTGGACACTATTGATTCACGAGAGCCCCACCTGTTGTACAAACGGTACCAGTTGTTATTTGTTGAAACACGTAGATTTTTCATTGTTTATTTTCTCTGGAACAAAGTTATTGGTCTTTATTCTAGAAAGCCCTATTCTAACAGAGTTTGATCATTTTAGTTCTATGAAAATTTGCAACTTTCAATAAACATATCTACTATAGTGCTAATGTTATACGTAAATCAAAGACTGACTAACCTCTGTGTGTGTGTTTGTGTAAATAAGCGATTTATAGTTTTATTCCTACCTGATTTGCACTCATTATCGTGTAATGACAGAGGACAAGGGTCAGGCAACAGATCGTTTATTGAGAAAATCAACAGATATTTATAGATTTTTATATACATTATTATTCGTTATTGTTAGCAGAGAAGCAACGTCTTCTGACTGGTTATTCTGTCATCTCTTCGGGGTCACGAGATATATCTGCGAATCGTATTTGCACACGCTAAGTCTGCTGTGATTGGTTGTTGAGTTAGTCTTTGTTCTTGTTTTTTTCTCATGACCAAGATTTGGGACGTAAACATTCACGTAAATTGCTGTCTACGAATTTTGGCTAGCAGACAGCTCTCACCACAATTGTACTTGTTATGTCAGGCTGCGGCTAGTCCTCTGCATTAACGTACTCCTCAACAGTCGTGCTTTACAACTCCATTCCTCACGCATACTCAACAACTAATATGACAGGAGAAGACCTAGCAGGATAACTAATGTATCATTCATCCATTCCCATGACAACTGGGCATGACCCGTGTTGATTGCAGTAACATAACGATCTAGTTAGCAATGGGGTCTGGTAGCTCAGTTGGTAGAGCAACGTCAAACTGGGCTCGTCGGTAGTTCAGAGACCGCTAATTCGAATCCTTTTGCGACTCAGATATTCATTTCACCTACAATAATCACCATTCACTAAATCAACTAATGTATATTTACGAATCTTGTCTGATTGGTTTTTACGTGTAATTAGAAAGTAATAAGAGAATGTTAATTGATATGCACATATTCCTCAAGTATGTAACATACTTGGTTTGTTTTTAAGTAAGTAAAACACAATATGAGCTGCGAATATTCTGAGTAAAAGCATATTTAATCTTATCAGTTTATCTATGTATGGCAGTAAGTGGTAAAGCGGGATTCCCAGCCGGTGGTAACTGAAGCCTGAATAATGATCCCTATTTCATGCTTCCTGTCTAACGTACTCCCTATTTGTGAATCCCAGGACGCGCATTTCTTCAGTATGTCATCAGCTTTTTACATAATCGATGTGGTTCATTACCAAGTGTGCTGTTGTAGGATGACTTCGTCTCATAATATGACTAAGGGAACCGACATTTGAAACAGGCTTGGAAAAGACCATTCAGTCAAACTGTTCAGCGAAGAGACTCCTGTCGGTGAATTAACTCATGTAGCTGCTTTCGCTAACTTACACCATCTCTGGCGTAGGCGTGACATCCGACTATCAACCAAGGGACGTGTGTACTGCTCAGCAGTTCGCTCGGCCCTTCTCTATGGCTCTGAAACATGGCCAATACAAGTTGAAGACATGAAAAGGTTGACTGTTTTTGATCATAGATGTCTACGATTTCTTTCTCACGTTAGGTGGTATAATAAGGTAAGTAATGTTGACGCTAGGCGTAGAGTGTTGGGCAAAGAGGGAAAATCAATCGACGAGGCTATAAAGTTACACAGATTGAGATGGCTAGGCGACGTGCTGCGCATGCCTAACCATAGCCTCCCCCGATGGACGGGCATTACTAGCTGATATAGGTGTAGGTTGTAAAAGAGTAAGTGGTGGCCAAACAAAAACATGGCATCAATACATGAAATCCCTGACAGTTAAACTGAGTCCGGTAGGAAGATGCAGACTTCCGGGTTGGGGCCCTCGGGACTGAAGAATCAATGGTTGGAGACACTAGGTGACATGGCTCAAAATCGTTGTCAATGGCTTACGCAGATGTATTCAGTCTCTGTAATCTTTCATATTCCTTTCTACCATTACTCATTCTGTTTCACTCTTATACTTGTCAAAACTCTATTGATTCTCTTCACTCATTTTCTTGTCTACCTTTGTGTGCTATTTGGAACGTGGCAACTCGAACTGCTGCACTTCGGTGCCAAGTTCTATGTTGAATCCAGCCAGCCAGTGTACACACAGTCTGTCAAACGTAGCAGAAAGAGTTAACACAAATTAGTTTGGGATATTGCTCACATCATCAAAATATTTCAGAACAGGGACGACTTATCAAGGCAATGAAGGTTAGTAACTTCAGACTGAAAGTTGTGTAACACGCAAAATAAGTTATTATTATTATTGTTTCCTTTAGTTCCTAGAAGAACATAGGGGCTCAGCCGCACGTCTCCATTGCGGTTCGGTTCTCTGCCAACGTTTTCACCTGGCTCCACGTCTGCCCACATGCTTTCATCTCCTCTTCACATGACCTCCTCTATGTCACCCCACCCTCCCACTGACAACCAACTCGCCGCTTCCCATTCGGTTTCCACTCGAGCGATGGCCTGGCGTGTGATGTCACTCACTTGATGGCTTGTTTTCTCAGAGTATGGTCAATCCATCTCCATTTCTTCCTGCATAAATGTTGCATAATTGGTTCCTGCTGTGTTGGTTCGTTCATTGCCAGAGATTCCTGTGTCTGATCTTTTCTGACCGGCTATCTGATCTTGATTAATATTGAGCGAAGACAGTTGTTCATGAGGGTCGTAGTTTGTTGGAAGTTCCCTTCGTGACGCACCAAGTCTCTGATCCGTATAGTAAGTAGCATTGACTTCACATTGGAGTTGAAAATCCGGATCTTATTTTTCATGTTGAGTGCTGTTGATCTCCACACAGACTTGAGAGTAAGGAAAGGTTGCTTGCCTTGCTTTCCTGATCCTCGCTTTGATATCGTCGTTAGTTCCATCCTCCTGTAGTTGAAACGATGCTTCCCAAGTAGGTAAGTAAAGGAGATTGTTTCTTTCAGATTTCTCCCACTTATGCTGGCTGATGGTTGTCTGTTGTTGTTGCTGTTGCTGTTGTCCAGGAATCTTCATCACCACATCTGTTTTCTGCATGTTCACCTGAAGTTCTATCTTCTCTGGATGCTTCTCCTACCAACGTGTTGCTTTTCACTTGCGTATCTTCCAGTTCATGGGGAATCAGACATATCATAGGAGAAGTCCAGATCCTTCAAGTATTTTGTGTGTGTCGATTATGCCTGTTTCCTCGTTGCCCGGCCTGCTGTCTGTCGCATTATCCAGTTTACCGCAATCAGTAAAATCATAGGAGATAGTAGACAACCAGTTTGTCTTACTCCCGTCTTCACTTCGATGGATTCCGTAAGTTTCCCGTTGTGTATTACTTGGCATGCAGCAGTATCGTTCAACTGTTGGATGAGACGTGTAACTGTTGGCCGCACCCCGTAGTAGCGAAGTGGTTCTCAAACCACCTCTCGGTCGACGCTTTCGAAAGCCTTTGCAAAGTCGATGAAGTTGAGATAGAGAGCTGATTGCTATTCCAAGCTCTGTTCAATGATGATACGTAGTTTTGCGATTTGATCGATACATGACTTGTTCCTCCTGAATGCAACCTGTTCCGGTCGAAGTTTCTCATCCAGAGCATGTTTGATTCTCTCCAGGACGATGCAGCTTAGTAACGCAAAATAAAAGTTCAGAAAAATTGAGTGTTAATGAAACAGCCTAGAGGTAATTACCAAAACATGTTATGCGACTGGTAAATTGATATTTATGTGTTATAACAAAAATGTGAAAAACTTTTCATAATAATTAAGCTTAGGATTTTATCCAATGTAGAAAGAGGATGTTTAGAAGTTTCTTTGTGTATGCATAAATCAGGATTCTCTATCCAAATACCTAAGGCCTTGGGCTTTTATTCTTTAACGTCTCCGACTGTAACACTGGGTGATGCGGGTTCAAATCCCAGAGGGGCCATGACTTTCTTCAAAGTTGCAGTCACGCCTTGTTGACTGGTGAGTGCCAACAAGCACGAGGCCTAGATCAAGTAATTAGGGCTTCCTGCTGATTGCCTCCGACCAGTATGCGTATATTTCCGATTGTTGTATGGTTAGGCGGTGAATGAATTCGCGGAAAATCACCTCTTTCTCCGGTAAACTGTTTGTTCTTATTTTGAAACTGGAACATTTAAGTTGATGAGTTTGCAGAAATATATATAATGTGTTTACTTCATGATTGCTATCTTCGACTATCATTTCATTCTTTTGACATGTTTTTTTTATTGTTATTTTGCCAATTTTTAAAACCAGATAACCGATTTAAGAAATCCAACTAAGAAGATGAGTAAATCAGATACATCAGAATTTGGGATTGTCTATCTTACAGACTCTCCAGATGCTATTCGTAAAAAGATTAAACGTGCTGAAACTGACAGTATCCGAGGAATTAGTTATGATATTGTAGAACGTCCTGGTGTATCGAATTTATTAAGAATACTAGCTGCTATTGAGGTAAGTATACGTGAGAATTGAATATCACAAAAGTAGTTTGGGGATGAGTATGACTTCTTGCTTCATTGTATATTTGTCCACAAAGAACTTTTTCCAGTTAGCGACAGTGGTTCTTTATACTGAGTTAAATTCATATTAGTTTGTTTATTAGATATATCACACAGTGAAACAGTATTATTTACTGGATGACAAGGTTTCGAACAAAATTTATTGTTCATAATCATATCAATTGTTATCACACGACTTTGAAACTCGAGTTTTATAGTTTTCTTTGTTCTCTCCTATTTGTCGTCATTCGGGTAGTAGAATTTTCCAGATATCGGGGATAGGTGATGAATCATTCCTATTACACGTATTCCCTCTCAGTTGATTCAATAAACAAAGCTTCTGTTATCAATCTCTTCCTATACCCTGTGACATTAGATTTTAATACTGTCATCCTATCCCATCCTATTGTATGGTTGTGTGTAACTGCATGTAGTGCTATAGTTGAACTATTCTCTAGATTTCTTATCTTATTCCGGTCAACCAATGTAGATTTCGCTAAGTTTTTATGTTCAGCTAGTCTGACTGCCCCTGTTCTACTAGTTTGACCTACGTATTTGACCTGACAATCATTGCAGGGTATTAGATAAACTAAATTGTTTTGTTTTAAAGGCTCTATAGGATCCTTTAACCGACAAAGCTTGTTTCTAATTGAGTTTGTGGGTTTGAATGACAGCCACTTTTATTTCTGCATTGTTAAGAATTCTCCATAAGGCGGTTTCCGAGGTTCCTTCCTTGTATGGAATTACTGCTGATGATATAATATAATATAAAAATATTAATGACGACACCAACAATAAGGAATCTAAATCATCAGTAGTAATTCCATACAAGGAAGGAACCTCGGAAACCGCCTTATGGAGAATTCTTAACAATGCAGAAATAAAAGTGGCTGTCATTCAAACCCACAAACTCAATTAGAAACAAGCTTTGTCGGTTAAAGGATCCTGTGGAGCCTTTAAAACAAAACAATTTAGTTTATCTAATACCCTACAATGATTGTCAGGTCAAATACGTAGGTCAAACTAGTAGAACAGGGGCAGTCAGACTAGCTGAACATAAAAACTTAGCGAAATCTACATTGGTTGACCGGAATAAGATAAGAAATCTAGAGAATAGTTCAACTATAGCACTACATGCAGTTACACACAACCATACAATAGGATGGGATAGGATGACAGTTTTAAAATCTAATGTCACAGGGTATAGGGAGAGATTGATAACAGAAGCTTTGTTTATCGAATCAACTGAGAGGGAATACGTGTAATAGGAATGATTCATCACCTGTCCCCGATATCTGGAAAATTCTACTACCCCAATGACGACAAATAGGAGAGAACAAAGAAAACTATAAAACTCAAGTTTCAAAGTCGTGTGATTACAATTGATATGATTATGAACAATAAATTTTGTTCGAAACCTTGTCATCCAGTAAATAATACTGTTTCACTGTGTGATATATCTAATAAACAAACTAATATGGAATTACTTACTACCACAGTGCCCAAGTTTTACACATATATTAATGAGGTAAATTCAGCACATGGAGAGTTCTTCAATGATTCTCTTGGACCGTTCCACTAGGATAGGACTACTTTTTAATCTTTAGTGTCGTAGACTGACATTTATCTCATCCGATTCTTGCTTAGGAGGCTATTAATTAATTATTGACGAAGTAGGAATTTCGGGGTAAAATTTAATCACTGGCTTGCTTTAGATTCCTAAATTATATTCAAATCGCAATATCTAATGTGCAAGAGCCTCGTCTGCGGTTTAAATCACTAGTTCTGGTTCTGGTTGGCTAGCATTGTTGGTTGCATTGAATGGTTTCCAACTATTCGTTTCAGTTATTTCATTTGCCCCTATTGAATGGTTAGTCGGTTATAATTGTAAGATTTGTGTACTGCGGAACAATTCTCTCTATCCTTCTTTATGGCTATGAAAAGTAGCCTTTTAAAATGGGATGTTTGAAGAAGCTAGCAGTCTTTGATCGAGTTCTATCTCTCATGTTAAGTGGTGTAATATGGTGAGCAATATTGAGGTTCGGAGTGTAGTATTAGGCAAGAAAGGCAAGTCAATCGATTGAGATGACTGCGACATGCGACGCATCCTAATTTCTTGCCTTCATCGTCGAGCATTTTTTTTCCTTCAAGTTCCCAGTGGAACATAGGGCTTCAAGCTAGTCGCTTGAAGTTTCTGTAGCAGTGTTTATTTTACAGGTTGGGATTGCTAGCCTAATGCCCAACTTTTCCTCTTCATCATCATTATTTCTGGCTTAGCGAGGTAAAGGAGTGCGTCGTTGGCCGGGGATCGAACCCCGGACCATGTGAATGGTCGGCGAGCGTCCTAACCGCTGTGCTACCGACGCGGTCGTCGAACATAGTTAACCGATATAGGGTTAAAGGTAGTCAAATCAAAACCTGACATAAATCCATGAAACCTTTGACTGTCTATTTTAAGCTACTTAGTGAGGTGGGTGGGTTCGTCAAGAGGCTGATAACCAATAGCTTGAAACTGCTAGTGACATGGATCAAAATGTTTCACTATGACGCAGATGCAACCGCTCTTTATACTCTTCGAGATCCATGAGATTCTCATTCTTCTCTCTCCTATATATATAGTGTGACAAATTGCGGAGCTTATGTGTAAAGTGGCTGAATGGTACACGAGCTTTCTCTGTAACAGAAAGGTTCTGGGTTCAAACCCCAGTGGGTGCGTGCTGCCGATGATTCCCAAACTAGGATGAAACAGCTGTCCAGTACTCTGGTGCTGGTTTTCAATGGTTCTCTAACTGATAACAATCCGTGATCAATTCGTAAAGTTCTACGCTGAAAAGTCAGTTAGTTAGTTAGTTTGTAATTGTTCGTAATTGCATAGCTGCTGCAGAGCTGAATGTAGCAGTTAAAAGTGGTGGTGAATAACTGATTTTATGTTGCTTGATTAATGGCGGCTACCAGTGGAGTCTCCAAGACGCACAGTTCGTCTCAAAAGCGACACTCATCCGTTCATGAGTCAAAGTATTATCCACTATGCTAATGCGTCAGTTTGTTCTAATTTTCAGGATTTTTAATTCTCAAGTAGCTTTGTAAGCAATCAGTTAGCCGACTGTGAATAGTGTTATTTATTCGCTGGGCTTCTAACTGTCTTGAGTAATTAGGAAAACTTTTTGTGTTTGGGAATTTAGTTTTTATCCAAAAAGTAACTATCTATACATTTCGACTTTGGAGGATTAGAAACTATCATTAGATCTGAAATTTATGTCTCATTTGTAAGTTGATGTCTACAATGTAGTTCTGGTAGATTTAGGACTACATAGAATTCCACTGACTAGATAATTCATTAAGCAATTCCCACCGTACATTGATTAGTCTCTAAGGCGAAGGCAATGTCATGCGTGTCTAGTTCTTGATATTGATGCAGACTGAATTCTATCAGTCAAGTTTACAGTGTGTGGTCACCAAGCTAGGCGACTCGTCACCTTGGTGCCCTCTGAATCGATGTTACCCGGTTGAAGGCAGGTAACCCTTGTTATGGTCCTGAATTTCGAATTTCAGAGATGACAACAGTTCATTATAATAAAGGTTTTTGTATTTCCCAATGAATGAAAAGCAAAACGATATTGTTGTGTTTACTGACGTTTCCCTATTTAATGCTGCTAATAGCTTTATCAAAGTATTATTAAACCGGAATTTACAAAATCTCACCATATATATAACAAAGAGTTAGGGGGTGATAAAATAGAGAGAAATCCCGTTGAACTACAAAAACTTGAAAAAAAATAGCCATAGGTTATAGAATCAGGCCACAAAATTGATTTTGACAATATTGAAGTAATCCAGAAAAACTTCAGAAATCACAAAGAACGTCTGATATCAGAAGCACTTCATATCAAGTGGAATCAAAATTGCCTGGATTGGAATGATGGACTAAAACAGAATCTGACCTGGTTACAACACCTCCCTCCCCCCATCAAGTGACAAAATCAACACGAATGTGATATGCAAGTTCACTATGTAAACACACACTACTTTTATAATTTTACACACCGATCAAATCCAACAATCCACACTTGATTTTGTTATCTTTACCAATTGACCAACTTGACAACTAAAAATGACCCCAGACAGACGAACGATGATCAAATTAGTAAACTTTGTTTTGATATCATAATAGATGTACTATTACCTTTGTTATTTGGTTTAGTGATATTCATTGCTATTTTTACTTTCAATATGTCCTTTTAACTTGACCTAAGTCTATTTTCTCACCCCCTAACTCTTTGTTATATATATGGTGAGATTTTGTAAATTCCGGTTTAATAATACTTTGATAAAGCTATTAGCAGCATTAAGTAGCGAAATGTCAGTAAAAAACAATATCGTTTTGTTTTTCATTCACTGGGAAATACAAAAACCTTTGTTATAATGAATATCATATACCCAATGCCCAAATTTTTTCAAACCGTTAGAAGTGAACTTGGTTTGGACATCTATGACAACAGTGCCTTCAAAAGTGTAGATACGCTTCGCTGACGAGTGCCAGGAAGTAGGAAATTTAGGTCCAAGGCTTCCTGCCAATTGTTGTATACCATCTAACAATCGCCTCTGTGTTTAGCTATAATTATCTTCCTGACGCTTGCATTCAAATTCTAAACAGTCTTTTCATGGAAAAAGACCCGATGGTTGTATGTATCAATATTAATGTATACTTGAAGTCAATTGATGGATGGTGACTAGCAGTGGAATTCACGATGTGCATTTCGTCCTATTTGGGACTCGTTATCTGGATGTACCTACATTCCCCAGTGAGTGATGGTGTTCCCTCCAAGGCTCGAACCCAGTGCCCATAGTTTCAAACGCGAAGGAGTTATTCAGCATCGAAGCATCTTCACAAGGAGCCGATATGTCAACCTGACACCGAGCACCTTGGTCTAATCAATCGGGAAAATCTAAATTGAATTAACTTAATCTATACTGCCTAGGATTGCACTTTATTTAACGTATTGATTTCAAAATATGACTTCTAAATGTAGACAATATGAAATTTCAGTCGCAATGAAACCATTGAGTGAGGAGTGCTCAGTATAAAAACTCAAACTTCTACTAATGAGATTCTATGTGCACTACAGCTTTTATGTTTGCCCTGAGTGTATATTGTGACAAATTGGTTTATGAGATTAATCGATCAGTTCCCAGTCAACAACCATGGTTCGAGTCCTTCTCATTCAGCTTGGACTGCTGAATACTGGGCCTTCTGAGGATAAGAGTACATTTGTTCTTGTTAATTGAGTGGAAATAACAACGACAATAACAATAAACGGGTTTATCAAACACGTGATAATTACTAACTGCTGAAACACACTGTACTGATTGTTCCCATTGAAATTTCATGGATATCCAGACAAATATATGTGGAACCAGTGTTATTAGGCTGATAGTTAATATGTAGACAGATAAACAATGGTTGGACGATTTCATCATGAATTGACATTGGTTAGAAAACCATTGGAAAACCAACAAGGAGTACAGGACAGCTGTTTCGTCCTAGTTTGAGACTCTTCAGCGGTACACACCCACCGCTAAGGTTTGAACCCAGGAGCTTCTGGTTACAAGGCTAGCGAGCTCGTAGACCATTCATCAGTCACTGGGACCCGACCCGATGGCCAACCCATGAATTCTAACTTCTGCCAATTCATCACATAGCGTGACCACTTTGCAATGTCTTCTTCTATGAGTTACTGCCTCACCTTCAACCCGCTGTACCCTACTGGTCACGGCTTCCCACTAGAACTCCAGGTTAACTGCCTGAATACCACCAGTCGCTAGTGAGCATCAGGTCAATTTTCAAGTAGTGGTTTCATAGGGACGATGAAATCCTTCAACCAGTCAAACAATAATCCCTACAAAGCCAATACTTGACAGATAGACAATCGTTTATCTTTTTATGGCAATATGGTGAGATCGAGGTTACTTTGGAAATAAACTGTATGCGATTGGCCAGGTGTAGATATCCATTTATGGTTATCATCACTCACGCGTACACTATTGGCCATATATATACCATTGTCTTCTTCTGTAAAGGGACTGATACTGACGTATTTATTTTCCATCCCACTTCGTTGTGTGTACTCGTTGAAGTAGATGGGGCTGGTGGGAACAGGTAACTGATGTATAATATTGTTGGCGTAGTCAAGCAGTATTCGTGATTAGCGCGTTTGTGTCCAGCACGACATCCCTATTTCAATCTCAATTACAAAATGATAAGGTCTGTCTCAACATCGTAACAGTAGCACGACAAATTACGCTGATGTTCTTCTGGCCTACACAAAAAACCACTTATGTCCCATCTTTTTTGCTTTTATTTTCAAAGTAAGCGTATGCTTACTTATATAACTTAATTCAGTAGTAAAATGAAGCACAAACAAAATTTCTTTGGAGCTCCACAACTTTTTTTTTTTTTTGTTTATAAAGGATCGTCAAATTGATGACATTCTTTCAACTGCAAGTCAATGGAGTAAAGAAGATTTAAAGTCAAAAGTTACAGATGCTCTCGTTGAAGAATTTGATCCTATTCGTAAACGTATTGATGAGTTAATGTATACAGAAGATGGTCAATCTATTGTAACTGAGTGTTTACAATTCGGTGCAGAACAAGCCAATGAAGTAGCTTCGAAGCGTCTAGAATTAATTTATTCAACGATTGGTTGTAAACTACCATCTGGAAAGAGACATTCCATGCCATCCTCTAATGTGAACACTATTAAAACTGGTACTAGAATATCGATCTGACTTTCAGCTATTTTTCTTCCTTACTTCGTATATCTTGAATACTCCTCTCTGTGTGTATATATATCATGACAACATTGTAGATAGCAGTTTTTGTATACATATTATTTTATACGCTGTTGTATGATATCTTCACCACCCCCAACCTTATTCCTAATTAGTTGGTGTGTGATATCCCTTGTCTATAATCAGTTATTATGAATAATACAACTATTGTTTAATTACAAACTTTGTAAAATATAAGCGGAGATTAAATTCGGCACCTATAGCTGGCTGGCTGGATTCAACATAAAACTTGCCACCGACGTGCAGCACCTCGAGTTGCCACGTTCCAAATACCACACAAAGGTAGACAAGAAAATGAGTGAAGAGAATTAATAGAGTTTTCACAAGTATAAGAGTGGAACAGAATGAGTAATGGCAGAAAGGAATATGAAAGATTACAGAGACTGAATACATCTGCGCCATTGATAACGATTTTGAGCCATGTCACCTATTGTCTCCAGCCATCGATTCTTAGAGTCCCGAGGGCGGGCCCCAACCCGGAAGTCTGCATCTCCCTCCCTACCTGACTCAGTTTAACTGTCAGGGATTTCATGGATTGATTGATGCCATGTTTTTGTTTGGCCACCACTTACTCTTTTCCAACCTGCACCTATATCAGCTAGTAATGCCCGTCGGGGGAGGCGATGGTTAGGCATGTGCAGCACGTGACCTAGCCATCTCAATCTATGTAACTTTATAGCCTCTTCTATTGATTTTCCCTCTTTGCCCAACACTCTACGCCTAACGTCAACATTACTTACCTTATTATACCACCTAAAGTGAGAAAGAGATCGTAAACATCTGTGGTCAGAAACAGACAATCTTTTCATGTCTTCCGCTCTCAATGGCCACGTCTCACCACCATAGAGAAGGATGGAGCGAACTGCTGAGCAGTACACACGTCCCTTGGTTGATAGCTATAAGTCGTCAGCAGTAATCAACTTCTAATCTTTTGAATTACTGTAAATGTTTTTAGTCGTTCACCAACTTTATCCAAAAGTTTTAGCCTAACGCCACCATTCAGTTATCATCAAGATGACGTCGAGTAAGCGAGTTGTTCAATAAAACCAAGACAATAATGATAAATGACTGCTATTCATCATCTTATCTCCTTATCATTTAAGAGATAAGTGAACTTGACTAGCTGAAGAAACGATCACACGATGACCAGCGTGTGTGTGCCTATAAAGACACTTGTTTCTGTTGTTGAGCAGCTGGTTATATTGACCATGTTGACAGCACACTTTCCAAATACATTTCACAACGCAACACTATCATGAATAGTTATCAAGTGGGGTAGTGCAAGTCAACTGTTAGCTTAATTCATGAGGAGCATCTGATGAATTAGGGTCATGCAGCTAGCTGCATTCGAGTTGTTCTCGACAATTATGTTTTAAGGAAGTCTAGGCACCGAGATAGAAGTAGGTGGTTGTCTCAAGGGGCCAGCCCGGAGCCTTTAATTTGAAGTTTGACTTACAAGGCAGTGGAATAGTATCAGAAGCTGCGTTCCTTATAATTAATGGTGGCCAAAACAGGACCATACGTCATTTGATCCTTTCGGATTTGGGAACGCATGTACACCATAGTTTTTGCACCTCCTGTAAGTTGTTAGTTGATCAGCATATCCACCAGTCCGGTGGTAAGCACCAGATGTTTGCATTCGCCCTTTTACTTATGTGAGGAAAATCCCCACCACTAGAAGTTAGTGACTTCATAGGCCTTACAAGGTGGCAGAGGCTATGAATACGTGGCTACATGAAAGCAGTTCTAAAGGAAGATCAAATCTAGCCATCGTCGGTCGTACCAGATCGTTTTCCAAAAAATTACAATAAAATCTAACAACGGTTAGATGCTTATAGTTTTTTTCTAATGAAGCGAAGTTAGTTGATGTACTCTGGGTTAAATCAGGTGGTGAGATGTTTGATATTTTACAGTAGGAATACAAATTCTTATCCTTATACGGAGTAATTAGAATTATCAACTAATGGTAACAAGAAACTGCTATCCCCGGGTAGTGAACACTTCCTTTATCTATGGTACTTTGAAGAGGGTGAAGCCGTATTGATTGGTTTTGTTTTTTTGTCTCTTCACAACCACCCTTATTCTAACTTCGAGAAATAAGGATAAACTACCTAAATTTGCCTCCTCTATGTGTATCTACCTGTTTGACTGCAGCTGTGGAGCCAGCTACATCGGGGGTACAATTATACAGGTTCATCATCGTATTTCCGAACATCATCCAACATGGTTAAGCAAGGGACAAACAAGATCTATTTGTAGCTCTGTTTTAGCACACCTTGTAGATAGTTAGCATAAGGTTGACGTTAGTACAGCATTTAAAATTATTTATCGCATTCCGACTAATCTTAATTTTGCTTTACGAGTTCGTCTTCTACATACAGCTGAAGAAATCGGAATCCACCTGAAGAAGCCAAGCCTATGTGTTCAGAAGAAATTTGTACAGCCACTTTCCTTACCTTGGCCATCGTTACATGAATGTATAAACCGGACTACTTCGCCCCCCTCCTCCTAAACCTTTAAAAATTATAATTGTCCAAATTATTTTATTTTTTTCTGACTACTTTATCTTTAATTACATGTTATCCTTGTAAAATTATTTTATTCTTATGACCACTTCATCCTTAGTTACAAGTTATCATTGTCCAAATCGTTTTATTTTCTTTAACAATCTGTTACGTAATCAACCTGTGCACATGCTTATTCGTTAACTACTCTTCATTTTTCTAAAATTATGTATTATACAATCCACGTGTTGTAACCATTTCTACCTTTTAATTGTGTGTATTAATTTTCTTCGTTAATTATCACCCCATTGACATTTTGACACTGACTAATTATTGTTAACAAACATATCAGTGCCACTTGATTGGTAAACTGTTGTGTATTGTAATAAAAAAGGCTATACATGTATATTAGAGCAGAGCCAGAGTAAGATGAGGATCTAATTGAAAAGTAAATATTTCTTCGCTGCTCAATCTTTCTGTTTTCTAAATGTCTAAATGGGGATTTTTTTTCTATATTTCATCAAATGGACTTGTTAAACGTATTACCTCGTATCCAGCTTAGGATAAAGCGCACGTCTGTAGTTCTGCGGTGAGAGCTGGCTGCTAGCCAAAGTTGGTAGACAGTAATTGACGTCAATGTTTATGTCCCCAATATTGGTGGTGAGAAAACGGGAACAAAGGCTTTGCGTAGGCGGATACAGATAGCATATAGATGATCTGACACAGCCACAAAGAGATGCAAGATTAACTTTCTGTGAGAAACAACCAATCAAAAGACTGTATTTTCTACTAACAATAATGTACATTAAAATCCATAAATATGTGTTGATTTTCCTTAATAAACGATCTGTTGCCTGGCCCTTGTCTTCTGTTGTTACAGTTCTACCGCTAAACACCAGTTAAACAGACAAAGAACTGTAGGTGGAGGCAAGCAATATTCATGCAGTCGTTTGGAGAGAATACAATCAAGAATAAACCGATCTATTCAGTAGTCATTGGACGTCGGTGGCATAGCGGTTAGGACGCTCGCCGACCATGCACATGGTCCGGATTTCGATCCCCGGCCGACTCATTCCTTTACCTCGCTAGGCCAGAAATAATGCTGGTGAAGAGGAAGGGTTGAGCATGGAGCTAGCAACCCCATCCTGTAAAATAAACACTGCTACAGAAACTTGAAGCCCTATGTTCCACTGGGGAACGTGAAGGCAAAAAAAAATTCAGCAGTCATATAATATTGACAGATAACTTCTTGAATAAAAAGACAATATCAAATCATCAGTTGGTTAAATAGAATTTATTTGTTCATGGATAAGAGTTCTTGGAATGATGTACACTGTGTTAAATCATCATAATTCGATACTGACTGCTTCATTCTGAAATGTTCAAAGAGAGAAAAAACGTCTAATTTAGTTTTGTGTGTGTTAGTTACATCAGTGAATCAATCAGGCGGTTATCTCATTATAGATATAAGTATAAAACTTGGGCACTGTGGTAGAGTTTAACTCCATTATGGATAAGATTTTATTTTGATAAATCACACAGTCTTGTTGTACAGTAATATTAACTGATGACGTTTCGAGCACAAACTATTGCTCATAATCATATCAAGTTACTCACACAACTTCTTTCCTTCATTTATATACATGTGTGGAATCGATTAGATATTGGAATAAATTCCATATGAGATAATGTACATTCAGAAATAATAGTACGAGTGTTATTAATCCATTACAATTAGATGGGAAATACGACGAGTGTTTTTATAGTCATAATAAGTTAATTGTTAGAATGTTTGATGTGCTTGAATGGAAATAGAATTTTAAGATTATTTATTATTCTCTTCTGATTTGACCTGAGGTAATAATATCTTCCATATTTCTGGTACTTGCATTGAGTCATTTCTGTTGCATGTGTTGGGTGTAGACTCAATAAACCAGGATTCAGTAATCAACCTCTCTCTCCACCTACCTATGTTGCTCTTTAGAATTTTAACCCTATCCCACCCTATTGTGTAGTTGTTTGTTAATGCATGAAGGGCAATAGCTGAGCTTTTTTCTAAATTACTTATCTTCTCTGGGTCAACCATTCTTACCTTGGCTAAATTCTTATGTTCTGATAATCTGACTATCCCTGACCTACTAGTTTGACCTATGTAGTTGACTTCACAGTCATTGCAGGGTATTTTGTAAATTATATTATTTTGTTTAATTGGGTCCAACGGGTCCTTTAACCTACAGAGCTTGTCCCTGAGTGAGTTTGTAGGTTTGAATGCCACTCTAATTCCTGCTTTATTAAGAATCCTACGTAGGGTCTCAGATGTCCCCTCTTTATATGGTATAACTAGATGATTAATATTCTCTCTTATTTATGTAGTCATTTCTAGTTCCACAATTATTTTTATTTTGTTTTTGGCCTTTAGTTATCTTCCTAATGAATTTTAAAGGATAATTATTCAACACCAACGCTTCTTCTATCTGTTTTATTTCGTCGGTTAGGTCTTTTTTGTGCTACTTAGTGCTATGGCTTGGTTTGTCAGACACTTAACTAAGCCTGCCTTAACAGTTAACGGATGTGACGAATAAAAATCTAAATATCTATTAGAATGCGTTGGTTTTCTATACACACTAGTGTGCAGTTTACCTTCTTCTATTCGTTTTATTTTACAATCTAACATAGCTAACTCTCCTTGTTCATCTTCCGATTCAAATGTGAACTTTATTCCCTCTACTAGTGAGTTAATTTCAATTCAAACACATCAAAACATTCTAACAATTAACTTATTATGACTATAAAAACACTCGTCGTATTTCCCATCTAATTGTAATGGATTAATAACACTCATACTATTATTTCTGAATGTACATTATCCTATATTGATTTTTATTCCAATATCTAATCGATTCCACACATGTATATAAATGAAGGAAAAAGTTGTGTGAATAGTGACTTGATATGATTATGAGTGGCAATAGTTTTTGCTCGAAACGTGGTCATCAGTTAATATTACTGTATAACACACTGTGATTTATCAAAATAAAATCTTATCCATAATGGAGTTATCTCATTATAGGATTATAATTGTATATCAGATGCCTGTTAATTTACCACATCAGTTTTATGTCATAAAAGTAGTATTCACGAGTGACAGTAGGACTTAACCCACTGAAATGAATGGGTATACTTGATTTGGGTTCCTCTTAACTGTGCAGATTGCAAAACTAGAAAGACTGTCGTTATTTACCCACATTACTAAAACACAAGACAGTATATGGCTGATCACTCAAGTACTGCTCGCACACTGAGTAGGAAACGCCAAAAATGCAGTCAGGGAATTCCTAGAAGCCTGATACTCAAGTGATTAGCAATTGACAAAACACATTATTCAAGTGTTGGTTTGTAGGGGTTTGATTGGTTACAGGAATTCATCATGAGCTGACATTAGTTAGAGAACCATTGGAAAACCAACAAGGAGTACTGGGCAGCTGTTTCGTCCTAGTTTGGGACTCTTCATCAGTACGTACCCACTGGGATTCGAACCCAGGACCTTCTGGTTACAAGGCGAGCTCGCAAACACATTATTATAGACCAAATTTATCAGCTGGTAAAAAGTAAATCACATGACCAGAAGGTTCGAATTACAAGTCAATAAAAATGAAATTCAAGGACACTGATTTCCATCTAGGTTAAGGTCAAATGTTTATCCCCCAGCTTTCATGGGAACCACAGACTGATCGTATATACGTCCCATCTCTGCCCTAACACACTCGTATATTACGGTTTATAGAATTTTTAGGTTTCAAAGGAAACTAAAATGAAATCCTATTCCATAATTAATTAACAAGTTGGTGAACCGCTAGCGCCTCTGCCCTATACACCATTCGGTCTTACCTTGTAGGCAATTTTGAAAGAAGACTTGTGTGACTTCAGTTCACCATGTATTCTAGAATGGAAGTATTGTCCTCTTGATATGCATCTCAGGTAATGTTGTGAGATGTATTTGGAAAGTACACGGTTTGGACGGTCAAAATAAATAGCTCTATAGGAACAAGTGAATTTATAAACACATACTGGCTTATTTTGAACAGATAGGGGTGATTTCTTGGGTGTTGTTAATCTGATAAATAGCCTGGACGTAACAGCGTAAAAATTTCAGTATATTATGGGGATTACAAACTAATCCTATTCTAAGACTCCACTTTGGTCTTCGGTGTAAAATAAGATATTTATTCTACAAATTGGTATTGGCTTGAAATAGAGTAGAAGAACTGCATATGATATATTTCATTGACTGTAGAAAGTCATTGAGAATCTTCTTACAAATAGGTGACATTCGCTAACGTAAGACGAACAGTCTGAACATTAGTAACCTGTAGGCCAGAGTCAAGTACATCACCGATGCATCTGAATTAGTTTAACTAAGAGAGCAAATTTATTCAAGTCTTCCAAATTGCAGTCATTTGACTGGTTGAAGTTAAAGTACCCTGAATCAAAGGAAACCCATTATTCTTTATTATTGTTTCCTTTAGTTCCTAGAGGAACATACGGCTTCAACTCCACGTCTGCCCACATGCTTTCATCTCCTCTTCACATAACCTCCTCCATGTCACCCTAGCACTGACGACCAACTCGCCGCTTCCCATTCGGCTTCCACTCGAGCGATGGCCTGGCGTGTGATGTCACTCACTTGATGGCTTGTTTTCTCAGAGTATGACCAATCCACCTCCATTTCTTGCATATTTGTTGCACAATTGGTTCCTGCTGTGTTGGTTCGTTCATTGCCAGAGATCCCTCCCTGTGTCTGATCTTTTCTTAACGGCCATGGAGCAGATGCATCCACTCCTTGTGATTTTCAATGAAACTGTTTTGTTCTTCGTTATTACTATTCCTTTGTCTCACACCTCAACTTTCTGTCTATATTATGCATTTCTCCTACTTTCTTCTCTTCCTTTGTGTGCTACATGGAGTGTGGCGACTTGAACTGCCGCACATATGTGCGAAGTTCTATGTCGAAAACAGACAGAGGCTAGATGAAAAGGCGTGGCTAGTAGTAGTAGGCTAGGAAAAGACTGAAAAACCCGCTGTCAAAAGTGTCGAAAAAGTGGAGTAATCTGTGATGCTACCTGTAATTCTTTTATATTCAGTAGAAAAAATATCACGATTTGATGGCTTAGCTAAATCATGTAGACCAGGAATCCCTCTTGACCTAGTTCTAGACATATCTAATTCCAACTACCATGTAGCAATAAATTGGCTATTCGGACTCTTGCAACCAGTACACAAACAAGTGGAAAATCACAATGTTAAAGACGTTGTCGAATTAATTTCCAATTTTGGATGCTGTAAATTTAAATGGAATGGCAACATGCATAAAAGTCATCATTAAAAATAATATCAATTAATAAGTTAACGAACCTTTATTCCATATTTCTGTAACAAATAATATGTCATAAAAGAAGTCATTTAATGTTGTATAACACATTTCAAATTTTTATAAGTGTTACACACTGTCTTTCCAGGATGGAGTCTCTTTACTTTGCAAAAAATCCAAATGTTTCGTTGTATAATTTATAGCTTCTCCAATAGAAACCATCGTAATCTCATTAAAAATCAGTTGATTGAAGTGAATCTATGCGGTACCGAAAGCTGACATACAAAAACTTGTAGGAGTAAAAGTAAAGTGCACCACAGTGTCCTGTCAATTCCGGGTTGGGGCACTCGGGACTCTAAGAATCAATGTCTGGAGACAATAGGTGACATGGCTCAAAATCGTTGTCAATGGCGCAGATGTATTCAGTCTCTGTAATCTTTCATATTCCTTTCTACCATTACTCATTCTGTTTCACTCTTATACCTGTCAAAACTCTATTGATTCTCTTCACTCATTTTCTTGTCTACGTTTGTGTGCTCTTTGGAACGTGGCAACTCGAACTGCTGCACTTCGGTGCCAAGTTCTATGTTGAATCCAGCCAGCCAGCAAGCAATTAACTTAGTGACCCCACAAGCTACTTGATCTGTAGTTTTCAATCAATCAATCTGACACTTTACAGTCGAATTGGTTAACCTAAGGTCAGCGATTAGAGGGACATACATTAGTTACGCATTGAATAACCAAGGCTGATATCCAAGGAATACATATGAGCTATTTCAAGTATGGATTTATATTCTGACACAACATGACTTTCTACCGACTGGAATGTACCAAGATTTCTGAATGACACTATCGTTACTAGTCACTGAAAGCGGATAGAATAGATCAAGTTTATTTGAAGAGGAAGAGTAATACTAATGTCCAACTTGAATATCTTTCATAACTTTACACAAGAGAAACAATTGAGTGTACACAATGATGTTCTGTTCTCTGAACATTTTTCCTCACTAATTATTTCATTAGGATGAATGAGTATGTTGAATACGCGAAACTGAAAGTTTCTCCCCTCTACACTCAAATTTTAATGTGCTGACGTTTCGATGTCAACAGAGGTATTATTACTATTAGTGCAAATTAACACACTATCAAAACTGGAATAATCTTCAGGACTGATTATCGGAAATAATTACTCAGTAGTAAAATGAAAAAGAGGTTTCATATGAACTGTGATCAAAATTTGATGGAATAGCTAAAAAATAATTCGGTGCCGAGTGAGAAGTAGGTAATTGTAAAAATGTATTTGTAAAATCTCAGAGAAATTGAAATATGAGTAATTCCAATGTTTCGTTCGGTAAACTGGTCCGAACTTCTTCAGAGAAAAAAATTGAAGTTAAAATAACAGAGAGAGTACCACTGAAAACCAGGGAGAACTGGACAGCTGTTTCGTCCTAGTTTGGGAATCATCGGTAGTAGGCACCCACTGGGGTTCAAACTCAGGACCTTCCGGTTACAAGGCAAGCTCGTATACCCGATTCAACGGACAACACATGAATTCGCACTCCTATCAATTCGCGATTTAGCGCGACTGGCACCAACCAATGTCATCGGTGGGAATCTCATCCTCACACTTGACTGGATGGACCTCACTGGTAACGACTTCTCACTGGAACTCCAGGAAACTCTGTCCTGTAGCAAGTTACTAGCGAGCATCAGATTTCCAGTGGTTCTCTAATTGACATCAATCCGTGGTCAGACTTGTATATAAATCTCTGTTATTTTAATTTAGATTAATTTCCCTGAAGAGGTTCGGACCAGTTTGCCGAACGAAACGTTGGAATTACTTATATTTCAGTTTCTCTGAGATTTTACAAATGAATAAGAGGTTATTCCGTGATAGATTTCAGCTTGATCAGTTTATCAATACAAACCACATCCGTTCAATCTCTGATACTTTTGTGTTAGATTTCCTTCAGAAAGCTATGCAAGAGCATTCAGTGTAATTTAAGTGGGGAGAAGAAAATATAAGACTGTTAAAACTCTGTTGCTTTGACAGGTCTGTGTCAGAAACAAGGGTCAATGGTGAGTTTACTGTACCGCTTTCATAACCAAAACAGCAGAGAAATTCTAAGTCGACTGATAGGAGAAAAGTCATATCAAAACGTCGATCACTATGCCAGTGGTTCTGACTGTGAGATTTTGAAATTTTGGATTTGTTTTATCTCAAAAATATACAAAGAATTTCTAGGGGTATTGAATTTCAGTGATCAGACAGTGAAAAGACTGACAGACCGAAAACTTGAGATGAAAACACTAAACATCCACAGAAACGTGCAACAGTTGAAACATAGAAGAACACTATCGTTATGGCAACAACTAAAAAAAATAACAAAAATGTGGTAAGAAGTCTATCCCTTAATCAACTGTGCAAGAAAGTACAAGTTGACTCATATATGAGATTTAACTTTCAGACAGATGAGAATTAGTCACACTTCGAAACAAAGGTCAGTGTGGAGAAAAAATCGATAGATATTACCTTGACATGGTGATCGGCTTTGCGTATTCTGATGACCCAACAAGCTACATGGGCTGAAAATGATGTTCCTGTGAAGGTTCTACCATGCCAAAAAGTCGTCTGGATGGCAGTTATACTAGAAGCAGGTATTATTATAGTGTAATTTGTTTACACTTTGTTAGGGTTATGTGGGACAATCCGTACAACTGGCGAGTAAGGATGTAATAGCATTAAAGTGTTCTTTTCAGATGATCATCAAGTCAGCTATGCTGTTACTCTGCTTTGAGGAACAGGTATCTGGGAAAGGTGAACGCCGAAGGTTGTTCTTGTTGACTTACCCGGTGGTAAGATCTTAATACAGACATAACTTCAGAAATCAACTCAAATAGGCTGTGTTCAACCTACTTCCAGCCAGCTGTTCGCAAGCCTCTGCGGTCAAGCAACACTAATGCTATTTCTGCTTTAGGTACTCCAAAAAGTAGTCAACTTCCACGGTATGGTCAGCCAGGAAGTAACAGTCGCCCACACACACACACACACACCTCCATAAACACACAAAGCTGATATCGTATAACTGCAGTGGTCTGACAGTCAGGAGTCAGTAGTAATAGGAAAATGAGAAACAAAAGTTATTTTTACAGTATTATCAATGAAATCTTACGACTTTAATCCGTCATTCCATCTTGGTAAAAAAAATAAACAAATAAATCACAGCATATTTTCATGTAGACAATCACCTTTTTGGAGGTTATAATAAAGAGGGTTCCCACAGATTGGATTTTAATTCTCTCAATAAGTAAACATTCTTGTAATGCAGTTCAGATATGTTGCCACTACTTGTGGATAAAATATACGTGTAATTTTGTTCAATATGGTTGACTCAGCTACGAGAAAGGGGGGTGGAGACTGAGATAATATTAAATAAAGCTTAACTGAAATGGAGTAGGTCAATTCACCATTGACGCCGCCTAGTTTTATGTCATGTGAAAAATATCTGATGTATTTTTGTCAGATAAAGTCATCCTTTCAGTTACAGGACAGTCTTTGTCTTCTGATATTTCCGTAACTTGGTGAAGCAGAAGGTATTTGGTCGGATGGGGGAATAGTTGTATTCGGTAAGGAGTTGTGTTACCTGTTGCTTTCAGTATCGTTTTATAGTTATAAACGAGCACTAGTCAAGACTCTGTACTATAGAGCAAGGAGAATATGCTCTGCAGAGAAACTAGAGGAAGAATTTATGATTCTCGAAAAGGTGCTGAAAAACAACGGTTACCCTCAAAGATTCATTAAGAAATATGGAAGATGTGAAGGCTCAAATACCAAACAAATCACAGTTGAAAAAAAGCCTGTCTTCATTCAACTAGATTTTAAAGGTGAAAACATTGCAGAAATGGTCAACAGAAGACTGAGAACGTCACTAGCCAGAGCCTATCCTGCAACTAAGTTGGTTCCCGTCCATCGAACAACATGCTCTTTGGTGCAGTCAAAAGTCGATAGATACCCTTCTCATGTTAACTCCAACTGTGTATACAAATTTACGTGTATCTGCGGGAGCAGTTACATCGGGAGAACAGAAAGAAGGGCACACCTCCGATTTTCTGAACATGTGCCAAAAAGCCTACGTCTCAAGGGAACAAACTCTTATAGTAGCGCTATTACTAGACGTCTTCTCGACACGGGTCATGAGGTAGAAATCGAGAAATCCTTTAAAATTATCAATAGACAAAGGAGTTCCATTCTCCTCAAGTTTGCCGAAGCAATTTCTATCAAACGCTTGAAACCAGATTTATGTGTTCAGAAAGAAGCAGTTATTAATCTTTCCTTGCCCTGGTAACTGAATGTCTTTATTCTCTCATCTGATTACGAATTCTTTGTCTTTAACCTCACCCCCTTATATAATCTGTAATTTTGCTTGTCTCTTGTTTCTATGATTTGAGTTGAACTCAGTACATTGTTACCTAATTTATTAGTCACTCTGTATCTAACGCATATTTCGTCTTTATTACGTAACTCCTTTACCATTGTATGCATACATTTATTTTGTTTAAACTTGAACTGCCTGTGTAAAAACTATATAAGCGCAATTTTCTGAGCACTGTTCACTTATTGTGGAACTTTTTTTCAACTGACAACATGTAAAATTTGCAAGTATGTTAAAACTTTTCTGTACGCAAACCTCATAATTTATTTAGGCTGTAAGCAGCTGATGAGAAGCCAACGAAATAAATGATGGTATCATATTATTCTGCACAAACCACTGTTGTTCTTGCTTTATTCAAATTCATCAAGGGGAATAAATGCATGAAGTATCGTTTTACCTGCAAATGCACCCACTCAGCCATATCACTTACAAACTAAGTGGGAATTCTTCTTTATCGTTATTCAGATTCAGTTGTTGACTGAAATTTCATGATACTGGCGGATTATATAAATCCGGATTGTTAATGACAGATCCGGACTACTAGATGCCCCAATTAACAATTTAATGGGTAACTGAATAAATGAATTCCACAGATCCATCTAGCCTTCTTTGTCTTCCATTCCTTCAGTTTATACGTGTCATCACAGTGCTCAGATATTATTCAAATCAACAGTTAGTGCATTGCGAATAAGGAAGTGGAGAAAAAAACTTCAGTAGTGCTGCACACACTTAGAAATATGAAGCAAAGTACCGCGTGAAATATTGAAGCCAATTTTATTGCGAATGATGTGATTCCTAAAAACTAACCCTAGTCACGTGAAACTTCGAGACCTTTCTGTTTATTTACTGTAATTTTGGTTAATCTGAGAACCAGTTAAAACAAGCCAATAACATTCTAGACAAATTTAAACCACTGCGTCAAGGCAGAATGTTTACTTTGATGCTACTGGACAAACTTGAAGCCTGAATCTGTGCAACCGATTAAGTTAGATAAATTTCGGTTTAACTTTCTGATGTGGTTTGGGCTGTGAGAGATCAAGAGTGGTTGGGAATAATTACTGGTGTTCAGTCTTTATATGATCAACTTATTGCCTTACGATATCGAAACCTAGTCGCGTCATGATTATTATTATTATTGTCTCCTTTAGTTCCTAGAGGAACATAGGGCCTCAGCCGCACGTCTCCATTGCGTTCGGTTCTCTGCCAACGTTTTCACCTAACTCCACGTCTGCCCACATGCTTTCATCTCCTCTTCACATAACCTCCTCCATGTCACCCTAGCACTGACGACCAACTCGCCGCTTCCCATTCGGCTTCCACTCGAGCGATGGCCTGGCGTGTGATGTCACTCACTTGATGGTTTGTTTTCTCAGAGTATGGTCAATCCACCTCCATTTCTTCCTGCATATTTCTTGCACAATCGGTTCCTGCTGTGTTGGTTCGTTCATTGCCAGAGAGCCCTATCTTTTGCTGATGTTTTCTGGCAGGTCACCTGATCTTGATTAGTATTGAGCGAAAACAGATGTTGATGAAGGTCTGTAGTTTGGTCGAAGTGCCCTACGTGACGCATCAAGTCTCTGATTCGTATAGTAAGTAGCACTGACTTCACATTGGAGTTGAAAATCTGGATCTCACTTTTCATATTGAGTGCTGTTCATCTCCAAACAGACTTGAGAGTAATAAAAGCTTGCTTGCCTTGCTTTTCTGATCCTCACTTTGATATCCTCATCAGTTCCGTCCTCCTGTAGTTGAAACGATGCTTCTCAGGTAGGTAGGTAGATAAAGGAGTTGATTCTTTCAGATTTCTCCCACTTATGCTGGCTGATTGTTGTCTGTTTTTGTTGCTGTCGCTGTTGGCCAGAAACCTTCATCACCACATCTGTCTTCTCTATGTTCACCTGAAGTCCTATCTCCTCCGTATGCTTCTTCTACCAACTTGTTGCTTTTCACTTGCATATCTTCCAGTTTGTTGGAAATCAGACATACATCATCGGTGAAGTCCAGATCCTCCAAGTTTGTTCTGTGTGGGTCCATTTTATGCCTGCCTCCTCGTTGCCCAGCCTGCTGTCTGTCGCATTATCCAGTCTACCGCAATCAGGAAAATCATTGGAGATAGTAGGCAGCCATTGTCTTACTCCCGTCTTCACTTCGAAGTGTTCTGTGAGTTTCACTTTGTGGATTACTCGGCATGCAGCAATATCGTTCAACTGTTGGATGAGATGTATAATTGTTGGCGGCACCCCGTAGTAGCGAAGTAGTTGCCAAATCACCTCTCGATCGACGCTGTCTGCTGAAGGCCTTTTCAAAGTCAATGAAGTTGAAGTAGAGAACTGACTGCCATTCCAAACTATGTTCAATGATGATACGCAGTTTTGCGATTTGATCGATTCATGACTTTTTTCTCCTGAATCCAGCCTGTTCCGGTCGAAGTTTTTCATCCGGGGCGTGTTTGATTCTCTCCGGAATGATGCATGATTATTAGTACGCGTCATACCAGTCTATGTGAAAATTCTGGCAGCATTATCAAACCCGAACAGCAGTAGCCTTATGGTTCATTGTACCATCTTTGGGCCATTTGCTCTGTACATAATACCGCTAATTTCTATCACTTTGACTAACTCTTTGTTTCTTATTGTTTAGTTTCATATTCTGTATAAAGTTATTAATCGGATGTTTTGTATTTGCCTTTCTTTACTTTTCAACCTTGTTAAACAACATGAAATAGGACGTAATTTTAGTATTCTTTACAGAAGAAGGACCACATTTTAGCAATTATAACAACTTACAAAGTTTTTAGTTGGAAATTTCTAGAATTAAAATAAATTAAGTTTTTCACTATTAACCCTATTTTTGTTTATGTAATTCATCAACGGATATCTTTTTTTAATGAGTAGACAAATATTAGTCTATATTTTATAACAAGCAACAAATATTGGTAATAAAACAGGATTTAATGATGGATTCATCCGATTTTCGGTGGAACTCTTCAGCTGCTGAATGCTTGACATACAGGGTATATATACTACTGGAAATACATTGGAAGACATAAGATTAAGAAGCAAATAAACCGCATCGAATTAATCATGCAAAACAACACATGTGGATATTTTTCAGGTCATGTTTAAATAGATAAGGGGAAGGGAGCATGAAAGATTAAAATTAAGATAAAATGCATTATGGCTGAATTACATCACTTAGATAAACAATTAGTTATTAGAGAAAGAACTTAAATATGTCAAGATTTGCGCACAGAGTTATATTCAGTCGGTCGGTTTTCGACATAGAACTTTGCACATATGTGCGCCAGTTCAAGTCGCCACACTCCATGTAGCACACAAAGCAAGAGAAGAAAGTAGGAGAAATGCTTAATATAGACAGTAAACAGAGGTGTGAGACAAAGGTATAGTAATAACGGAGAACAAAACAGTTTAATTGGAAATCATAAGTCACAAGGAGTGGATGCACCTGCGCTACGCATTGAGAACGATTTTGAGCCATGTCACCAATTGTTTCCAACCATTGCTTTTACTGTCCCGAGGACCCCAACCAGTCAGGAAGTCTACACCTTCCCAAGTGGCTTAGACTAACTGTTCATTGACTGGTGCCATGTTTTCGTTTGACCGCCGCTAGCTCTTTTCCAGCCTGGTCCTATATCAGCTAACATTGCCTGTTGTCGAGGAAGGCGATGACTAGGCATACGTAACAAATGTCATAACCATCTCAGTCGATGTAATTTCACAGTCTCGTCTATTGATTTCCCCGCCTTACCTAGCACTCGACGCCTAACCTCAATATTACTCACCTAATTATACCACTTCAAGCGGGAGATAGAACGCAGACACTTATGATCGAAGACAGCTAATCTTTTCATATCTTCCACTCTCAATGGCCAGGTCTCACAGCCATAAAGGAGGACGGAGCGGACTGTTGAGCAGTACATACGCCCTTTGGTCGACAGCCAGCCAGATATTACGTCTACGCCAGAGACGGCGTAAACTGACATATGCGAAATTATCCCTCTGTATTCGTACTGAGATTTCGTCAGAGATCAACCCGTTTGGGCTGATGGTACTTCCTAAATAAGTGAAGCGGTCAACGTGCTCTACCACTTCACTTCCTATTTCTAATCTAGGGGTCGGTGAAGTCCAATCCTGCAGCATCATCTTACATTTTACAGGGGCGAATCGCATGCCAAACATGCGAAGATTGTTGCTCAAGGTGTTCAGTAGACTCTGCATTTTGTCAGCGTCCTCGCCTAGAAGGACTATATCGTCTGCATATTCTAAGTCGACGAGATTATTCCCTGGTAGAAAGTCAATCCCTGAGTCTCTGAAGTGAGTTAGGGTTAAGTTCATTAGTCCGCCTATGATGAAGTTGAATAGAAATGGTTATAATGGGTATCCTTGACGAACGCCACTAGTTGTCACCACTTCAGATGACAACTCGCCATAAGCCCTCACCTGGCTGCATGAGTACGAGTAGAGTGCCTTAATCAGTGCAATGTATTTTCTCGGCATTCTCTTTACAGCCAGGCATCGCTAGAGAACCTCTCGGTCGACAGAATCGAATGCCGCCTTTAGGTCAAGAAATATAATGATTGTCGGACGCCGGTATGAATGCCTATGTTCTAGAATCTGTCGAAGGGTGAAGATATGATCATTACATCCTCTTCCTGGCCTAAAACCTGCCTGGTTATATTAATAGTAATAGTTATAACAATTATACTGAAACGAGTTAAGATAATGCTACTGATAAAAGATAGTTTTGAATGAATCAGGAATAATAATAATAATAAGAGGTAGAATAAAGTGTTAACAGTACTCATAATAACAGTCAATAAGTAAGACGTATTACCATGGTAGATTCATAGTGGCGATCATTTCCTTTTGTACACAGAGACCTGGCTTATAAACTCTAATTGCACAAGCCTCCACAACTGCAACCATCTTCCTGTTTCTTTGTCTGCTGACAACGGTGAATGACTTGATAGCGCGTCAATATCTTGTCCGTAGTCTACAAGATGCTTTGTTATTGAGCTGTTTTGTACTCTGAATTCAGCTGTTTTCAACCACTTTGGCAAGTGTTCCATCCTACGAGTAAGACAGTCGTCTTTATATACAACCAGTGTATTTGCTTACACAACACACTCAAATTTTATAGATAATACGATTAACCAACATCATTGGAAACCAATATGCCTAAGTTAGAGTTCACAGGTGATTGGATTCTAACCCAGTGACTATATGGCCTTGATTTTGGCCCCCGGTGGAATCGTTGGCTTACACTGGTGGAGATTAGCAGGCTAGGACGTGATATCTAACCGACACTGTTGTCAATAGGCACATGAATTCTTGTAAACACTTAGCTAAAGTTATTTTGTCTGATAGTGAACATCCTCTTTATAAACATTTGTTTCCTTGTATCTCTTCGGGTAAGACCAGAAGAAATTTCATAAACATTTATGCTCGTACGACAAAATATAAAAATTCGACCGTACCATATTTGGCACGAGTATTGTGTGAAGAGACGAATATCAGAAAAGAACTTTTACAACTTTTAAATCATTAACTAAACTATAAAATGCAATGATGCATATTATTGCATGTGTGATTTGTTATATTATTTATTTATTATTCACTATGACCTAAAAATGGTGTGATTTTGTTGGGGTTTTTATTTTTTCCTATTAATTATCAATATTTTTAACCTTTCATAAATTTATATAATTATAAAAAGAGCTAAACCAATGCAATATGTAAAATGAAACGCTGAAAATTCCATGCTGTAAATTGTTATTGTTGTGGAATAAAGTGATTATTATTATTATTATTACTCTCTGGTTCCCAGTAGTTCTTTAGACGATGACGTTTCGTAACAGAATGATAAACTTTGTAGTGATTTCTCTATTTATTATATAGGCACTATCATCCCTTCAGTGTTTGGGTTATTCTATCTCACTGTCTCTTGCTTATTAGATTCTCTTCAGAATTTTATTCTACTTCTTCTCTACCTTCTTAAGTAGATATTGGAATGATAAATAAATAAATTAGTATTGATTCAGCAAAGACATTATTTTGCGTATTACATATATGGCTACTTATGAGTAGCATACTACATTGGCGGTAATAACAGCAAATTATGTCAGTTGGTTAGACTGTAGATTTGAATAAACTGATATTTTTATCCCATTTCTGACCATTCGCATAATATGAAGGGAATATAACATGTACTGGAGATATGTCTCCCTCCAATATTTTCAGAAGCTGCAGATGTGAACAACGGAGAATAGTTTCTTAGTAGAAACAAGAGGTTCAGTGATAGAATGTTCGTCAGCCACATACGTGGTCTGGGCTCGATTCCCGGCCGATGGACTCCTAGTTTTCCACTAGCTGGAAGTAAGCCGGTAGAGAAAAGGTTGGGCCTGAAACTAGCAACACCACTACTGATGAAAAAACCTCTATACGTTTTAAATCCTTAAGTTCCACATGGAGCGTAAGAAATGAAAAAAAAGATGAACTGGGAAAGTAAGTGAAAACAGAGAAGAAAGATACAGTATTGTTTGTTTTTTATTTTTTTACATCCTCAGATAGTTGCTTCGCATATCAAGCTTTCATAAAGCCAGTTTTTTATTCCTTTACGTTCCAGGTGGAACATAGAGGGGCTTCAAGCTAGAGGCTTGAAGTTTCGGTAGCAGTGGTGTTTATTTTTACGGGATTGGGTTGCTAGCCTCATGCCCAACCTTCCCTCATTACCAGTCTTATTACTGGCTTAGCGAGGTAGAGGAGTCCGTCGGCCGGAGATCGAATCCCGGGCCATCTGCGTGGTTTGCGAGCATTCTACCTCTGTGCCACCGACGCACCACAAAGCCAGTAGCTAGAAGAAATTAAATAAATGCATCGTAAAGTCATGGGAAATATTTAACCTAACTCTTTGTTATTTTACATAGCCTATACGGTTTTACTCGGCCATCTTTTGTAGTGAATGGAAATATGCTTTTGTACAGTATTTGGCTAAACGTTAAAAATTACATTCCTTCCTATCCCTTGTCTGAAGCAAACTTTTATTTATCTCATCGGTACATTTTCTGGAAATACATGTTTTTGCGCATGGAATTCTGATTCTCCTTGTAAACGGGAATAAGCAACCAGATTAACAAGCCTGCGGTGAAGGAGAATCATCGGAAATGTACAGCACGTGGACCAATCAATTATATTACTAAAATTGTGGAATATACACATTGGGTCATAGGAGTTATTAAAAAGACAATTGCAGCGAAGAAAATTTTCTTTTCGACGAAGTCATCATCTAGGCTGTACATTCATGTATTTATATCAAATGGATGGGAAAGTTCCAGAATAATTTCCGGTTAAGGGTCAAATTAATAAAAATTACAATTAGGAATTAGAATGCCATAATAAACAAGGGGGTGGGGATAAAACACGAACAAAGTAGCATTATAATAACTAAGAATATTGACATTGTGCAATTGGGGGTTAGAAATGGAAAAATAACAAAACAGACAGGATGTTTGGATAAAAAACTAATGTTGGTATTAGATGGTTGGAGGCAATCGGCCACAGGAAGCCTTGCACACACCTAGGTTTCGTGCTAGTTGGCACTCAACAGTCAGCAATGCGTATCTGCAACCTCGAAGGAACTCATGTCCCTTCTGAGATTCAAACCCGCGTCACCCACGGCCGCCTGCAGTCAGAGACGTTACCACTGAGCTATTCAGGCTGGCGATTGACCTCCTGTAGGACTGTATTGGATATATTTGATTGCACACTAGTAAGTAACTAGTGTAATGTGTCTAGTCCTATCTTCGCTGCAGACTGAATTCTATCAGTCAAAACTAATGTGATGAATAATTGTTTATGCAATCAGGGATTAAATATGTAGAAATAGTAAAATGACAAAATAAACAGGAAGTGTGGATATGAAAATATGGTAGTGTAGACAGGGATTAAGAAAAACTTAAAATAACATGAATAAACAGGAAGTTTAGATAAGAAAGGCGATGGGATGGTCATTACTAAAAATATTTTACCTGTTTATGATGGCCATGGCAGGGACAGGGGTTGGACGTATTTCTTTTGGATACTAAAATTGTGCCCAGTGAACGGAACTTTACCGCCAAGTAACTGTGTACTCTGATATTTTATTATTCTTAATAATTGTAATATACTTCTCGAGTATCTTATATTACTTTCGTGTAATTTGACATTATGTATCCCTACCAACCCTACAGATAGGTCCACTGCTTACAAATTCAGATTCTTCCAGGCTGTATCACACATATTTTTATTATTGCGTATTTCCTTGCATTTTTGTCTTTATCATGACTTCGCCTACAGGTATACATACTCCGTTAGTTGACGGGGAACATCGAGAGACACAGGGCTTCATGGTCCACGTGATTGTAGATTTACGTTTATAATCTTACGGTTTCAACAACCCGAGATTACGAAAGGCGCTCATTAAAGCAAGGGGAATACAGTCACAAGTATCCAAGTACACATATGTAGTCGTGGTGTCACCTATAGAAGTAGATAAAGAGATTTGGGGATTTCACTGATGTCGTCATTCAAAGTATTGTGACATGATATGTCTTAAAAGTTTTAGAAATGCGTAGCAAATAATAAGGTACAAAGTATAGGGAACTTATTAAACGATACTTACAGTTTCATCAGATTTCGATATCTATTTAAAATAGATTAGGGAATAATACCAATGAGACACTAAATGATGGTCACTCTACATAACAGATTATCAAAAAAGGTCAAGTTTTGCTTGACTGCATAATCATTTAGCATTTGGATGAGATAATATTGACGTCGATTTACTCGGTAGTTGTGAATTCAACTTCAGACGGAGTTATGGGATCGCATCAATTGAAATATCTTAAAATAGAATACACTAAAAGTGTCAGTGTTACTTAGATTTTTTAAATTACTGCCTATCTTGTATGAAAAGACCTATAGTGCATCAATTGCTGCGGAATAAATTTGAAATTACAATGATGATAACAGCAATGAATGGAAAAAAAGAAGTGAACTGGGGGTAAAATTAACCAGGGGAAACATTATTATGACCAAGGTAAGACGAAAGGAGTTTAACAAAACGTTTTTGAATAAGTAACTTAGAAGTTCACCCTCGGTTGATGGGGAGCTAAATGACTTGACTTAAAGAAAGCTGTTCATAAATAGGAGACTTCATTCCCCGGTGAACATGCTGTGCCAGCTGCACATGTCATGTAATAAGCTGTATGGGGGTCTTCTTAAGGAAAAAGAACCCAAAACTAGGTTTTGAAGCTCATTGTGGTTTTTTCTCAAAATTGTTGTGTGGAACTATTAGCTGAGAAGGATTTCTAAATGAAATTAAGCAATGCAAGTTTCTCGTGTGATTTCATTTGTACTTTTGTTTTGGGAATATGTCGAATAACTTTTTGAATGGCTTTTTTATTGTCAACATTAAAGAGCGCCAGAAACCGAACCCACATGAATGACTGTAAGTATTCATTTACTTGTTAGATACATAACATACACACACTTAGGCAATTATTATTATTGTTCCCTTGGGTTCCTAGTGGAACATAGGGCTTCAACTACACGTCTCCATTTGCTTCTGTCTTCTGCTGTACTTTTCACCTGCATCCATGTTAGTCCATACTGTTTCAGCTCCTCTTCACACGATCTCCTCCATGTCACCCTTGCACCGACGAACCACTCGCCGCTTCCCTTCCGGGTTCCACTTCAGCACTGGCCTAACGCGCGATGTCACCCAACGGCCTCCTCAGCGAGTGTCCAATCCATCTCCACTTTCTCCTGCATATTTGTTGAGCGATTGGTTCTTGTTTTGTTTGTTCCCATAGTTTCTTGTTGGTTCTTGTTCTTTCCGGCAATCTGATCTTCAGTGTAGAGTGAAGACAGTTGTTGATAAAGGTCTGCAACAGGATGTTGGAAATATTCTTTGTGATCCGCCAAGTTTCTGATCCATCCGTATAGAAGAACTGACTTGACGTTTGTATTGAAAATCCGAATCTTTGTTGTTGATGCAGGCTGAGTGACGAAGATTTCTAGATTGGTTTCAGGTTGATGAATGTGTTTCTCCCCTTCCCGATTCTCGATTTGACATCCTCGTCCGTTCCTCCTGTGGTTGAGACAATGCTCCCTAGATAAGTGAATGAAGCAACCTCTTTCAAATCCCTCGCGTTGATGATGATTTGCGCTAGATGTTGCTGTTGTTGTTGTTGGTGGTGGTTGGTTATTTTCATGACCTCCGTCTTGTCTATGTTCACCTGGAGTCCTGTCTTCTCTGGTTGCTTCTTCGACCAGTTTGTCGGTTTTCGCTTGTAAGTCTTCGATTTTGTGTGACATCAAACATAAATCATCCGCAAAATCCAGGTCTTCTAGGTTCTTCACGTCGGTCCAGGATATCTTTGTCTTCTCGTTTCCCACTGTCTGACGCATAATCCAGTCCACCACAATTAGGAATATCATTGGCGATAATAAGCACCCTTGTCTGACTCCTGTGTTTACTCCAAACGCTTCACTGAGTTTTCCGTTGTGGATCACTTGACATGTGCCGTTGTCGTACAGCTGTTGAATAAGGTTGATGAATACTTAAGGTATGCCGTAGTACTTCAGTAGTTTCCAAATTACTTCGCAGTCAACATACTTAGGCATAAACAGTGAAATTTTCTCATTTGTAGAGGTCACAAATATGATTTTTTAAAGTTTTTACTAAAGGTTACCACGTAAATTTCCAAAGATTTAGAGCATCGCATCCTGCTCAACTAACCTAGAGTACGTTATCCACATGTCTGATAAGATGATGGAGGTATATCCCAACACCCCGGTGGGCACCATATCTGAGGATGGTCAACAATCTCTTTCCACGATGTCTACCTCTGAGAGACCAGTGTCATCTGACTTACAGTCATCTATTTCATCGCCAGAGTCACAAATAGCAGAACTAACAGTCAATCTCAAACCTCCAGTCACATCGTAGTTGGTCAAAGTCACGGCCACTTAGAATCTCGTTCTCTCTTCAAAGCGACCCAAGACACAACTTACATGTCCCAATAAGCTCTTTTATATTATCGATGGAGCTGAGAGAGCTTCTTGCTACCTAGCTGGCAAGCAGCAAGTAACTACTAGAGCATTTCTCATCGGAAACTGATGTCCTGTGAACAACTGCTGCGTAACGTTTGTCTGATAGGAGGGAATGTCATTTTCCACTTTTAAAAAAAACTATACAAAATCATATATCCGTCCTCTGTACCTCTATTACATTAGATCTTGAATTCCAATTGTGACTTATGGTAATACCAAAGGTAAGTTAATTTTTTTAAATTTTGATTTACAGCTTGATTCCACACCGTATTTTCAGTACAAGTGTGGAATTTTCAGCATGGATATCGGTAGCCCAAATTCAGGCCACCATAGATATCGGGTGTGCGCCGGCAGGGGATCGAACCCTGGACCATGTGCATGGTCGGCGAGAGTCCTAACCACTGTGCCACCGACGCACATTTAGGATATTTTTTCATGTTATGGTGTGCTGTAAGCTGAATGGAGTAACGTTAACCCATAAGATACTGTAGTCAAGAAGAACAACTGGACTATCCAGCTGTAAATACACAACAACACCAACAGCATCCTTCATCTGAGCTACACATTTCCAAATTTAAGATATGTTTTTCCGCGTTTCCATTTATTCTCATATTTCTCCAAGAAAGACATTGCTGAAAAATTTCCAGTTTTGTTGAATTAAAAAAATAAATTATGAAGGTAAGCACGTTGGCGATAAAACGGTAGAATTCCCACCAGCCGAACGTGTGGTCCGGGTTCGATTCCCGGCCGATACACCACTTAAACTTGCTTAGTTTACTAGCCAATATTCAGTCTGAAAACGAGGAAAGATTGAGTTTCAGACCAGCAGCTGCGTCCTGTGAAAATTACACCACCGTAACTGAAACTCTATAGCTCAAAATTTGGAGTTTCTATGTTCCACTTGGAATGCCATCGATTTCCTTCTAAGTTATCCTTAGAAGACCTGGATTTCGCGCGTGGATGATTTATGTTTGATGTCACACAAAATCGAAGACTTACAAGCGAAAACCGACAAACTGGTCGAAGAAGCAGCCAGAGAAGACAGGACTCCAGGTGAACATAGACAAGACGGAGGTCATGAAAATAACCAACCAACACCAACAACAACAGCAGCAACATCCAGCGCCAATCACCATCAACGGGAGGGATTTGAAAGAGGTTGCTTCATTCACTTATCTAGGGAGCATTGTCTCAACTACAGGAGGAACGGACGAGGATGTCAAATCGAGAATCGGGAAGGCGAGAAACACATTCATCAACCTGAAACCAATCTGGAAATCTTCGTCACTCAGCCTGCATCAACAACAAATGATTCGGATTTTCAATACAAACGTCAAGTCAGTATCTTCTATACGGATGGATCAGAAACTTGGCGGGTCACAAAGAATATTTCCAACAGCCTGTTGCAGACCTTTATCAACAACTGTCTTCGCTCTATACTGAAGATCAGATGGCCGGAAAGAACAAGAACCAACAAGAAACTATGGGAACAAACAAAACAAGAACCAATCGCTCAACAAATATGCAGGAGAAAGTGGAGATGGATTGGACACTCGCTGAGGAGGCCGTTGGGTGACATCGCGCGTCAGGCCAACGCTCGAGTGGAACCCGAAAGGGAAGCGGCGAGTGGTTCGTCGGTGCAAGGGTGACATGGAGGAGATCGTGTGAAGAGGAGTTGAAACAGTATGGACTAACATGGATGCAGGTGAAAAGTACAGCAGAAGACAGAAGCAAGTGGAGACGTGCAGTTGAAGCCCTATGTTCCACTAGGAACCCAAGGGAACAATAATAATAATATCCTTAGTGTAGCCTCACGATACTATAGTAAATATTGTAGTTAGAAGTATTTTGTTCTTATTTCACAAAAGATAAAACTGTGTCTTACATTCTAGAGAGACAGTCGCATCTAGAATAAAGAAAAGATGGACAGGTTTTCCGATAAACTAAGAATCATTGTTATTAAAAAAAACACTTGAGACTACCAGTATACGTATACAGTGTAAAGATTGCTCGACAAATCTTTGTAAAAGGTGTATTTTTTATCCGTAAAGGTATGCTTAACTACATTTGTTCAAGTGTTATTAGTCAATTGGAAAGACCTACGGTTCATGGATTTAGCAATTATTAACAAGATAAATTGGTAACTGGTTTTTATGACAGGCTTATCATCATTTATTCCCTTACTTTAGTTATGAATGTGAAAGCTTCGCACTTAATTATCACATTTTTTTCGACAATCATGAGCAAGGTGTATCTGATGCGTTCGGGCGACTTTCATCAATCAATATCTCAGTGAGATACTTCACTTCAAACTATTCAAGTCACAGGTGATGCACCATAACACATCGATTACTGCTTACTTCAGCAGTGGTTGGCACTGATTTCATCGTGGGTTATGTGAAGATTCAAAATGAAATTTACTCATAGTTAACAAGAAGAACTACGTCTAGGTCAAAGGAGAGATTATCTTATAAATGGATTTCCACAAGATATATTTTTGATGTGAGTAGGTAGGTATGAGCGTTCCTGAAATGCACATGAACAGAGGATTTTGAAAATATCTGATGCTGTATTTAATTAGAAAAGCATCTGAAAGTTGAAGAATACTAGACATCTTTTTACCCCACCCTCTCAGTGGGACAATAAACTTGATCTTACTCGAAACATCCATGAGTAACTGAGTCGAGGTCATTAGGCTTCGAGATAGGCTCACAGGTGCAGAATCTAATGTCCCATGATTTCCACCTTCTACCGATTCGTTCAGTTCGTACAATTTACATTTACCGTAATCCCCTTCAGATGAATTTTCCCAGACTTCACAAATCAAAGCTTCTTATCAAGAATTCAGCATTACCAAACTCAAAACCAGTTGCAAAAGTGTCCTTTTCAACATCCCATAGATATGGTTTCAGTTCACCACAAATCGAACGTATAGTCTGAAATTGAGATAATGCAATTCCATATTAGTTTGTTTATTAGTTGTATCACACAGTGAAACAGTATTATTTACTGGATGACACAGTTTCGGACAAAATTTATTGTTCATAATCATTTCATCAATTATAATCACACGACTTTGACACTTGAGTTTTATAGTTGCCTTCGTCCTCTCCTATTTGTCGTCATTCGGGTAGTAGAATTTTCCAGATATCTTGGAAAGGCGTTGAATCATTCCTATTACACGTATTCCCTCTCAGTTGATTCGATAAACAAAGCTTCCTTTATCGATCTCTCCCTCCACCCTGTGACATTAGATTTTAAAACTGACATCCTATCCCATCCTATTGTATGGTTGTGTGTGATTGTATGTAGTACCATAGTTGAAGTATTCTCTAGATTTCTTATCTTATTCGGGTCAACTAATTTAGATTTTGTTAGGTTTTCAGTTGACCCGAATAAGATAAGAAATCTAGAGAATAGTTCAACTATGGTACTACATACAATCACACACAACCATACAATAGGATGGGATAGGATGTCAGTTTTAAAATCTAATGTCACAGGGTGGAGGGAGAGATCGATAAAGGGAGCTTTGTTTATCGAATCAACTGAGAGGGAATACGTGTAATAGGAATGATTCAACGCCTTTCCAAGATATCTGGAAAATTCTACTACCCGAATGACGACAAATAGGAGAGGACGAAGGCAACTATAAAACTCAAGTTTCGAAGTCGTGTGATTATAATTGATGAAATGATTATGAACAATAAATTTTGTTCGAAACTGTGTCATCCAGTAAATAATACTGTTTCACTGTGTGATACATCTAATAAACAAACTAATATGGAATTACTTACTACCACAGTGCAGATATTAAGTGCCTTTCGAAAACTGATGGCTCAATAGATCATATCAGCGCTGAAATAACACCACTGAAATGGCTTAGATAACATATTTCCCTAATAAAAATCACGCTCTGTCGATACTGTAAAAAATACAGTATTATAATAGAAATTAAGTTAAAAATCCTAACTTAAAATAGAACAACTTTCTGGTTGTCCCCTGTTTCCTCTAGTTCTCAGACTGACTTCTTTTCATAGGTAAATATATCTGAAGACAGTATTTTTTTCCTTCAAGTTCCCAGTGGAACATAGGGCTTCAAGCTAATGGCTTGAAGTTTCTGTAGCAGTGTTTATTTTTACAGGGTGGGGTTGCTAGCCTCATGCCCAACCTTTCCTCTTTACCAGCGTTTTTTTATATTTCTGGCTTAGCGAGGTAAAGGAGTGCATTGGTGGCCGGAGATCGAACCCCGGACTATGTGCATGTTCGGCGAGCTTCCTAATCACTGTACCGACGACACAATAGGGGCATTAACCATTCAATCTTCCATCTGTGAAAGTTTGGCCGTTTGATACGTTGATAAATTTAGACTTTTGAAGGACAACATGTACGAAATACACTACGTAAGCTTTAAAATCCGCTCTTATTCTGCTTCATGATAATGCATATGTATTATTCATTTTTGACTATTCGCTCAGTAGAAAAATAAACAATTCTTGAAAACATACCCAGTAATGGAACATATTAGCCTGTAGTAGAATAACATGATAAATATCTTACATTTGTAGAACAAATGGTTTTGTTATTTTAACCTATTCTAATACGTCTGATCTAATGAGGGACATACACAGCAAAACACTCTTATGAAGGTTTTCATTTCTTTTTTTCACATCATTAACAACAATCCTACGAATAGCAAAGCTTGTTCTTTATCAACTGTTCCCCCAATTTTCAAGTTAAACATTAGAAAGAGTTGATCACCATTGAGAAGCCCGTTTCAACCTGGGTCGATAATTATTAGAGATTATTATTATAATTATTATTTATTAATTCCTTCACGTTCCCAGTGGAACTTAGGGCTTAAAGCTAGAGCAAGCTTGAAGTTTCTGTAGCAGTGTTAATTTTTACAGGATGGGGTTGCTAGCCTCATGCCCGACCTTTCCTCTTTACCAGCGTTTTCTTCATTTCTGGCTTGGCGAGGTAAAGGAGTGCGTTGGTGGCCGGGGATCGACTAGCTTCCTAACCACTGTGCCACCGACGCATAGTTACTAGAGATGTGTGTGTCCGTAGTTTTGTGGAGACAAACGTTTCCATTTCATACTTAAGGTTGTACTACTCACTTCTGAAGTAAGAGATTTTACGATCGATAATTTGTTTTGGTGATGATGACTGACAATGTGTGTGGTCATCAATTTATTGATCTAGCCCTTAAATTGTACATGAATTCAAATCTACCCCCTGCATATCTGCAATTCAGCCATTAGACTAAGGTAACGCGTAAGGTCTTACACTGTGGCGAAGCTATCATGGTATCATTAAATGTTACAAAAGGTTAATTCATAGGGTTTTGGCTTGGTCTTTCATTAGCGATTATCACTAATTACTTCTTTTAGTTGTAAGTGAATGAAGGTATCAAAGAATAAAAATAATTATTTGTCAGTTTGATAATTATTTTGTAAATTTTTAATAATTTCAACACAGAAACGGTTGTCTATCTGGTACTAAGAATATGCATCAAATGAAGCATGCAGAAGGGCCGACTGGCGAAACCAGCGAGAAGTTAATTACATCAGACAGAAGTGATATGATCACTTGATGGTGTATTTGCACAATATATGTCGGGAAGCGTACCCATAAATGGCGTATCTGGACTAATCACGTAAAAACACTAATCAGCTACATTGAATGATTGATTGATAATAGGAGGCTTTGTCATCCCATTCATTCTGGGCGGAACATAGAGCTGTAGACCCTCTTGAAGTTCCAATAGCAGTGATACTGCTTCTATAGCATGGGGGTTGCTAGCTTCATGCCCAACTTTCTCACTTTTTTGGGCTTTCTACTGGCCACGAGAAGTGCAAGAGTTCGTCAATGATGATTTGAACCTGAACCTCCTTCGTCATTGAAAAGCACTGGGGAGTTATGAATATTTTCTTCACTGAACTGTCTCACTATGCACCGTGGTTTAGTTAACAGTTTGATCCATCGAATAAGTGGAAGTTAATAAGCTTTTCTATGAGGTCCAGAAAGTCATTTCTTCATGCATTTGCTCTTATTGAATTGTGTAAACGTAAGTTTCCATTGCATTTATATATTGATAATAATATAAGTGATGTTGGATACAGCTACTACGGACAATAAGAAAGCCATTAACTTTATTCGGATTTCACAGTATGTAGATACCTTCAATCTGTTATATAACCCTGGATTTGCTTAATCTTCAAACCAGCTAAAACCAGTCTGGGTAATTTTAAACCATCGTGTCGAGTTAGATTATTTGTCATAATGAGATTAGACAACCTTGAAATCCAAACTCATACAACCAGTTAGGTTAATTACGTTTCGTACAATGAAGACAGATTGTTCTCACCGGCTCGTAGCACTCTTTATTACGTCTTCATTTGTTTAAGCTCTGAGCGGTCAAAAGTGACTGGAAATTAGTATTAGTATACGGTCTTCAGACGAGTTACTTAATGTCTTTCTGTGTCGAATTCTAGTCTCAGTATTATTACTAGTGTTGGTCAAATCAAGCCATATCAAGATTTGGTGCTGTCATAGAACCGGAACATTAGCATCTTTATTGTTCAAAAAACATTCGTTGTTGTTGATTTCTAATCAGATTCTTCCTAACGTTATCACCTTCTTCCTCTTCTTCTTGAGGGGTTCTTTTATTGACAGACAAATTATGATTGCTATGATAGAGAAGATTTGTAGCTCAGGTGGATGATTTTGATATGGTTGTGTTCTCTGAGCTAGCTGGATAGTTAATTTGCGAAGCTTTCATCACCCTACTAGGCGACATCTTCAGCGCATACTTCAATTTGAAGTGAGCTTTTAGATTTCTCCACGAGTTTATTAATCATCTCTCCCGGTGAGCCTTGGACGTGATTGGTTGTTTTTGTGTGTTTTCACACCTTCTAGGCTACTTATATTGGAACTCATTGTTTCTTTGACTTGAACTTTGACCCTTTGTGTGTGAGGTTTCCTTCTTATCGGTTGATAAATTTTGTCAATCTCGATGTGTCTATTGATTGATGATTCACTGGAATGCCAAGCTTCTAAAAATTCTCTAGCATTCTTGTTGTTTCCTCTGTCTAATATTTGAACATTGTCCCAATCGAATTGATGCCCGTGGTTGTCTGTATGTAGCGATATGAGGGAGTGGATATCATGTCTTTTGACAGCTAGCTTATGTTCGTGGATACGAAGACGAAGGGGACGTCCACTTTGGCCAATGTAGTGTTTTTCGCAGTTAATACAATTATGATTGCTTCTTACAGGACATTATTGCACAATTTATTTATTATTTCCTTGGGTTTTAAGAGAAACACAAGGCCTCAGCAGTACATCACCGTTTAACCCCATTCCCTGCAGTCATTTTTACCTAACTTAGTGATTGTCTACCTGCTTTCATTTATTCCACACATGATCTCCTTCATATCATCCTCGGAGTCAACCACAACTCGTCACTTCCCACTCAGGTCCAACTCAGTGGACTGGCGGGTGTGTCGATCAGTGGTTTTCTCAGAGTATGTCAATTCAATCTCCATTTCCTTCTTCGTTGACTGGCTGCCAGAGTGATCGACTATCTGTCCTTCAGCATCGAGAAAAAAGAGGTATTGATGAAAGTCTTCAATAGCCTGTTAGAAATGCTTTCCTGTGACGCGTGAGCTAAGTCTCTGAATCACCCATAGAAGCACTGAACCCCCTTGAAATTAGTGTTGAAGCTCCGGATCCTGTTGTTGTTGTTTATGCTGAATACAGATGATTTTGCAAACTGACTTCAGAGTAATGAAGGCCTTTCTTACTTTTTCGTACGTGGCTGGCTTCACTATCTTCTTCATCCGTGACACCTGTAGTTCAAACCGTACTGCCTAGATAACGGAACGTATTGACCTATTTCAAATTTCTCCCGCTGATGGTAACTGATGTTTGTTGTTGTTGTTTTTGTTGGTTATGTTCACTTGAAGTTCTGTTTTCGCCTGTAGATCTCCGAGTTTATGGCATTAAATATGATTACTGCATATACTACTTATACCTGTTCATAAATAGTACACACAACCATACGGGCTCTTAATATATTGTAGTTTTATTAAATGGAATCACAAAATTTAAGACAATTTATACAATAAAATAGTCCCAGTAGCTAGCTGGGGATGCGCTGAAATCGTTTCGATCATCACTTACTCAGGTTTTTGTGCCTCCAGTGAGTCTATAAGGCTAAAAACGTATACAGAAAAACGATTACATTACGAAGTGTATGCTTCATTTTACAAATCCCAAGGGATACTAAACCTTAGCTCTCTTAGAACGTGTTTATTTCAATCAAATCAAAGCTTCGATTTCACCAGCGGATGACACCAGTGAGATATTTAGTTCTCAAAAAGGCAAAGTTAGACGTCAGGTAACAAAGAGTAGCGAACAAACCGGTGGACTTGGAAACAGCTGTGGAGCTGGAGGATAAATTCGGCCGTCTTACCTTAACCCTTGTCTTTCCTTAAACTAACCCTAATCTATCTCATTAATATAAACCTGATTCTAACATGTCCCTAGCCTAAGCCTAACCACAATCTTTGTGAAACCTCAGCTAAAACTAACCAAATATCCCCCTTATTATGATAATACTTCATTCAGTATTTGCCTTCCTTTAAACTTAGGGTTATCGACCTGTTTCTATTCAGTTGCTGAGTGAGTGTTCCAAGGTCATCGGTGCTTCAGACACTTCGTTGGTGCCTAATAAAAAAACTTCTCCTAAAAATGTGTCAATCAATTTATTTCACTTACAACAATTTTTCGAGTGTTTCGCTAATTTTATGTTTTTTTGGAAAATTAAAATAGATAAGTAACATTTATATACTACTAGTAAGTAATAAACAGAATTGCGAAAAGCTAATTATCAAAATATATAGCTGTATTGACAAAATATACTAGATGTGTATATCAGTTCACTTGCTCCTCTGGAGGTATGTACATAAGCTTTGTCGGTAGGATACTGGCTAGAGACGTACACAAGAACATCTGTCAGTGTAGTTGTCAAAAAAACACAGATTAGGTAAACCAATGTGCATTGTTGGTTCAATGATTGTGTGCTCGCTAACCACGCAAGTGATCCGGTGTTCGATTTCTGACTACTGGGGGATGGTTAAGCCTTCGGCTACCAACTGCACTCTGTGAAAAAAGCATCACAGCTGTTGACGCCTGAAGCTCAAAGCTTCAATCCAGATATTCCACTCCGAGCATAAACAAACTGCATAGAGGAAAATACACCGAAAACTTGACTCCTTAACACCTTATTCTCACATATCATTCCGTAGCAATAGAGAAATCTTTTGACTGGACACTAATAACTAGTGTGATGTGTCTAGTCCTTTCTTTGGTGTGGACTGAATTCTATCAGTTAGGTTTGTAATGTGGCCACCATTCTAGGTAGCTCGCCACCATGGTGCACATTGATTCGATGATATTAGATGGTTGGAGGCAATTGCGAGCCCGAATAGCTCAGTGGTAACGTCTCTGACTGCAGGCGGCCATGGGTGACGCGGGTTCGAATCTCAGAAAGGACATGAGTTCCTTCAAGGTTGCAGATACGCCTTGCTGACTGTTGAGTGCCAGCTAGCACGAAACCTAGGTGTGTGCAAGGCTTCCTGTGGCCGATTGCCTCCAACCATCTAATACCATCAAATAGAGAAATCTTTCAAAATAATATATAAGGTAAGACCAAGTACTCAGAAAGGTTTCTGACCATATTTTTCGCTAATATTCATTCATTATTTCATTTTTGTTCTTTTCAGACTCCTGACTTTAGGACATATTTTATGTATATTCCTAACTCCAAGAGTCTAACTTTATTAATAATCATTTCGGGATATTGCTGATCACACAACGCTCTTTTGATTACGTAAGACCCTTTAACCATGCTTTGCAATTTATGCATTGTTTTCTTCCTCATAAGCAAGTATTTCATACGTTTCGGTTACCAAGGGATATTAATAATTATCCTTTATTCGCATTTCAATGACCTTCCTTGAACACTGTTTATTATGCACGGCTTTGATGAGATGTTGCGAAAAGAATTTCGTCCACTGACCTATACCTTTTGAAGCTCTTTATATATATACACATGTATTGTTTGATATTTTACCTTAGCAAACTTATTATAATCAGGTGTGTTGTTAGTTTGTTAGTTGAGAAACCTAGAAAACATTGATCAATCCATTTCTATCCTTCCGTATGAAGTGTTTAGCGTCTATCTTAATATCCGTTCCTGTTGACATCAAGTCGATTAAATTACAGGTGCACTCTGATAAATAAAAAGTGTTCCAAATAGGGTACGAAGTATCTGTTTTCTTCCCTACATACTGCTGACCAGTTTTCAGAAGGATTTCGATTCCTCACCAGATCAATCCTGAAATGAATTAATGCTACTTGCATTTGGCTCATATGCAGCGCTGGTATTGTGGAGGATGAGTTAAATCATTTGAGAAAAATCCTAATAGAAAATGGATTTCCACCACGTTTTATAGACAAGAATATACAGTCAAATCCTGCGAAATGTGACTTATCATCCGTACTCAAGAAAATACTCTACATAAGCTTGGAATTCAAAGGTGACTTAGCTCCCGATATCATAAAAAGAAGGATCTCACAGGCCCTGACAACAACATCCCCTACCGCATCTTTGAGAATAGCCTTTACCAGTCGACTATTACTGTTCGATAACCTGGAGGAGAAGATCCCGCATTTGACCAACTCTATGTGCGTTTATCAATTCACCTGCTCATGTGGAGCTAGATATATCAGTCATTCGACTCGGATTTTGTCCAAGAGGGCATAAGAACACTATCCTGCATGGTAACGAAGAGGTGGAAGTGGAGCAATAAGAAGCGTGATCACCCTATCCCTATAGCCTCCGCCTTTAAAGTTATCTACAAGGCGAAAAGTAATTTGCCCAAATCACTACGTACCCGACTCATCTGTATTGCTGAAGCCAGATCTCTGTATACAGAAAAAGTTCGCTCAAACCCCTTCAACTTTCATTGTCTTAATCTCTCTATGCTGAAGTATGGTAATCCCTAGTAATATCTTGGCTCTATCTATTTTTCGTTTTTTTCACTTTGTATACTCTTCCTTTATTACGTCAATTGTTACTATTACTATTCTCACTTTAAATTGTCCCCAGTATTATTTCACTCGTTCCAATTGTCATTCTAAATCGGTTCTGTTTTGCAACGTTAAATTCCATGTTGTCAGATTTCACACAATGTTACGTAACATTTTTATTCTTATTCTATTTGCCTACTAATTCCATAATTTCAAACCCCTTCCAAGTCCTATACATCCTATGAATTGTTCTATATATGACACTAATTGTTTTGCCACTTCACATTCAACCATGATTATAATCACAAACATTTTAATTGCTTTTCATACTACTATTATTATTTTATGCATTCACACCTTTGATTCATTTCCCTCACCGGATATAATTTCTTTCTAACAACCGTATATATACGATTGTACATTTTGAAAATAAATTCGTTGAAAAGAGTCTCTTCGCTGAATCACTTGTTTTGATTTTCTGCGTGTTACAATGCGAATTTTCCATGAAATAAATATTTACCAACTGTGAATATAACAGATCAGCTACAGACACGTTATAAGTAATGAAATATACTGCGTGACTTCTTCGATTAACATGGGAGAACTTTTCACTCTCCTCATGTAAGCATGTAATTTATTCTTGTGTCGAGCTGCATTGAAACGGCAGGATCAAGAATACGCATATCTCTCTACCCGTGTTTCGTCAGCTAAATGTACACATTTTTAATTTTAACCACCCTAATGGCAATGAGATTAATGCTCGGCGTTCATCTTTCACTGGGTGATTGTTACCTCGTAGATTACTGAGCCATACTAGTGAGCTTTTCTGTCGAAATCATAATCTTGCCGTTCTTTTATACTCATAAAATTCTGATTACTGAGTCTTTCCCTGAATAAACCTTATAAGTGTGATTGATAACTACGTTCAAATAAGTAAAACTGGAGTGAAACTTGACATTTAGTCATTCCACCTATTTCTCACTAAGATCTAATCCATTTCGGTTAAATACAATCTAGTTTGGTCATTTAGTTCTAGGTGTCTTGCATTTCTTTTTTTCGTTCACGTTCCCCAGTGGAACATAGGGTTTCAAGCTGGAGGCTTGAAGTTTCTGTAGCAGTGTTTTTATTTTTACAGAATGGGGTTGCTAGCCTCATGCCCAACCTTTCCTCTTTACCAGCATTATTTCTGGCTTAGTGAGGTAAAGGAGTGCGTCGGTGGCCGGGGATCGAACTCCGGACCATGTGCATGGTCGGCGAGCGTCCTAACCGCTATACCACCGACGCGTTGCATTTCTTATGGGGTTTCAAAACAGCAGTTAAATCATTCTAAGTATAGTGTATAATTCTTTTGAAATAGTATTCTAAATTAAGCGCTTTGTCAGTTTTTGTTTTCTAATATGTACAATGCTAATTGAAACTGTGTGTGTGCTCAGTTGAAGTTTCAGTAACAGCACTATCATTCCCTCGAATATAAGTATCTTCAGAGAATAAAACCTGAGCAGTATGAGACCCACACACACCATTGATTCCGCCGGTATAGTAAACAATACGCAGAAAACATATTTCACTTATGATTTCTGGGGACTGCATTAAAGTTGAATAACCTTAATTTTCGAGGAAATATTCTTATGTAAGGCTTTTGATAGATACTTAATCGTTTGTAGTAGTGTCAAAGTTAGAGTGTCTATAGTCCTGAAATCGAAGATAAAGTTATATTCACTTACAGGTCTTTGAAATAAATGAAACTAAAATGGAAAAATAATTTGTAGTTTATATATTTAATACCATTTTTTATTTTATTTAACATTTTGTTTGTAAATATTCAGTACTGTCATTTTTTATTCCATTACGTTCCCAGTGAAACATACGACTTCAAGCTAGAGGCTTGAAGTTTCGGGAACAGTGATGTTTATTATTTTTTTTTACGGAATGGGGTTGCTAGCCTCATGTCCAACTTTCCTTCTTTACCAGTCATTAATGGCTTAGTGAGGTAAAGGAGTGCGTCGGCCGGGGATCGAACCCTGGACCACATGCGTGGTTGACGAGCATTCTACCGTTGTGCCACTGACGCAGTTTACCGCACTGCACTTCAATTTGGTGTCATTTGCATAGAATCATCAATCTGAATGTCCTGTACTTGTAGTTGTCGACAGTCATTTACCAAAGTGCATCTGTTTTGTTGACAGTGCTCATGTTTCCTCTTAGAAACGAAGGGATTTAAATCTCACAAGACACGCTGGAAGAACCGATAGATCTTGGAATAGTGAATAGCGTTCGTTCACAATGAATTTGTTTTGATCACGTATATATATTCTAATGCTAAATTTTCCCTCAGAGAGTGTGAATATTCCTACTCAGTGTAAAGTATTTACACAACCAGCACATGACTAATTTTCGTGCCTATTAATTAATGAAGACTAGAGATTCAATTGCATACAAACAAATTGAAGATATCTTTAGTATTCGTAAGCTTTTCGTTCGTTCGGTGCAGACTGAATTCTATCAGTCAAGCTTGCAATGTGGCCACCATGCTAGGGGGCTTGCCGTCACGGCGCATTGTGAATTGTTGGTATTAGATGGTTGGAGGCAATCGGCCACAGGAAGCCTTGCACACACCTAGGTTTCGTGCTAGTTGGCACTCATCAGTCAGCCGGCAATGCGTATCTGCAACCTCGAAGGAACTCATGTCCCTTCTGAGATTCAAACCCGCGTCACCCACGGCCGCCTGCAGTCAGAGACGTTACCACTGAGCTATTCAGGCTCGTAATTGACCTCCTGTAGGATTGTATTGGATATTTCAGAAGGATACTGGATATCTCAGAGGGGACATGAGTTCCTTCGAGGTTGCAGATACGCCTTCTTGACTGTCGAGTGCCAACTAGCACAAAACCTAGGTCCAAGGCTTCCTGTAGCCAATTACTTCCAACCATCTAATACGAACAAACAATATTCTTTTCGATAAATTCTTTATCAGGTTCTACAGTTATGTGTCAATAATACTTAAAGAATGATTGCTATTGACAACACTGATGTTTTAAATAACATAGAATCAATAAGATCAGTGGATTACAGTTCATAGCATGTGGTTATGTGTTAATATCCATAAGTACAACGCTAAATCGAATATTGGATAAATTAAGAGAAATATTACACTATTTATGACTAAACAGATTCTACAGCAGGTCAGGGTAGCAACAAGAGCTGGACTTGTTTCTTTTGTACACAAAGTTTTGGTCATTATAAGCGAGTTGTTATTGGCTTTTATTGTTTGCAGTATTCGAAACACGATAAACGATATAAAAAGAGTCTTCTGTGTTGGCCTTGTGAACTACTTGGACATGGTGTGATACTATCGAACTGTTAATGCTTCTCGTTACTCTGAAATCAGTCTGGAAACCTGTCGCAGTCAGCATGAAGAACAAAATTCGGATTTCTAAATCTGATTTCAAGTCAATGCTTTTTTTATGTTTCAAAGGCCAGGCGCGTCAAGGAAAGCACTTCCAACAGTTTGCTGAGTATTCGCATCAACAACTGCCTTTTCAGGTTTCATACAGAAGATTCGATGGCCAACCAGAAAGGATTAACAATAAGCAATTCTGACAGAAAATCAAACAAGAACCTATTGTTCAACAAATACGCAAGAGAAAGTTGGGATGAAACGGAAACACGCTGAAGAGATCCATGAGTAACATCATAAGCTAGGCGAGCCGTCGAGTGGAATTCGGAGGGGAAACGACGAGTTGCGCCTCCGTCAGTGTCATAGAGGAAATGAAAGCTTGTGTACACTCATGGGGACAGCAAACGAGGACTGCACATAACAGAGCAAAATGAGATCTGCCACTGAATCACGTTGTTCCACTGGGAACCCAAGGGAATATTAAGATACATATAGTAAGTAATTTAAACAACACTGTTATTCAGCGACATTTTTAGGTGTTTCCAGGCAGAAGCAATCAAAATCCGACAGCTACGGTCTATACAACTGTCTCTACAGAAGCGACTGTATTGATATTACTGAGTGTTCTTTTTCTGTCATATGTTGCACACCGAATTAATTGCTAAAAATCCTATGGATGCCAATTACGCCAAACAACAGAAGCCATAACGATTTGCTTAAAACAGCCAGAGCTTTGTGTGAAGAAGAGACGGATCCAGTCAACATTGATCTTGTTACCTGCGGTGGAATCTATGAATTCATAAGTACTGTATTATTACTCCTAATTTATGTGATATTCAGTTTAGCATCTCATTTTTATACATATTATCACATACACATGTTGTGAACTGTAATCCACTGATCTTAATGATTCTACGTTAATTAAAACATCAAAGTTGTCAATAGCAATCATTCTTTAAGAATTAAAGATATGTCACTGTAGAGTCTGATGTGATTATCGAAAAGAAATTATGGAATTGTTTGTCTTATAGAATAGCGATTAAAACAACATGATAAAAGTGTGACAAAGCTAGAAAATCTTTTGGTGTCTTAAGGCAGTCGGTTTAAACCACGTTTAACTACATCCTCTAAGTATTTCCCATCCACATGTATGTAAATTTTAGATTCAAGATTTGATTTCCAAGACTGACCGGTGAGAAAGTAATTTTCGTCAAAAATCGAAGGCATTTATAGAATCACAGAACACTAGGATCCGGTTGAAATTTATTTCATCCCATTATGGACTTCGTTTTCAGGTGGGCATAGACAAGACAGAGGTTATCGAAATAACCGACCAACAACAACAGCAGCAACATCCAGCGCCAATCAACATCAACGGGAGGGATTTGAAAGAGGTTACTTCATTCACTTCACTGATCTAGGGAGCATTGTCTCAACCACAGGACGAATGGACGAGGATGTCAAATCGACAGTCGAGAAGGCGAGAAACACACTCATCAACCTGAAACCAATCTGGAAATCTTCGTCACTCAGCCTGCATCAACAACAAAATTCGGATTTTCAATACAAACGTCAAGTCAGTCAGTTCTTCTATACGGATCAGAAACTTGGTGGGTCACCAAGAATATTTCCAACAGGTTGCAGAGCTTTATCAACAACTGTCTTCTCTCTATACTCAAGATCAGATGGCTGGAAAGGATCACCAACAAGAAACTATGGGAACGAACAAAACAAGAACCAATCGCCCAACAAATATGCAGGAGAAAGTGGAGATGGATTGGACACTCTCTGATGAGGCCGCTTGGTGACATCGCGCGTCAGGCCATAGCTCGAGTGGAACCCGAAAGGGAAGCGGTGAGTGGTTCGTCGGTGCAAGGGTGACATGGAGGAGATCGTTTGAAGCGGAGCTGAAACAGTATGGATTAACATGGATGCGGATGAAAAGTACAGCAGAAGACAGAAACAAGTGGAAAGGTACATTTGAAGCCCTATGTTCCACTAGGAACCCAAGGAAACAATAATAATTTCAGTGAATACACATCGTCTGAGTATGAGGGCACATTATCATTCACCCAACTGGTAGAGTTTCACCAGCTCAAGTTGTTTATTTTTCCCCAGACAAGAATGATTCATAAAAGCTGGCAGAATGATATGTCTGACTGTTTGGCTGTACTTTTTATGCAGTAAAAAGTGTCCATTCACATGTAACAATAGCTTTATTCTGAACAATATGTATAAAATATACAGAATTCTCAGTGGAGTTTATTGTATGATATTTTCCCTTCGTCCAGGATCTTCATATAAAATACTAATTGACAGTAGATCGTGTGACATAGTTCGATCTGACCTGAAGAGCAAACCTATTCAATATGACATCTCTGCTTTTTATCCTTCAAGAAATACGCGACAATTATAAAAAATTCAGGAGTACATTTAATGAACCAAGGACACCACTCAGGAACGATCATCTCAAGTATTGGGATAAGGTGCCATCGAGGATAATGCTTTTTCACATGTTTAGTAGAAGCTTGCCAATCAGCAGATTATGAATGTTTTAAATACCCGCCAGGGTAAACAATATTGTTAGAGGTCATATATTACTAAATTTAAACAAAGTGAATAAGAGGAACTATTTGCAATATATAAAAATGGAAGTTTTTTCAGTAGCCCAGGTTTTAAGCAGGCTGCCCAGAATGTATGTAATATAAAACTCTGAGAAACTAGAATCAAAATAAATATTATTGAAAAAATAAATAAAAAGCGATAACACTGACACTGACGTACATATCACTTCCAGGCTTCCTGTCAACAGAGAGAATGAACAGTAAAAGGCTTTGAAACTATTGAACAAAAACCTTTCAACAAATGAATACAAATTCAAAGCAGTTTACTGACATTATTGATAATTAATGATCTGATCAAGAACTTTATCATTTATTTATCCAGAATATAACTGATCTCTTGTTTATTCCAAAGTGTATTGATGAAGTGTTTTTCGATCAAGAGTCTTTTATGGCCCCCAACTTGAGTTTCATGACAACATTGATAAATTTAGCATCTTATTTAAGCGCAAAATACTCTGAAAATGGAAACTTTTATTTCCTCCGAACAACTATTCCGACAAGATGCTACAAGGAAAGTGTCGGCACTTGATCTGAAATTTCAGTTGGTGTGTATCAGTCTACGATATAATACTCATTACAAACGTCAGTGAAGTATATTCCTTTATGTTAACTGAAAGTGTTTTTATACACTTTATCACTGTACATCGGTAGTTCAGTGATACGGGTACGGGGTTCAGCTCCTGGTCAGTGAACTTCTAAACCTTGCCTAGTTTACTGGCTCTTAGTGAGCCCGAAAAGAAGGAGATATTCGGCGTCAGACAACTGAGACTTTAAGGTGCCAAGGTTGAAGCTCTTGGTTCCACTTGGAACTCAAGAAATGAAGAAAAAACTGTAGAACTCCTACAATCAGTACAACTACATCCATCTAATCGATAGTTAGCTTGGAAATTATTTGATGTTACTTTCTCTACAAGTATAAGAATCCTAACATAAATCTGGTGCCCGTATTAAGGTCCAGAAAGAATAAGGACTTAAACAGAATTTCGCTTAAAAAGCTTTTGATATTAGGTGCAATGTACAACCACCTGTGTGAATAAAAAAAGTTAATTTATATATTAAAATTTCGGTCTGATTTCAGATGAAAATATCAAAATAACAATATTTTATTGCTATCGTGCCCTTGTGACACTTTTGTATCGCTGACTGTTTCCTAAGACATGAGCATCACTGGTTATTAAATGTTTAGACGTGTCAGTGGATCTAGTGTTTTTCGAAGTCATTTAAGGCATATATAATTAGCGCTGCTGTCAACTCTTTTGTTGTCGATTGTTTGAGACATTAAGACCTGTGTTGTTGACGACCCATCTTCTCTCCTTGTTTTCCTGTGTCAATGGTATTGTTATTGTCGTAGAGGTGGTGGTCGATGTTTTGAAATTAGCTCTTAGAGTTGTTCTCGTCAGTAGTATAGTGTTAATTCAGTAGAAGAGGGTGAAAATTCAAATCGTGTGCAATAGATAAACATACGGTTTATGTTTTGATGTGCTGTAAAAATATAGTAAGTATAGTTATCATTCCGCTAAGTATTTTTATTTATGCAAAGGTAATCAAGAAATACAGTTAGAAAAGAGTGAGTTTTTGACGAATAAAAGCGATATACTTTGGAATTATTCCTAAAACTCCAGAATTTCGTCTTTCTAGGGATAATCAATTTACAATGGCGTCTAAATTGATATAGAAAGTTCTGAAGATGAAATGCTAAAAGAATATCGTCCTAATATATGTGAAGACCATCTCCAAAATCACTATAAGACTGCTGAGATCTTGTGGAATAGATTCCACCAATAAATCGACATAATCACCTCAGTTTATACAATGTTAACCAAAAGATCCAGCAGCAAAAGAAGATGGAACCAACATCATCTACTAGGAAAATAACAACAATTCTGGAAAACCTTATACTGACCACAGTGGATGTCTTTTTCGTCTCCTCATACACAACTATAAAATGGCTTTTGAATGATGCATTATCCATTCCCACATATCGACAGTCCATAATGACATTTAGGGAAAGTAGTTCGACTTTGAAATTGTGGTAATATCAGGCGAGAAAAACAGCAAGAATGCCACGAAACTCCTAGAAACCTGATACTCAGACGTATCTGCAGTCAACAGACACACAAATACAGATCAGTTTTATCAAACAGTTAAAAGGAATCCACATGGACGATAGGTAGACAAAGCAATCAATAAAAATACAAGTCGACACAAATGTGAGACTATCTTCGGAAACAGCCAGTCAAGTTCAAGGTCATCGGGGGGGGGCGATTATTACAATCATGGAGAATACTCAAAGCCAAATTCATATACCATCCACCTCACACAAGATACCAACAGAAAAATGAAATCTCAAGCTTGTTAATCAATGGAACTATGGGAAGATGACACACTTGTCAAATTTTGATGTGGATTTCTAGGTGAAGTAACAATGGTTTCCAGGAAGCGAATAAGATGCATTTAATTGTCTTTTTTATTGAGGAATAATGCTCTGGCACATAACTAACCATAATACAAACTTCACAAATTTGATAAACAAAGTTTGAAAAGCCCTGAAAATTTACACACACACATACATATAATGGTCAGTGTCCAGTGTTTGATTTGAATACCTTTTTACCTCCTTGCATTAACAACCTCCTGTCAGGATACAATTTCGCCTGCTATTCATGACGATGCACGAAAGGAAGTTAAACACCTGCAGTACTACTGATTTATTAGGAGTTTCTCGTCTGATAAACAACAGGGAGAATATGTCATCTATGAGTGAAATGCTGATCACTTCCCAAGAATCATTTCAAAACGTCCTCTATAAGGCACAACTAGATATTTCGAGCAGACTTGTCATCTGTTAGTTAGTGATTTGTAGAAGACTTGGCAACAAGTCAGTTTATGCCCCAACGGGTTGATCTCTGACGAAATCTCAGTACGAATACAGAGGGCTAGTTTCGCATATGCCAGTTTACGCCGTCTCTGGCGTAGACGCGATATCCGACTATCGACCAAAGGGCGTGTGTACTGCTCAACAGTCCGCTCCGTCCTCCTTTATGGCTGTGAGACCTGGCCATTGAGAGCAGAAGACATGAAAAGATTAGCTGTGTTCGATCATAGGTGTCTGCGTTCTATCTCCCGTGTGAAGTGGTATAATAAGGTGAGGAATATTGAGGTTAGGCGTCGAGTGCTAGGTAAGGCAGGGAAATCAATAGACGAGACTGCGAGATTACATCGACTGAGATGGTTAGGACATGTGCTACGTATGCCTAGTCATCGCCTTCCTCGACGGGCAATGTTAGCTGATATAGGGTCAGGCGGTCAAACGAAAACATAGCACCAGTCAATGAGATCTACAATAGTTAGCCTAAGCCACTTCCTTGTTGGGGTCCTCGGGACGGCAAAAACCAATAGTTGGAAACAATTGGTGACTTGGCTAAAAATCGTTCTCAGTGGTGCAGATTCATCCACTCCTTGTGACTTATGATTTCCAATTAAACTGTTTTGTTCTTCGTTATTACTATTCCTTTGTCTCACACCTCTGTTTACTGTCTCTAATATGCATTTCTCCTACTTTCTTCTCTTGCTTTGTGTGCTACATGGAGTGTGGCGACTTGAACTGCCGCACATATGTGCAAAGTTCTGTGTCGAAAACCGACCGACCGAATATAACTCTGTGCGCAAATCTTGATATATTTAAATTCTTTCTCTAATAACTAATTGTTTATCTAAGTGATGTAATTCAGCCATAATGCATTTTATCTTAATTTTAATCTTTCATGCTCCCTTCCCCTTATCTATTTAAACATGACCTGAAAAATATCCACATGTGTTGTTTTGCATGATTAATTCGATGCGGTTTATTTGCTTTTTAATCTTGTCTTCCAATGTATTTCCAGTAGTAGCATTCAGCAGCTGAAGAGTTCCACCGAAAATCGGATGAATCCATCATTAAATCCTGTTTTATTACCAATATTGGAACTCCCTACCGGAACACGTCGTATCAGCGCCATCCGTTGATTCATTCAAGGCGAGATTGAACCTCCTGTGTGTAACAAATCGAAAGGATTAACACAGGCACATAGTCTACTATCCTAAATAAATTGTAAAGTGTAAATACGACTGTACAGCTTGAAAATGAAGTCGTTGAAAAGAAATTTCTTCGCTGAACAAAAAACTGTGTTTTTACTTATGGATATAGGCGTGTGTCAGAAGGTGACATGAAGAAGATGATACGAAAAGGTAATGAAAGCGTGAAGTCAGTAGAAGCTATTGTCGAGAACCTACAAGGAATTAAGATATGCTGCCTGAAGCCCTATATCCCCCTATGAACTCCGGAAACTAATAATAATGATGATTAAAAAAAATATTAAATTTTAATTATCACCTGATTAATATGAATTCATAGTAAGAACAGCTTTACAAATATCTAAACTTTTTTATTACACTTACAATGATTTTGATTGATCTTTGCTAAAGATTAAAAAAATTAAAATTAAAACTGTCTGGTTTTAGTTTTAAAGCAAAACCTGTTGGATTTTCAATCCTTTTTTTAACTTGGAGAATACAAAACAGTTGGCCATAAGTGTCTATCGGCCATAAAAAACACATTTGGACAATATTCTTTCTAAGTAAGCAAGAAAATGGACCTTTGACCAACCACCTGATCAGAAAATTCTCATTTTATTACAGGTATATGTATGACACCTTTATTCTTTGTGATAATGATTCGGATTGGAACACAATAATAACTCAATTCAATGAAGTACATTCTGCTATGAAATTCACGTGTGAAGAGGAATCTCAAAATAGAATTGCCTTCCTAGATATCCTCCAGATGGTAGTATTACAAGAAAATTGCATAGGAAAAGCAAATGAACAGGACAATATACACATTTTCATAACTTCGTTCCTCTCCAGTACAAAAGAAATTTAGTAAGGACCCTCAGCCACAGTGTTAGAGCTATATGCTCAGAAGAGGTAAATGAAGATGGACTGAGGATTGTATATGACACCCTAATCGAAAATGGCTATTAAGAAAAGTTCATCAAGAAGCACATGACCAAGAAAGCGGAAAAGGGCTATTCTCTATCAGTAAATAAGAAGCCTATATATATATATTCGACTCTAATTCAAAGGTGACGCACCTAGTGAAACAATGACTAACAAGTTAAGAAAATCTGTTCAAAGAAATTTTAATGCTGGAGAAAATACAAAAAAGTTGGCCTTAAGTGTCTGTCTACTGGCCATAAAACAGATTTTGACAATATTGAAATCATTCAGAAAAATTGGGAAAATCACAAAGAACGTTTCATCTTAGAGGCACTTCATTCTAACTGAAATCCGAATCATCTAAATATGAATGACGGATTAGAACACAATTTGACGTAGTTCTAAAACTGCCACCTCCGGCGCATGAAGTGACCGAATCAACAGACCTATAATAATAATAAGCGATTTCATTATGAGAACACCTGCCTCTATGAATAATGTCATACACTCATCAAATCTAACAATCGATATGTATGGTTTGTTATCTTCATCAGTTCCCATACACTTGGCAAAGTAAAAAGTCACCTCACGCTGAAGATATACGATTAAGTTACTGCATATCTTAGCTGGAATTTTGTAAATTCTGGTTTAATATTACTTTGATAAAGGCATCACCAGTAGTTTAGATAGCGAAGTGTCTGTAAAAATGTGAGACCCTTTTGTTTATTGAAACTGATGAGTTATTTTCACTTACAGATATTCTATATGTTCATCACTGAAACCAAATAGTAAACAAGCAATAAAGGCTGATAAAGCAGGATTTAATGAATTCATCAAATTTCGGTAGAACTCGTCAGCTGCAATACTCTACATACACGGATATATATACTTTTGAAATTACATTGGGAGATATAAGACTGATAAGCAAACAAACTACATTGAATTAGTCATGCAGAAAGACAGGTGCGAATGTTTTCCAGGTCATGTTCAAATAGATAAGGGGAGAGAGAGTATGAGAGATCAAAATTAAGATAAATTGCATTACGCTTCAATTACATCACTTAGATAAACAACTAGTCATTAGAGAATATAACAAGAATTGCAAACAGAGTAACATCAATAGTAATAGTTATAATAACAATAATAATAATAGTGTTGAAGTGAGTTAAGATAATCCTACTGATAAAGGATAGTTTTAAATGAATCAAGAATAATAATAATGATAATAATAAATATAAAAGGTAGAATTATAAGTAAAACGTATTACCATGGTAGATTCAGAGTCACGAACATCTCCTTTTGTACACAGAGACCTGGTTTATAAACTCGAATTGCACAAGCCTCTACAATTGCAAGCATCTTCTTGTTTCTTTGTCTGCTGACAACAGTGAATGACTTCACCACGTCGATATCATGTCCGTAGTCCACAAGATGTTTTGTTATCGAGGATTTTGGCACTTTGCACTCAGCTGTTTTCAACCATTTTGGCAAATGCTCCATCATGCGAGTAGATAATCACCTTTCCGTACGGCCTAGATATTTGCTTCCACAAACACACTCAAATTGTTATACTCAGTTTGAAGTGTCGAGGATTGGCGATAGATGTTTTGTTATCGAGGATTTCGGCACTTTGCACGGCTTAGTAAAGATTGAAAGAAGTGAACTTGAAGGTGTACCAACGAGACACGGAGATATTAGGCAGCAGACTTCAACATTTGTCAAACTGATGTCCGATTGTGACAAAATATACATACCATACACTGAAACCTCCGTTTGCATCAGTACTCCGTATTCTGCTTCCTTTATCTTCTCTTCACGCTCTACGCATTGTTCAATGAGGAGGATGTTTCATTTCTCCTCTTCGCAACTTAATCCATTAACCTGCTTTTCAAGATTCTTTTACACAAAATATACTACTTTAAAATTCATGTCAGGAGCCCACACCATGATTTGGTACCTGGACAAAATATTATTTAAACCTTCTATTGTTTTCTTATTCAATACTAGAATAAACCATCAACTACCAGTAGACACTGAGCAAACTAGTTGTTTAAAGGATCTTTTGATTTTCATTTAATATCCGTACTGATAAGAACACGGATGTAGGTTCTAATCACTGACGAGATATCACTTATTTTAAGGTCACGCATACCGCTTTATGACGTTAACCAGTAAGTACGAAATCAAAGGGTTCAGGGTTTTCTACCGACTGCCTCGAAACACCTCAAATGTTGAGTGGCGTCTGTACACTTTATAACTTATGATAACTAGATTTAAATTGTACAGAATGAACTAACTATTGAGGTGTTAATGGTATTCACCACTGATATGATGTCTTCATTTAAGTAAGAAGATTGATATTAATGATCAGGAGTTCAGATGTGGCTACTTATCTGAATGACATATGACTGATATCCAACTGCAAATATGACAGTGCAGTTAATACACTTGTAGTTGCGCTAACGAATTTCCTATCTAGTTGATTCGCAAGCCTATTGTTTTAACCACTATTAGCAACAACAACAACACTACACGATCCCACCGACAACGCAGCGCCAGGAGATAGGAAAAGAAGACTGACTGTTGACGTAGAGGGTGATTGACATCGCTTTAAATGACCTCGAGAAACACTGATTACATTGATAAATTAAAACAGTCAGCCACCAATAAGATTTAAAAGGTCATAAGTGGGCTCAGAGAAATACAGACAGACATGTAAAAAGGACATGTAGAAAATCAGGTCTATATATCATAATATTAAAATGTTAACTGGAAGGCTTTATTCTACCTACAAATGGTATCAGTTGACAGTAATTACCAAGATATATACACCAATTTATGGGGATTATTGTTTCCAATATGGTCACTACTCGTAAGATTTAGATATGATGGAGAAGATTTGTAGCTCAGGTGGATGACTTTGATGTGGTTGTGTTCTCTGAGCTGGATAGTTAATTTGCGAAGCTTTCATCACCCCATTAGGTAACATCTTCAGCGCATACTTCAATTTGAAGTGAGCTTTTAGATTTCCTCACGAGTTTATTAATCATCTCTCCCGGTGACCTTGGACGTGATTGGTTGTTTTTGTGTGTTTTCACACCTTCTAGGTTACTTGTATTGTAACTCATTGTTTCTTTGACTTGAACTTTGACCCTTTGTGAGGTTTCTTTCTTATCGGTTGATAAATTTTGTCAATCTCGATGTGTCTATTGATTGATGATTCACTGGAATGCCAAGCTTCTAAAAATTCTCTAGCATTCTTGTTGTTTCCTCTGTCTAATATTTGAACATTGTCCCAATCGAAATGATGTCCGTGGTTGTCTGTATGTAGTGATATGAGGGAGTGGATGTCATGTCTTTTGACAGCTAGCTTATGTTCGTGGATACGAAGACGAAGGGGACGTCCACTTTGGCCAATGTAGTGTTTTTCGCAGTTGTTACAATTTATTTTGTAGATGATGTTGGTTTTATCTTCTTTCGCAAATTAACTATCCAGCTCAGAGAACACAACCACATCAAAAATGGTCACTACTGATGAGAGTTATTTGGGAATAATACCACCATTGAAGTGGATTAAACTCCTCAACAGAGTATGACTATCCGTAAGCTAGTGGCTACGTTTTATTGATTGACTGAAGAAGTCGAATGTCAAATTATAGATAATGGTTATTTGCATACCAATGAGAGTAACTTACAGAGCTTGTAGCATTCCTAATCTGTAACAGAATGGAAAGAAACGATATAAAATTGTCACATCAATATTATTGCTATTATTCCTTTGCATTCTGTGTGGAACATTTGGCTTCAGCAGCACGTCTCCATTTCACGATGTTCTCTCTCTCTGGTCTTTTTTTAGCCCAATCCACGACAACCTACTAGCTTTCATTTCCTTTTCACGTGATCTCCTTCATGTAACTCCCGGATACTTCGCATTCAGGGTTCACTCGACGCCCTTACGTTTACTCAACAATCTTCTCAGTGGACGTCCAGTCCATCCCCATCTTCTGAATATTTGTTGAGGAATAGGTTCTTGCTTGGTTGATTCTTTGCCAGAGTTTTTGATCTCTTTATCCTTCTTCAACAATTTAATAATTCCCATTGTAGCATTCAGAACACAATATTCAGCGAAGAGAATCTTTTTTCAAAGAATTTATTATACTAAGCTGTACGACCTTATATACATGGGATTTAAAAAATTTTATCTGATGAGGGAGTTAGACCAAAGGTGTGAATACATGACATAATAATAATATGAAATGTAATTGAAATATTTGATGCTCACTAGCGACTGGCTCTTTTCAGGCAGTTACCTGGGATTCTATTGGGAAGCCGTGACTAGTAGGATACAACAGGTTGAAGGTAAGTACACCTACTCATTGAAGAAGACATTGTGAAGTGGTCGCGCCATGTCGTGAATTGGCGGAAGTTAGAATTTATGGACCATTGGATCAGGTCCCAGTGGCTTAATGGTCTACGAGCTCGCCTTGTAACCAGAAGGTCCTGTGTTCGAACCCTGGCGGTGGGTGCGTACTGGTGAAGAGTCCCAAACTAATCTGAAAAACAGCTACAGTACTCCCTGTTGGTTTTCCAGTGGTTCTCTAACCGATTTCATCTCATGATGATATCCTCCAACCAATTAAAATATTTGTGATTATAATCATAGTTAAATATCAAGTAACGAAACATGGAATAATTCATAAGATGTACAGATGTTGCAAAGGGGTGCATAATTATGTGATTTGAAACAGCATAGAATAACATGGATGCGGATGAAAAGTACAGCAGAAGACAGAAACAAGTGGAGACGTGCAGTTGAAGCCTATGTTCCATAGGAACCCAAGGGAACAATAATAATAAATAATTGCTGCTTGACATTTTACTATGATTATAATCACAAATATTTTAAATGGTTGGAGGATGTCATTATAAGCTGACATCAGTTAGAGAACCATCGAAAAACCAGTTGGAAGTACTAGACAGCTGTTTCATCCTAGTTTGGGGCTCTTCATCAGTGCGTACCTACCGTCAGCATTCGAACCCAGGACCTTCTGGTTACAAGGTGAACTCGTAGACCATTAAGCCACTGGACCCGATCCAATGGCCAGCCCATGAATTCTAACTAATGCCAATATTTTAATTGCGTTTCATGCCATTATTATTTCATGTATTCACAGCTTTGATCCAATTCCCTCACCAGATATAATTTCTTATTTAAAAAATCTCATATATATATATACGATTGTACAGCGTGATAATAAATTCTTTGAAAAGAGTCTCTTCGTTGAACATTGTGTTTTTATCCTTTTTCTTTCTTTATGTTTCAAATTGTGTGCGTCAATCACCTTTGATAAGGTGATTGTATTACGGGGATATTCTTTTGAAATTATATCAGAGTGGAAAGTACAAATTTCGGGGGTAAAATTTAATCATTGTTTGTGTGGAAAATCCAGAGTACTTGCATTACATCGGCGCTACAACAATCAGCATATATGCTAGAATGATAGCTGAAAGTCCCTAGTACCAAATAGTAATCGTCACCCGTTTTTTAGGTCATGGCCATCCGACTGACTTAGCTCAGAAAGTTGAACAAGCTTAAACTACCTGCATTCTAGATGGATGCTAAGGAGGACTAGTTTCATGTAACTGGACTTTAATTTTTTCTGAATTCCGCTCGGAAAGCAAACAAAACTAACCATAATAGTAATAATAATAATAATCGTAATTTCACTTACACAAATCTTTCTGGGTCCGGTTTTGGCCTAAATAAAATAGTAAAAGTGAAAAATTGTGCACTATGCATTTTATAGACACTTCATTGAGATGTAGTTATAATTCTGTTCTAATAAAATACATCATCAGATGAAATTGTGTTTTCACATTTTCATGGCTTTAAGTGTTGCCATCTGTGCTTTCAAATTCCTCAACTAGCAGTGGTTTTAACATGGTGAAAATGGAGATTATTGGAACTAAGGGGAAACTTTTGCACCTGCAGCCGTGCACATTTTTAGAACCAAGTGTCCGTGAAATTTATGTTAAGCCCTGGCATGTTGAAAAGACTATTCAACATGTTCGATTATTGTATAGTTAGCTTTATTTTTTGAAAGATTTATTGCTCAGCAGAGTAATTCAGTGGTAAGGTTAAGAGCTGAGGAAGGATTTTAACCACATAGACAGAGAGGTCTTATTAGCGAATGAAATTTGTTTTAAAAATAATCTTATTGCTGTAAACTTTTGACATTCGGCATTTGAAATTCTTATTAGATCCGTAAAAAGTATATTTTTGAGTAGAAAGAGAAGGAGATAAATGAAACAAAACAGTTTAATGCCAAGTGTACATTTTTATATCCACATACTGGTTTGTAGTGATTTAACTCATTCCAAGACAGATTTCGTCAAGGATGGACACCATTTAGAAAATTATTGAAAAAACAGTGACTACTGGTCAGCTGTTCCACCTATAGTATGAGAACATTCAGAAGTACGCGTTCATGATACCAGTAGTCTTCGAACCCTGAAATTTCATGTTATAGAGCTATTAAATTCAATCACTAAGTCAATGAGCTATGAATAATTACGATATATTGCTATGGTTACAGAACCACTGAAAACTAGGAAGCATTGGACAGTTGTTTCGTCTCATATTGGGAATCTTCAACAGTACACTCAATTCTGTTATATTCAGAGGCATTTCTACAAAGAAACACTGTCAACTGAAGGCCTAGAATTAAGCTGTTTTGTCATGGTAATGAGGACAAATAATCTATCTTATTCTTAAACAATAATAATAGGGTTGAAACAGTATTCTTTGTTCTATGATATTTCAGACGGTACACACAAAAGGAGCTGTATGCAAACACTAGTCAAGAGAGACAGGACTCATTGCAGCACTCCAACTCTTCCAAAAGAATGGACATCCACGAAACTTCATCAAAAGACATCTACCCTCAAGCCGACCTACCAAATCAAAGGTCCTCAATGAAAGAACAAATAAAATCGCCCTACCATCTCAGATATCATTGCAAGACTCTTCAAACCTTTAGGAATTGACGTCGCACAGAAACCAACAAAATCACTTCACTCAACTCTGTGTAAACCAAAAGACTCAACAACGAAAGAAGATAAAACCAACATCATCTACAAAACAAACAACAATGATTGCGAAAAAACTAAGTTGGCCAAAGTGGAGGTCCCCTTCGTCTTCGTATCCGTGATCATAAGCTAGCCGTCAAATGACATGACATCCACTCCCTCATATCGCCTCACTGCATACAGACAACCACGGACATCATTTCGACTGGGACAACGTTCAAATATTAGACACAGGAAGCACAAAGAATGCCAGAGAATTTTTAGAGACCTGTCTGGTATTCTAGTGAATCGTCAGTGAATAGACACATTGACATAGACAAAAATTACCCGTCGATAAGAAGGAAATCTCACACACACAAAGGGTCAAACTTCAGGTCAAGGAAACAATCAGTACCAATACAAGTAGCCTAAAGGGTGTGAAAACACAATAAAACCAGCGCTCACGTCCAAGGTCACCGGGGGAGATGACTAATAAACTCGTGGAGAAATCTAAGAACTCACTCCAATTCAAATTGAAGTATACGCTAAAGTGAGGATATTGCCTAGTAGGGGGCAAGGAAAGCTTCGCAAATAAATAATCCAGCCGAGAGAACAAAGCCACGCCAAAATCATCCACCTAATCTACACATCTTCTCCATTATATCTATTCTCATATTCGTTTTATGGATATGGTTTCATCACGAGACTATTCGACAAAACAATCCTCATCCAACAAACTTTAGCTATATGAAATAGGAATGGCTAAACGCTTATTCTGACCGACCAAAATAAATACTACTTATATGATAAAGACCTTTTCGAAATCTATAGTGTTATTTTCTGTAAAACATGATGATATCATGTACGGAACTATTGAGTATTATGAAGTAGTCAGTAACTCTTTCATCGTGAACTGAGGCTTCCCAGCAATGCACACTCACAACCACTATTCTGTCAATCGTATTCATACAAAAAGACCATCTGAAACAAGAAATGTTTCCTCTTAACTTTAGTCCAAAGAGTTATAACGGATCACTTTACGATATACAGCGCAAGCAAATTAACTCGAATATCGAAATGCAACCCTTGGGAGCTGGCAGTCTCCAAAGTCCCATTCACCAAAGTCTATGTGATCGTTTTTATCCAAACAGCTATAAGAAAGCACTGATCAACACTCTGTTTTACTCAGCTAATAGAATATACTCTACCGAGAAATTAGAAGCGAAATTTCTGAATCTTCAGATGTTGAAAAATTATCTTCACACTCATAAAATCATTAAGAAGCACTAGAGATCTGAAGATTTAAGTACAAAACAAGTCACGGTAAACATGAAGCTTATTTTCATACAAGTCGATTTCAAAGGTTGTATGTTAAGGTATAGTCAAGAGAAAACTAAATACTTCACCAACCAGAACCTATACTACAGCTGAGTTGGTTCCAGTTTATTGAACAACATGATGTTTAATGCGATCAAAGGTTAACAGATACCTTCTTATGTTAGTGCTAACTGTAAATGCCAATACATATATACCTTCAGTAGCAGTTACTTTGGTAGAACAGAAAAAAGCCCACCTTCAATTTTCTCAACATGTACCAAGAAGCCTACATCAAGGTAGTAAACGCTTGAAATAGTGCTATTTCAAGGGACCTTGTTGATTTGAAGTATTTTAAGCCCATCAATGGACAGTATATATTTAGAATTTTTAATATATTTGTGCGTTGAAGTTTCTGAAGCAATTTGGTTAAGTTTTGGGAGTGGAGTTGCTAGCACCACGCCCCAACCCTCCCTCTTTATCCGGGCTTGGGACCGACTAGAAAACTAGTAAGCTAGTAATCTAGGCGAAAACCTACAAACTGGTCGAAGAAGCAGCAAAGACAGGACTCCAGCTGAACATAGACAAGACGAAGGTTATGAAAATAACCAACCAACAACAACAACAACAGCAGCAACATCCAGCGCCAATCACCATCAACGGGAGGGATTTGAAAGAGGTTACTTCATTCACTTATCTAGGGAGCATTGTCTCAACTACAGGAGGAACGGACGAGGATGTCAAATCGAGAATCGGGAAGGCGAGAAACACATTCATCAACCTGAAACCAATCTGGAAATCTTCGTCACTCAGCATCAACAACAAAATTCGGATTTTCAATACAAACGTCAAGTCAGTCAGTTCTTCTATACGGAGTCAGAAACTTGGCGGCGGGTCACAAAGAATATTTCCAACAGCCTGTTGCAGACCTTTATCAACAACTGTCTTCGTTCTATACTGAAGATCAGATGGCCGGAAAGAATCACCAACAAGAAACTATGGGAAGAAACAAAACAAGAACCAATCGCCCAACAAATATGCAGGAGAAAGTGGAGATGGATTGGACACTCGCTGAGGAGGCCGCTGGGTGACATCGCGCGTCAGGCCAGTGCTCGAGTGGAACCCGAAAGGGAAGCGGCGAGTGGGACGTCCAAGGGTGACATGGAGGAGATCGTGTGAAGAGGAGTTGAAACAGTATGGACTAACATGGATGCAAGTGAAAAGTACAGCAGAAGACAGAAGCAAGTGGAGACGTGCAGTTGAAGCCCTATGTTCCACTAGGAACCCAAGGGAACAATAATAATATAGTGGACAGTATGTTGCATTTCTCCTCAGGTATACTGAAGCAATTCCTATAAAACGTCCAAATTCCGAATCCTGTGTTTAGAAGAAAGCAGCTGTCTGTCTTTCCTTGCCCTAGTGACTAGGTGTCTTTACTATTCCTTTTTGTTTTATTACATAAAATGTTTCCCTAACCTCTACCATTTTTGGCAATTATGTAATTTTGCTTGTTTTCTTGTTTCTGTAGTTTGAGATGAACTCACCACATTGTTACGCAACTCACTAAATACCTATCATCCTCTCATCCACCTCTTGTCTTCATAAAGCAACTTCTTTTCCACTGTATTCAAGCGCTTATTTTTTGGCGGGGGTGGGTTTGTTTTGCTTAAATTTGAATCTTCTGCGTATAAGTTTTGTAACTGTAAATCTTTCAGTCTTCTGCTAATTGAAATCATGTCACTTTTGCAAGTACGCAAAAATCTCTCTGTACATATACTTAATTAATTTTTAGATTGTATGTGGCTGATGAGAAACCGACAAAATAAATTAAGGTACCATTTTATTCCACACAAACCGTTTTATCCGATTTATTCAAGTTTATAAACGGGATACTACTACTCAGTACTACTCAGATCGCATTCTTCTGTCAGCACAAATTCCAAAAACCTAATAGTTCCAAATTATCGATCACATGGATGATTTGAACTGTTGTTTCAACGAAATGAAATATACATTCAATTTCTATTTCTGCTCTTATTGAAATACTTCATGGTACCACGTGCAGGTGGTTCAGCGATAGAACACTTGCCATCTACTCACGTGGTCCGGGGATCGATCCTTGGCCGACTTACTCCTAAGCCTCACTAAGTCTGTAGTGACGTCGGTAAAGAGAGAAGGTTGGGCTAGCAACTGCACCACGGAAAAATAAGAATAAAAAGCCACTGCTACTGAAACTTCAAAGCTCTAGCTTGGAGCCCTATATTCCGCTCGGAACATAAAGGAATAAAAAAAGTATAAAACTGACGTGCAGGAATTATAATCTTTGCAAAACATCTCCGTAACTATATAGTGTATCTAACTGTGGATACAGATGTATCTAAATATTTTCTGTAGATCATTTTATTCGCGTTAAATACGAATACAGAAACTAATTTGAATAGTAATTGTATTTAAAAATTTAATCTTACTTGCAACTGTTATTTATTGAAGAAAATGATGCATATTAATTCATACAGAAACAAACAGTTAAGTGTTGGAAAAATGTTTAAACTCCCATAATTATTGAAAGATACAATGCTTTAAATCTGAACGCGAATTGTTCATTGTTAAGTTCACTAACTTCAGCAAGTATTCAACGACGTAAGTTCGTATCTCCAAAAAGTTGGGGCATCTGTTCCACTGGCATTACAGATACGCCCTGTTGACGATTACCAATAAGCACGAAGTTTAAGTCTAAAGCTTCCTGCCAACTGCCTCCAATGACCTGAAATGAAACGATCTGTGTTAAATTCTTGTCATAGATCTCGTATTTTGTTCTCAACAAGTAGCAAGGCAGTGTGAGCACCCTTTAAGAAACCCATTTTCTCGTGAGGATTTGAAAGCGCATTACTGAGAGCTCTTCTTATTTCAGTTGACCAGAGTATACAGCCTACAATCTCCAACATCTTAGTAGTGGTTGAAAGTGCATGGTAAAGTTAAGTCTGTTAATTTGGTGATCACACAATAGACTTCTGTCAAGAGAATCAACAGGCTAATAGTAAGAACTACGTGACACAAGGAAGCACGTGTTTAAAGATACTTCAGGTGAAAACTGTACATATATATAATTTCATGTGTAACTATAGAAATGGGACTTGTAAATAGAGAGCGGACAGAAATAAACATATATACGTCCAAAAAGGTATGAAGTCTTAAGAAACCGCTTTCAGATCTCATTTAAGATTCTGTATTAATCTTTACATCTACCATTTTTCAGAAGTGAATATATATCACATCTAAATACAAAATTGTGCGTCAGTGGTATTCTAAATACAAGATTTTGTGAGTTGTCGGCTTATTGGCGGAATGCTCACCAACCATCTAGGTAGTCCGGGTTCGATCCCCAGCCGAGGCGCTCATTTATTGTAATCGGAAGTAAACCTGGAGAAGAGGAAATGCTGGGTGTGAAGCCACTAACTTCACTTCCTGAAAGCGATACCACCCCCACTAAAACTTCAAAACTCAAGCTTGAAGCTCCATAATTTACTCGGAACACAAAGGAACGAAGCAAACCAACTATTTGTAAATAGAATGTAAGGGAAATGCTACAGGGTTACTCCTTATGTTGTCAGACTGTGAATATATATATACGTATATATGTATAGAATGATAAATATTACACCGGAATCGAAATAAATAGTTCCATAGATACCTAAGAGGCTGATGTATATTCATCAAAAGCACTTTTAAAATGCACAAATGCAAGATATACGTAGATAGAAAGTGGCTATGTAACAAGTGAAGTAGACAAAGCGGATAGTTAAACCATTATATAGTAGTCGCTTAACGTCACACTTAAACTATTATATACCCTCTGATTTAACCTAAAATTGACCTGACATTAGCCATTAAACTTAAAGTACCTTTATTTTGTGGTTACCGCATACCGATGGATTTTTTAATATTTCTGAAGGCTGGAATCTCATTGGTTGTTAACTGTTTGAGCGTGTGTACTGCTCAGCAGTCCGCTCCATCCTCCTTCATGGCTGTGAGACCTGGCCATTGAGAGTGGAAGACGTGGAAAGGCTAGCTGTCTTTGATCATAGGTGCATGCGATTTATTTCCCGTGTCACGTGGGGGTATAATAGGGTGAGCAATATTGAGGTTTGGCTTCGGTCGAATGCTAGGTAAGGAGGGAAAATCAATCGACGAGGCTGTGAAGTTATATCGACTGAGATGGTTAGGACATGTGTTACGCATGCACGCCTAGCCATCGCCTTCCTCTACGGGCGATGTTAGCTGACATAGGATCAGGTTGGAAAAGAGCTAGTGGTGGTCAAACCGAAACATGTCTTCATCAGTCAATGAAATCACTAACAGTTAGCTTAAGCCACGTAGGGACGCGTAGGCTGCCTGACTGGTTGAGGTCCTCTGGACGGTAGAAACCAATGGCTGGAGACAATTGGTGATATGGCTCAAAATATTCGTTCTCAATCGCTGGTGCAGATGCATCCACTCCTTGTGACTTATAATATCCGGTAAAATTACACTGTTCATCGATATTACTATTCTTTTTGCCTCATATCTCTGTTCACTGTCTCTGTTTTGCATTTCTTTTTACTTTCTTCTCGTGCTTTGTGTGCTACATGGAGTGGGGCGACTTGAACTGCTGCACATCTGTGCAGAGTTCTCAGTTGAAACCAGTCAGTCAGTCTTTCAGCTTATCAGTGAATTTAATGTTTTGAAAAGTTGTTTAAGACGCATTTAATTAGCATCACTGTCAAATATTTTGTCTGTCGTTTTGAGATAGTAAAAACTCTCATGTCAAGCGTCCTTCCCCTCTTCTTGTTTTCGCGTATCGATGGTATTATTGTGGTTGTTGTTTTGGAGTTGATGTTGCAAACAGTCATTAGTGCGTTTTTCATTAATGAATTGCGTTTATATCACTTATAGTCCACTAGTTTGTATTACTGGACATTTCAGAATCTGTACACCTCACATTATGAACTACAGCATACACTCCTCGTGTCTTAAGCGCCAGAGATCGACATACCCCTTACTTACACAGTCTTTTAGTATTCACTTTTACGCAACCGCTTTCGGGTTGTGCAGACATTTTACCATTAGATTCAAAAGCGTATTTAGACGTTCTAACCTTAACTTATTAACTGTTTATAACAATGTGTCCCTTTTATAAATTTGGATAGCGTTATAAGAAGACGGAGATTATATAAAAAATGTGATGTATTTGCGCTACCAACCCCGTCTATAGCTAAACACCTAATCGAGATGAACCATAAGATTGATGTTAACTCAGCCTTTAAGGTCATCTATAAAAACGGTCAAGGGCGCTTATTGAAATATGCCGAGGCTATAGCTATTCATAAACCTAATTTATTATTACTCCTAACCTACCTTGGTAATCCTTATTTGATTGGATCACCAAACGTCGTGTTAATCATTCTTAAATTCTCTTTTTTGTCACTTTGTTTAATTTAACATTTCAGAGACTTGGCGCGTCATAAAGAGCATCTCAAACAAACTACAGACCTTCATTAACAGTTGTCTTCGCTCAGTACTCAAGATCAGATGGCCGGCCAGAAAAGATCAGCAACAGAGATCTCTGGGAGCGAACCAACCAAGCGGAACCGATTGTGAAACAAATAGGCAGGAAGAAATGGAGGTGATGGATTGGCCATACTCTGAGGAAACCATCAAGTGACATCACTAGACAAGCCATTGCTCGAGTGGAACCCGAAAGGGAAGCGGCGAGTTGGTCGTCAGTGCAAGGGTGACTTGGAGGAGGTAATGTGAAGAGGAGATGAAAACGTGTGGGCAGACATGCAGCCAGGTGAAGACTCTAGCAGAGAACCGAACGCAATGGAGACGCACGGCTGAAGCCCTATGTTCCTCTAGGAATTAAAGGAAACAATAATAATAATAATATATCGACTTGACAAGTAAATGTGTGATCAGATTGTTCGAAATGTATAGCGCAAATACATCACATTTTTCAGATAGTCTCCGTCTTCTTATAATGCTATCCAAATAACTATTTATAAACTGACTTGCTTATTGTAAGTTAAATGGCAACATACAACTTATGAAAATGGTTCACTGAGAAGGAAAATTTTGTTTTCTTTATGTCTTTTGTTCATCTGGACAGTGCTGACTTGAATTTAGCACCATTTCAATATGCAACAACAAATTCAGAAGAAAATGATCATTATAGTAAGCAAAATTGTTGAAGAAAGCAAAAACTTACTGTCTTAAGTCAAGTCTAAAATTATCATAAGAACAAGAATGATAACATTTAGTTCCGAAGATTTATTTTTACGGAAATTTGATCGTGATTTGACAGAACTTAGAATTCATAGACCATTTGATTCTGGTCCAAGTGGCTGAATGCTCGGTGACTTTGGTCTCTGACTCTGACGGTCCTGGATCAGATCCCTGGAAGGATGGTCACTGTGTACTGTCCTAAACTAGGACCAAACATCTGTGCAGCACTTCCTGGTTCTCAGTGATTCGCTAACCAACATCAATCCATGATCTAAGTTGACAATATTTACGAAAAATGTCTTCATTGTCGATTCAGAAAGAGATAAAGGTAAATTGTTATACTACTTATGACTTCATGTTGCTTATATTTCAGTTGACTAAATTTATCATTCTCAATGCGGAATATGTAAACTCCAATGGTAGACATCTTGATACTGCCAATAATTTCAGTGTCGTTTTGCTAGCTTGGTGACAACAAGTATTAGAATTTAAAAAAACTTGATTCATCTTTGTAAGGGCTCTCCAGTAAGCTTTGTGTGCATCAACGTTCCTGTGCGCATTGAGACTATGGAGTCATAAACGGGAGTGAAATTATCAGACATCTGTTATGCAAGTTCGTGTGGTGAAAATACCGACCAGTTAGCCTAGAAAGGATCAAATGAGAATAGGCGCCTGTTGAATGAGTGTTGGTTGCAATAATTGGGTCTGAATTTAAAGTCAGTGGAAATATTGATACACTGAGTATCCCTTAAGACGAAACACGGACTGCAGATTCCATTGTAGGCTACCACTGAGATAATATCGAAATTAGTTTTTACTTCGTCAGAGATATAGACGTTTGTTGATTGGATAGGTATTAATCAGTGAAACTGGAAGATATGCAAGCGAAAAGCAACAAGTTGGCAGAAGAAGCATCCAGAGAAGATAGGACTTCAGGTGAACATAGAGAAAACAGAGGAAATGAAGATTCCTGGTCAACACCAACAACAACAACAGACAACGATCAGCATAAATGGAAAGAACCTGAAAGAAACAACCTCTTTTACCTACCTGGGAAGCATCGTTTCAACTACAGGCGGAACTGAAGAGGATATCAAAGCAAGAATCAAAAAAGCAAGACAAGCTTTCACTGTTCTCAAATCTGTGTGGAGATGGATTGGCCATACTCTGAGGAAACCATCAAATGACATCACTAGACAAGCCGTTGAGTGGAAACTGAAAGGGAAGCGGCGAGTTGGTCGTCAGTGCAAGGGTGACTTGGAGGAGGTCATGTGAAGAGGAGATCAAAACGTGTGGGCAGACTTGGAGCCAGGTGAAGACTCTAGCAGAGAACCGAACGTAATGGAGACATACGGCTGAAGCCCTATGTTCCTGTAGGAAATGAAGGAAACAATAATAAATAATAATGATATATATAATATAATATATAATGAAACATACTCTGCTAGTTCTGGACTGAAAGTAGACAATATTTAAGTATGCATAAAGCTAATTAGTAAATAATACATTTTCAAAATCTGTATATAAATGTTTCTTAAGCTTGACAGTTATATTGTAAGCTAAGGAAAATGAACAGCCGAAAAAATACCACCCATTTCTAGGAAACGATGGTTTCGATGATCACAAGTGATACGATGATACAGTAGTACGCATATTTGATCTTTCAATCTCTAAATGTACATATTCGACTTAAGCCTAACAACAGTTAGCAGGCCAAATCAGAGCAAAAATTGTGTCGTCTTCATACACAGGTGAATCAGAATCAAGCAAAACTAGCAGTTTGTTCAGAATACGCTGGTGCCATCGCTTATTTTAATCGGCTTCTAATCAGCTGCGTACAGCTGAAATACGTGGTATACTTCAGGATGCGTGACTGGCTTTCTAGAGATCCTACACGAATGACTAAATGTAACAGGACACAGTTTTGAATGGCGAGGACGCATGAATGCGTACCTTCAGTTTAAGCAGTCAAATTAGTCGGTAAAGGTTATTGCTCAATGTCGGATGATGACAGCTGTAGGCTGATAGTTTCGAAGTTTTATTAACCACTATAAAATCGTTGAAACTCAACTATTCTAAATCATTTAACCAAGGAAAATTGGTTTTCAAAGACGCTTAGCCAAGTGTCGAATAATCTGTGATATAAATGTCAGTTCAATCAAAAATTCCCATTTAGACATTTAAAAAAACATCACAATACAATTCTTAGTCCTAAAGGTATTGTCTAACTACTAGAGTGGGAGAGTAACGAAATGAAATATGAACAGACAACAATAAAAACACTCTGCATAGTGAAACATATACGTGTTTCATTATGAACTGACATTAGTTACAGAACCATTTGAAAACCAACACGGAGTACTGGACACCTGTTTCGTCCTAGCTTGGGACTCTTCTCAGTGCGCTTCCCCCTCCCGCCTGGTTTCAAACCCAGGACCTTCCAGTTACAAGGTGAGCTCGTAGACCATTAGGCCACTGAGACCTCATCCAATGACCAGCCCTATGAATTCCAACTTCTGCCAGTTAATGTCAAGGCGCGACCACTAGTTAATGACCTACTGTACCCCACTGGTCACGACTTCCCTCGTAGAACCCAGGTAACTAACCAACTGAATAGGTTCACTCACTAGTGGTCACGCCATATCATGAATTGGTAGAAGTTGTAATTCATGGGCTGGTCATTGGATTGAGTCTCAGTGGCTGATTGGTGTACGAGCTTGCTTGCTTTCAACCGGAAAGTCCCGGGGTTGGCACTATGAAGAGTCCCATACTAGGACGAAACAGCTGTTCACTACTCCCTGTTGGTTTTCCAATGGTTCTGTAAGTGATATCAGGTCATGATAAAATCCTGAAACTAATCAAATCCCTGCAAACGAACACTTGAAATATCATTTATAGTCTACAAACTTACACTGCCCTAAAGGTAATTTGATAGATTGAAAATTCATTTGTACATTTAATCTTCACATTATGGAAATATGGATTCAGTTGTATATAGGACTCACATTGGAAAAGTTAATAAAGGCGGATAAACGAATAAAATGTTTTCGTCGATCGAAAACGTGATAGTTCACCATGATTATCATGCTTGAGTATATCAAAATAACTGGATATTTATCACCTGTGCACAAAAACTTGTCAAAGCAACAAAGTATAACTTCTTAACCTATTTGTCAGTGCACAGTTAAATATTTACCAAAGTTTCGTGATCCATTATTTTCCCTCTATTCAATCTGATTTTACTAACATATGTTTCGATATCAGTATAGGTATCATAATCAGAGTAGTATTTTATGAGAAAGTTAGTCCGATGAACGATTCATCAGTGTTATTAAAGAATTTACTTTATTCTTCTTGACTCGTTAGTTGTTATAGGTGAGTTTGATCATTTCTCTAACGGTTTCAAGTTGTTGAAATATGATTGTGCGTTGAAACTTTGGCAACAGTGTTGATCAGCTAACTTCCATGTATATACGAATCCAAGCAACAAGCATAAATTGTCAGAAGTTTGTGAATGCATACATAACGATTTGTACACATCTACAATGTCTAATGCCCAACGTTAGAGTTTTTCACTTAATTTTATTATAGATATAGTCACTGTTAGTACTTTCGTTGATTTAAACGTCCCACAGTTTGGCTTGTTACCAAGGTATGGCGTCATTCCTCTTGAGTACGCATAATACACTTCCTGGATGAATGTTCTGGCAAAATGCAAAGTCTTCTAAACAATTATAGCTAAAATCTGAGTATGTTTGGCGTGTTATTCTACTGCTTTAAGGATGGGAAGTAAAATGGTTGAACGTGCCGACCACTTTGCTTATTCAGGAAATTACATCAATGCCAAGTGAACTGCAAGTTCCGGCGTGATTTCCAGTTATCCATCGACAGGCATGTGTAGTCTGCGGCAGTTTTCTCCGTCAGTTTTTACGGCCATGAGACACGGCCACTAAAAGTGAAAAGTATGGCGACATTAGTTGTTTTCGACCACAGACATCTGTATTCAGGTTCTCGTGTTAAAAGTCATAAGATAATCAGTGACGTTGAGACTAGGCGATGACCAGGACGCATATTAATTACCCTTACCGGACCTTTGCATCTCTCGATGAGCTGTATATATAGGCCGATATAGGATTATGTTGCGTAAGAGCTAAGGCTAGTCGAATAAAAGTATAATATCAAGCCATAAAGTCTTTTACTCATGGTTTGAGCCATGTAGGGTATAGACTTCTTGACGTGAATAACCAAGACATTCAGAAGTGATGGATGAAGACCTTTGGTGACATGACTCAAAATTGTTCTCGATGGTTCTGATACCTTCACTCTTTGTGTTCTTCCAAAATTTATTAAATCTTTATTATTCTATTATTATTATAATTATTGTTTCCTTTAATTCCTAGAGGAACATAGGGCTTCAGCCATTGCGTTCGGTTCTCTGCTAGAGTCTTCACCTGGCTCCATGTCTGCCCACATGCTTTCATCTCCTCTTCACATGACCTCCTCCAAGTCACCCTTGCACTGACGACCAACTCGCCACTTCCCTTTCGGGTTTCACTCGAGCGATGGTTTGTCTAGTGATGTCACTTGATGGTTTCCTCAGAGTATGGACAGCCAATCCATCTCCATTTCTTCCTGCCTATTTGTTGCACAATCGGTTCCTGCTGGGTTGGTTCGTTCCCAAAGATCCCTGTTGCTGATCTTTTCTGGCTGGCCATCTGATCTTGAGTATTGAGAGAAGACAACTGTTAATGAAGGTCTGTAGTTTGTTTGAGATGCTCTTTATGACGCGCAGTGCAAGTCTCTGATCCGTATAGTAAGTAGCACTGACTTCACATTGGAGTTGAAAATCCGGATCTTATTTTTGATGCTGAGTGCTGTTGACCTCCACACAGACTTGAGAGTAGTGAAAGCTTGTCTTGCTTTTCCGATTCTTGCTTTGATATCCTCGTCAGTTCCACCTGTAGTTGAAACGATGCTTCCCAGGTAGGTAAAAGAGGTTGTTTCTTTCAGGTTCCTCCCGTTTATGCTGATCGTTGCCTGTTTTTGCTGTTCTTGTCCAGGAATCTTCACCACCTCTGTTTTCTCTATGTTCACCTGAAGTCCTATCTTTGATGCTTTCTGCCAACTTGTTGCTTTTCGCTTGCATATCTTCCAGTTCATGGGAAATCAGACATATATCATCGGCGAAGTTCAGATCCTCCAAGTGTTTTGTGTGAGTCCATTTTATGCCTGTTTCCTCGTTGCCCACCACTGTCTGTCGCATTATCCAATCTACTGCAATCAGGAAAATCATTGGCGATAGTAGGCAGCCAGCTTGTCTTACTCCTGTCCTCACTTCCAAGGATTTCGTGAGTTTCCCGTTGTGGATTACTTGGCATGCAGCATTGTCTTACAGCTGTTGGATGAGATGTAAAATTGTCGGTGGCACCCCGTAGTAGCGAAGTAGTTGTCTCACGTTTTTGTAAATTAGTTTCATTTCATATGTTTTCCCACTTTTAAGTATAGTGTGTGGAATGACTTCCACGTCGAAAATTCAATTCATTCAAAATCTTCCACAAACACTTTCATTCAGTGGAGTGAAACAAATCCACAGGTCATTGAACAAATCCCTTTCCAGATCCTTCAGTTACGGATTTATGTGCAGTTAACTATCCCTTTAATTATCGTGTTTATTAAGTCAGCATATGTTGATACTTTCAAAAATTAAACTGCAATTCATGAAAATGTCTAGTTAATTCGTATCACTTACTCATTTGTTTGATCATAGAACCTGTTAAAAAGTAATGTAAAATGGCGTAAAAAGTAATTAATTAATTAATTAAACCATCAAACAAAAAGACAAACACTGTGTAGGTTAAATTTTGAAAATATTTTATTTTACATTTGCCTTTGATTGACTTTGTAGGACTGTTATTTGTCGTCTGCTGGTACGGTGTCTCCTACAGTGTTTGAGGTTACCGTTGTGTTATTATGTGGATTCCAGGTTACACATTGTGTCCTAATTGGCACTCGTTGAGCAACTTATATTGAACCGAAAAGTTACTAAATCACGTGTACTGGGTTCGAGTTTCAGCTGGGATGAAGGTACATACCTGGCATCCCAGATTTTTTTCTGCTGGTCACTTTCATCCAAATAACATCCTTTCAATTCACTTTTATGAGAAGAATCTCAGAATTTCATATTTTTATCCCTACGCATGGTACACTATCTTTTGAATCTAGGTAATTTAATAATGATTTTCAAAGAACAGACTTTTCTTTGATTGGATAGTAACTTGTGTCATGCATGTGTCTACTCCTTTGTTTGGTGCAGACTGAATTCTATCAGTGAAGTTCGCAATGTGGCCACCACGAAACTAGGTGGCCCATCATTACGGGGATCTTTAAATTGTTGCTAGATGGTTACAGGATTTCATAGTGAGCTGACATCGGTTAGAGAACCATTGGAATACCAACAGGGAGTACTGGACACCTGTTTCGTCCTAGTTTGAGACTCTTCATCAGTATACACCCACCACAGGGGTTTGAACTCAGAACCTTCTGGTTACAAGGCGAGTTCGTAGACCATTAAGCCACTTGGACCCGATCCAATGACCAGTGCATGAATTCCAACTTCTGCAAATTGACGAAATAGCATGACCGCTAGCCAATGTCTTGGTCGAGTATTTGTCCTCACACCCGACCTTCTGTACCCTACTGGTCACGACTTCTCACTAGAACCCAGATAACTACCCACTTGAATAGGTCCAGTTGCTAGTGAACATCTCATTGATAAATCATTGATTACTCTAACCGATTTCAGCTCATGATGTAATCCTGTAACCAATCGATCAAATCCCTACAAACCAACACTTGAAAATGTTGTTAGATGGTTGGAGACAAGTAAACCACGTGATTTCATATTGATACATATTGTCTTTAACATTATTTGAATGTTTATCAAAATGTCTTCTATATGATTGGCCAGTTTTAAATGAGTCAACTCTGAATATGATTGGTGGTTACACTGACATTATTATGGTTCTTCATCTGAGTTTGTCCAATAATAAATAGATGAATATAACAAACCGAACAATCAGACAGTTTCACTCCGGATTTAAAGTATTTTTGGTATATAGACAAAATGACGTGAATGTTAGCGACAGTGTCATTAGATAGAGTTTTATCGTTGTTTCCCAGGTTCGATTCACATCTGACATTCTCCTAAAATTTGCCTAGTTTACTAGTGTGGTGAGAGCTGGCTGCTAGCCAAAGTTGGTAGACAGTAATTTACGTCAATGTTTATGTCCCCAATATTGGTCATGAGAAAAATAAGAACAAAGACTGATTCAACAACCAATCACAGCAGACTTTGCGTAGGCGGATACAATTAGCATGTAGATGATGATCTGACATTCAAGAAACAGCCACAAAGAGATGAAAGATTAACTTTCAGTGAGAAACAACCACCAGTCAGAAGACTGTGTTTTTCTGCTAACAATAATCTATAATAATGTACATGAAAATCTATAAATATGTGCTGATTTCCTTAATAAACGATCTGTTGCCTGACCCTTGTCTTCTGTTGTTACACTAGCTATTAGTAACTCTGCAAAAGAGAGAGAAGTTTGGGGAAATAATTCTACATCTGCTGAAATTTTAATAGCTTGAATCCTTGTATTCTATATGGAAATCATTGGACGGAAACAAACCCATAAAAATTTAGGTTTTCATGCTAAACACAAAACTTGAGAATTTAACGTGTTGCATGTTTAGATTAAATCCCATCTATGTGCATTACACTTTAAAATTAGATTACCATTTCTGTGATTTCACCTCGCTGAGCCGATTTTAATCTCATAACCTTGTAAACTAACAATCTTTGTTATTTTCTCACGTTTTTTTGTCCTCTTCTCTCTCCTCGTCACTTTCCACTCTGTGTGTTTATCAATTCACCTGCTCGTGTGGAGATAGGTATATTGATCGTTAGATACGAGTTTTGTCCAAGATGGCACAAGAACACTATCCTGCATGGTAACGAAGAGGTGGAAGTGGAGCATTAAGAAGTGCTATCCTGAAAAAATATGGTCGATAATGATCACCCTATCACTATAGTCTCCCCTTCAAATTCATCTATAAGGCGACAAGTAATTTGCCCAAATCACTACGTATCCAACTGATCTGTATTGATGGAGCCTTGGCCATAGAAACAGAAAAGCCAGATCTCTGTATACAGAAAAAGTTCGTTCAACTCCTCCAACTTTCGTGCTCTTTATCCCTCTATGCTAAAGTATGATAATCATATTTTGGCTCTACCAATTTTTTTTCATTTTGTTTATTCCATTTGTATACTCTTCCTTTATTACGTCGATTGTTAGTATTACTATTCTCTTTTTGAATTACCCCCGGTATTATTTCACTTGTTCCACTTGTCATTCTAAATAAATTTTGCTTTGCAACGTTAGATTCTATATTATCAAATTTCACACAATGTTACGTAACGTCTAATTTTTTTCTGTTTACCTTCTAATCCTATAATCTTATACCCTTTCCAAGTTCGATACATCCTACGGATTGTTCTATTTAATGACACTAGTTGTTTTGCCACTTCACATTTAACTGTGATTATAATCACAGATATTTTAATTGCATTTCATACTACTATTATCATTCTGTACTGGTTTTTTTCCACCTGACTCACAATAACATTGGATTCGATGGCATGCAATTTAAACAATTCACAATTTGAGGTTTGTATATCCTATTTACTATATTTATGTGTGATATAGTAACGTATTTTCGACGAATCCTGAGTTTTGCATTTTACGCGTAACTAATTAATGGAAAGTTCAATTTCAAATTGTCATTCCTGATTTCTCAGAACCAGTTTACGGCTTCTGTCATATTTTCTTATAACTGCCTAAATCACATCTGCTTTGATACGCTTTAGGTGGGTTTTCTGTGCTTTGTAGTCACTTCGGTGATTGAGGGGTTCTTTCTGAGACTCGGGCTCAAACTTCCTTGTTTTTTCTTTGCCAGTAAACTATATGAGTGACACTACATATCAGTCCCTTGATTGGAACCCGAATGGGAAATGGCTACTCCGGCCTCGCAGGGTAATACAGTAAAGATCATATAAAGATTAAATGGAAGTTTGTGGGCAGTCGTGGTGTAACAACAGAAGACAAGGGCCAGGCAACAGATCCTTTATTAAGGAAAATCAACACATATTTATAGATTTTAATGCACATTATTGTAGATTATTGTTAGTAGAAAATACAGTCTTTTGATTGGTTGTTTCTCACAGAAAGTTAACCTTGCATCTCTTTGTGGCTGTGTCAGATCATCCATATGCTAACTGTATCCGCCTACGCAAAGCCTTTGTTCTCATTTTCTCACCACCCATATTAGGAACATAAGCATTGACGTAAATTACTGTCTACCAACTTTGGCAGCAGCCAGCTCTCACCACACTCGTCCTCCCGTCAAAGACTTGCGACTGAAGTTGGTTCGGTCTTCTCGGTTCTTGGGGCTTTGCTCTTTTGTCTTGCTGTCTGGAATCTTGGCACTTGCGGATGTTCACCTGTTTCTCTGTGTTTACCATTGCGATTGTGTCTGCGTAACCCCATCTCAACGTGACCATATATGGTCTTTTCCACTTTGGAAACTGTTTGCCTGACCCTGTCGCACATTCGTAGGTATTTCGCCTCACACTTTCATATGCTGCTTTCTCCCGACCTCCCAGCAGCGTCCCAAGTAGCAGCCTTATCGCTGACAGATCTTGAACGCCACTCAACTGCGAAGAAGCCTCAAAGTCCTGCTCGAAGATCCATATGTCTCCATCAAAAACTGCAGGGCATAGGCTTTCCGCCTACGCAAAGCCTTTGTTCTCATTTTCTCACCACCAATATTGGGGACATAACCATTGATGTCAATTACTGTCTACCAACTTTGGCTAGTTGGAAATGATATCAGGGAACTGAGTGTGGTTGTGTTCCAGTCAGGCCTCATCATTCATTCGAAATTCAAAGAGTGAATAATAATAACAATGGTATTAGTTTCATTTAATTTCACTCTATAACAAAACCTTTGGTAGACGCTTACATCATGGGAAGTTGTTTCGACCTTTAACAAATAAAGGAAACACAGAGTACATTAGTTTTATCCAATCAATTCATTAGTACACAAAATATATATATGGACGCGGTCAACTTAAACCATACTAAGAGTATTTTTTGCTAAGCAGTCTAATTTCCATGATTTTTCCTAATGATCAAGCTGATATCTACTGATGCGTGCTACCATGGACCAAGCCTAGATGAAGAAAGTTTTCCTACTCACTGTCTTCTAACAGGATTCAACCAGTAAGATATTTACTACAGACTAGAAACATTCAACGGTGATGCTTTCATCATACTAAAAGGACTTCCCAGTCATTTAGAAAAAATAACCTCACTCTAAGAAGTGAACTGTTAATTGATTACGTAATTACTAACCGGATTATGTGATTTCATGTACAATGACGTTAGTGTGGTTATAAAACTGAGATGTCACATACTGCGCTGTGAATTACTGCCACACAACTATGTCCTGTGCATACTTAAATTGATTTACTCCTTTCAGCTCTAATCTCAAAATGCCCAAGTGTGATGACTGAATTTTGAAGTTCAAGGCATTCACCAAGCATTCACCAAATGCCTGTTGTCAAGCCGATAGTGATTAATAGTGAAATGTAGGATGTGTGTTTCACCCTATATTATACTGGTCACCTGGATGTATTCGTATTCCCCGGGGAACGATGACATTCCCTCCGAGACTAGAGTCTAGATTTATTTTCAGCTGAATTTTCCTTTCACTCATAAAAGCAAAAACTTTCCGTTAACTTACACGTCTGGATGATTGGCTGCACTGAGAACGGCGTTTAGAAAAAAAACGGTATCATTTAATGTTTATCGAGATTAAATCAAAGAATCATTATGTGGCATAAAAAACTACTGTTTGATGGCATTACTTCACCCTTTGCTTTGGAAGAAATTGATGCCATCATGATTAACCTAGTGAAATACACTTCAATTCCAAGAGTATTAGTGGCCAAAGTAAACTGTTTGTCATTATGTTACTACTTCTTTCTGATTCTGTACTGGGAAAAAAAAAGAATTCTTTTGGACGTTCGTTAAAGCAAGAAGACCGATGGTACCTTGAACAGATCAGTACACAGAAAACCTACGTGGAACGGTCAGTTGACAAACTTCTACAGTTGGGTACCAATTAGTCGCAAGCGAAACTTGATAATATCTCTGGCGATTAGAATCCGAAAAGGCTGCAGTCCTGAATCAATAGAGGAAGAGATCGCTCTCTTAAGGAAGACACTGCTCGAGAATGGCTACCCACCTCGTTTTATAGACAAGCATATTAAGCCTAAGACTTACAAAGAACAACCCATTACAGTGCAGAAGAAGATGGTCTACATGAATGTACCTTTCAAAGGTGACCTTCTGGCTGACACCTTGAAGAAGAGGATATCCACTGCTCTCAGAAGGACATTCTTCGCTGCCACACTACGACTGACATTTTCCTCCCGGCCATTGTTCTTCAACTACTCTAAAGATAAACTATCGCATTTGACCACTTCCATGTGTATCTACCAATTCACCTGCTCTTGTGGAGCGAGGTATATAGGTCGTTCGATGCAAGTTTTATCTAAAAGAGTTCAAGAACACTATCCCGCCTGGCTACGGAAAGGTAACAACGGAGCAATAAGCAGCGCCATTATTGAGCATATACTCAACACTGGTCATTCGATTTGCAAGGAGAAGTCGTTCAAATTCATCTATAAAGTCAAAAGAAGCCTTCCAAAATCGACAAGCTTTCGTATACTTTGTATTGCCGAAGCCTTAGCGATTTGGATAGAAAAGCCTGATTTATGCACACAGAAGAAACTTCTCCACCCCCTACTACCGTGGGTTTAATTTCAAGCTTATCTGTCATCAACATTTTGTTATCAAATTTTTGTTGTTGCAATTTTCGTATAATAATTTTTAGTAACTAACCCATTCAATCTTTTCACCTATTATCTAGTTTATTTTCATAATTGTCTCCATACTCCTTCACTAACATCTAATCTTTCTAAACATGTCTATATTACGTAACCCTACTCATATCTTACCAATCTTCACCCCACTTAGTTACAACTTTGATTATTAATCACACATTTTAATTTCTTAATTATTTTGATGATGTAATCAACAACCCACACTAACTGTGATTTTGATTTTGACAAACCTAATGTACACACACACACAAAATTAATTGTATATATTTGCGACTGTACAGCTAAGTGAATGAATTCGCCGAAAAGAGACTCTTCGCTGAACTAATTTGTTCTTATTTCAATGTCTTAATGGGTATTTTTCGCGAATTCTTGAGTAAGCGAATATCGTTTCAGTGTCCAAGTGTCATCTGGATCATCTGAAAAAAGCAGCCCGACAACTTTGTGCTCTACTATTCAGAAAGTCTTGAGTTTTTATGGTTAGGTGAGATTTAGGACTTGTCACACGTGTGTGGTTAGCAGGTGTTCTACAAATGAACTCTGACGCAACGCACGACAATGAACTGGTAGAAGTTAGAGTTACAGTATGACAGTCCAATGAACAATGTTATTCTATTCTTTGAGAGATCTAACGATGTTTGACACCATCCTCAATGAGAGTGAACCGTTAAACAGATGCTCAGTGTATCCAGAAATATTTCACCGCGATTTCAAAATTCTTCAACTAAACACTAGTAATATTCTAATAATTTTCAAAAGTAATTAGTTCATCAGAGGATTTCAATTTTGGGCAAAATGAGCAAATGTTTATTTGTCAAAACTACTGTTGTGAAATGATGGAGGAGAATTGTAGCTTAATGAGATCTAATTTCGGTGTGGTGGTGTTCTCTCTGCCGGGTAGTTAAAATCGCCAGACTTTCATTGTCCTTCTGTAGGACATCTCCCTTTCTATTCTCTTCTTTCTATACCTAAATGTAAGATTTTTCGACGCTTCTTATTTTCAGAAGAACGGTTACTGAACAAATAATATTCTTTTCGATAACCTGCTCTTCATCAGGTTCTACAGTTATGTATACATAACAGTGAATGAATTAACAGCATTAATGTTTGAATAACATCGAATAAATAAAATCAATAGATTACAGTTCAATAGCATTAACATAACAATAAACTGAATGTCAGAAAAATTAGGAAAGAGGCAGTAGTAGCGGCTGACTGAACTTGCTTCTTTTGCACACAAAGCACTGGTAGTTTCACGCGAATCGCGATAACCTCTGCTGTTTGGAACATGCGGTACCTCGATGTTTTTGGCAATTTATTTGGTACCCAGTAGATGATAGAGAAGGATTCTTCAATGCTAACTGGCTTTGTGGCCGGTCAGTTTGGACCAGGTGGTCTAATATCGAACTGTCGATGGTTTTCACTACACCTTTACTTAGCCATACTAAGAGATGCTGTCAAGCAAGAAAAACCAAGTTCCTAGAGCAACGGTCGATATAACTCGCTCCACCATAAGCGCAGTTGATCTCGTAGTTGCTTCCCATCCAGCTATTTGTATTAGTATTTACATGAATTAAGGATAACGTCAAAATGAAACAAAGTGTCAAGTTTTGACTAGGAATGATTGAAATCACATTCTCAAATAAGGGCAACTTACTCTTCATTAAACATGTAGAATCTAGGATGAATATTTTAAACAAAGATTTATTCGATTTAGTAAGTGAAATAATTTAAAACTGGTAGAATGTCCATCAATCACGTATGTGAACTGGGTTTGATTTTCGAACAACGAACTCTTGAAGCCCACCTCGTTTACCGACCGATAGCAGAAAGAGTGAAGGTTTGGCATGAAGCTTACAACTTCACTTTGTAAAAGCACTATCACTGCTAGTGAGATTTTGAAAGCTTGTAGCCCTACGTCCTACTCAGAACGGAAGGAATGAAAAAGGAAGAAGTGTAAACATAAAACTTTGCATAGGAATGCATCATTTCAAGCTGGTAGAGTACTTGACAGTGGGAAAGGAGTACACGAACAGATTCATATGAAAATGCATCAGGAAGGTAGGAAATTAATTGGTAAAAGGGTTATTTGAAGGGGATTAAAGTTTTAAAAACTTTACCTACATAATAAATCTAAAACACGTCACCGAAAATGTCAGCCAACTGACTACTAACATCTTTATGATCATAGCCAAATAACTCCTACTTCCATGCTTGACTCAGACTAGTATGACACAGAGTAGACAATCCTGACTATCCGCTACTAACATATTATTTCACATACCATTTCTTCATTGGAAAAAACAGAAGCACGTTAACACAGATGGCAGACACCGCAGTTCGCCAACGTTCATGGCTTTATTGTCCTTAAAGCATAATAGCATAGTTCATTTCTTTGTTGTTCTTTCTTTAGTGCCAAACTTATACTACTTATGTTTAGTAAGTAGTGTGAATTATGTTTGCTACTTCTCAACCGTGACTTTGTCTGCTACTGAGGTTTAACTCAATGTATTTATACTCTATTTGATATATTGTAATCATTTTCTTATAGTTAAACATTATATGCTGTATATGCCTTACATATCAACCCTTTACCGTTGAACATTGTTTATTCACATCCTTTTATTCAGTCTGGCATTAGCGCGCTGTTTAAATCTACGCGTACATCGCCTTTGATACAGCTCTGCTGTTTTCATATTGACGCACATTGACTGTGCTTTTGATGGCACTCAGACACAGACGCCTAACAATTTGTGGTTTGTATATTATATTTCATTATTTTATGGTTAATATAGTACCGAATTCTAAACAAATCCTTTGTTTTTGGATTTTACGCGTCACTCTACATGTGGTTTGAATAATCGTTTTTGGATTATCGTCCGGAATTTCTTTTGGAAGAAATTCACAGTCATGCCGTTTCAGGAAAACAGCTTCTACCTTACATTTTACAGTAAACGCAAGACTGTACGGCGAATTATTACTCTGACACATTGATCTTTAGTAAGATATTGAAAGTTATCTTATCTCTCAGTGACTAATACGAGAAAATGCAATCCTGTTCAAACCAGTAAAATGGCCAAATATCGCATATAGTAATTCCATATTAGTTTGCTTATTAGATGTATCACACAGTGAAACAGCATTATTTACTAGATGACACAGTTTCGAACAAAATCTATTGTTCATAATCATATCAATTGTGATCACACGACTTTGACACTTGAGTTTTATAGTTTTATATGTTCTCTCCTATTTGTCGTAGGGGTAGTAGAATTTTCCAGATATCGGGGACAGGTAATGAATCATTCCTATTACATGTATTTGTAGTTGATTCGATAAACAAAGCTTCCGTTATCAATCTCTCCCTGTGACATTAGATTTTAAAACTGTCATCCTATCTCATCCATCCTATTGTATGGTTATGTGTAACTGCATGTAGTGAGTGCTATAGCTGAACTATTCTCTAGATTTCTGATCTCATTCGGGTCAACCAATCCATATTTTGCTAAGTTTTTATGTTCAGCTAGTCTGACTGCCTCTGTTCTACTACTTTCACCTATGTATTTGACCTGACAATCATTTCAACGGGTATTAGATAAACTAAACTGTTTTGTTTTAAAGGCTCCACTGGCAGCATCCTTTAACCGACAAAGCTTGTTTCTAATTGAGTTTGTGGGTTTGAATGCCGTTTTTATTCCTGCCTTGTTAAGAATTCTGCGTAAGGCTTCCAAGGTTCCTTCCTTGTATGGAATTATTACTGATGATTTAGATTCCTTATTGTTGGTGTCGTCATCAATATTATTATTATTATCACTACTATCATTATCATTATTATTGTTATTATCACTATCGCTACTATCATTATTTATTTTATTTTTACATTTCCTGACATATTTCCTGACTAATTTATCCGGGTAATTATTAAGTTTCAAAGCTTCTTTTATGTGTATTAGTTCCTGTTTTAGATTTTCTTTGGTACTACTTAATTTTTGTGCTCTGTCATTTAAACATTTCACCAATCCTATTTTTACTGACATAGGATGGGATGATCGGAAGTCCGAATATCTGTTTGAATGTGTGGGTTTCCTGTAAACACTAGTGTTTAACTTCCCATCTTCTTTCCTCTTTTCGTTGCAATCTAACGTTGGGAGCTCCCCTTCCTGATTTTCCAATTCATAAGTGAATTGAATTGCTCCAAACTTAGAGTTGATGTGTTCGGAAAACCTATCTATATCTTGTGTTCTAAGTACAGTGAATGTGTCGTCTACCTACCTCCACCATACTTTTGGGGTGGGGGTGAATGTTTTAATCGCTATGCTTTCCCACTTATCCATGAATATATCTCCTACAACTGGGGATATTGGTGATCCCATGGCAACTCCTTCAGTTTGTTTGTATATTTTACCCTGGAATTTAAATACTGTGGAAGTCAAGCATAGCTGTACTCCCAGCATTATTTCCTCAAGTGGCAATTTTGTCCTAAGTTCGAGGTCTTGGTCAGAAATGAGTTCGTTTCTGACTGCCTCCATAGCCATATTTATTGGTATAAGTGTGTATAAACTGACAATGTCAAAACTAGCCATTTTTTCTTCATTATCTAATTTTAAATTATCTAATCTGTGTTTGAATTCATAAGAATTAGTTAGTCTAGATTTCAAGTAGACTTTTAGGGGATTTAATACCATGGCTAAATATTTAGATAATTCATAAGTAGGTGAATTTCTAAAATCAACTATAGGCCTAATAGGGTATCCTGACTTATGAACTTTAACAACACCATACATCCTACTGGGGTTATTAGTTTTGGGCATTAAATTAAACCACTTAGACTCACCTAGAAACGGCTTCATTCGGCGTATAAGATCCGCTGTGGATTTCTTAACTTTATTCATAACTGTATCTATTGGTTTATTAATTTCCTCATATGGTCCTGTTTGTATGTGAGTATTTGTATGTGAGTATCGTATGTAGTAATTGGAATACCGAAAACATAAATTCGAATAATGAAAAACCCATTATAGTCTCCTATTTTAGCTTTATTAAATGCATCTAAGTCACATGCAAGTGTTTTTTTCCACCCCTTGCCTTCCGAATGCAACAAGCTTTTGAAATTTCAATAGCGTCAGTGTTTTTTTTCAACTAGCGGGATCGCTTGCCTCACGCTGAAGCTTCCCTCTTTTCCAGGATTCCTACTGAATAGTAAACCAGGCGAAGTCTAGGGATGAGTCAGTCGGGAATTACACCTACTCCTTTCACATGTGTGACTGGTGAGCATTCTGCTGCTGGACCGCCGGTGCTGCAGATAAGGTATATCTTAAATTCGTCACATTAGAATAAATTAATGTCAGCAGTGTCTTTAGAATCCGCACTTAATATTGTGTATTTTTTCCACATACAGTTTTAAAGTGATTTCTTCACTCGGGGCCACTGACCAACTTGTTTTCTATTACTACAGAATTAAGTTCAAGTTACGGAAATCTACTACTACTGCTCTGGAAAGATATTCAACTTTATATTCTGTGGTGCACATTAGCTGAAATTCCTTATCGATACTACCAAGAGAACCTTAAGCGTTCCCAATCACCAATCAGAAGTAAAAGGAAATTTGGGATTGGTACAGTTGTCTGTGCCCATGATTATCGACAAGGACACAGAGCTTGAAATGAAGGCTACGCTGTATCACAACAAGTCCAACTTATTTATAATGTGAACGTTGGCAGTGATAATATATAGACCCAACCAGTTACATCGTGAAAGCTCAGACGCCGCAATCAACCCAAAGCTGAATCTGCCTTTGGACATACTGCAGGATTCTATCCAGCTACACACAGTTGACGCAAAAACAAAGCTGACAGTAGTGCGCAGAGCAAATCTACTGAGTAATCTAATCAAACGTTCATTATTACTAACATTATTCGTATGAAGATTCAGAGAACAGAATCGTCATAAATAAAATTTGTCAGCAATTTTGTTTTATTTTTTCATTGTTAATGAGGTCAGTACTTACCTTTTTGATGTCACCCAACACCTAGAATATGAATGATATGAAATGGAATTATTTATGAAATTATTTTCACATTGTAATAAACAGAAATCAGATAAGAGTAAGTAAATTATAAAAATGATTTCAACAGTATTTCTGTGTCTCTGATATGATGAAATATAAGGATGGCATAAATCATTCTTTTTGATAGCATTATTAGAAGACGGAGATTATCTGAAAAATTTGATGTATTTGCGCTATACATTTCGAACAATCTGATCACACATTTACTTGTCAAGTCAATATATATATGGAAAAGTTAAATTAAACAAAGTGACAAAAAAAAGAATTAAGAATAATTAACACAAACGTTTGGTAATCCGATCAAATAAGGATTACCAAGTTGGTTAAGAGTAATAACAAACTGTCTTTGAATGCACAAGAGGGGCTTAAGTTTATGAATGGCTATAGCCTCAGCGTATTTCACTAAACGTCCTTGACCGCTTTTATAGATGACCTTAAAGGCTGAGTTAAAATCAACCTTATGGTTTATCTCGATTAAATGTTTAGCTATAGACGAAGTTGGTAGTCTGACACCTGCATCTATTGGCTTGTCACAATTCATCTGTTTTTCTAACCATTTTGGGATGTGCGCTCCCACCCTCACATGCAAAGCGCGATTACTCCTCCCTATGTATGTGTGACCACACACACACGAAAATTGGTAAATAGTGTGGGATGTGATATAATCACTTGTGCACTTTTGAGGTTTCCAGTGAAGCATATTTTCAGCTTTTTCCACAATTACAAGCTGGGCTGCATAGTAGGTTCTACGGATGATCGAATTCAATCTTTGTCTCAAAATCCTACTGTTTATTTCCCCGTTATATGGTAATTTGATGAAAACCTTTTCCTTAGGGACGGTATGGATTGTAGGTTTAGAGGCTAGTTGACTTCTACACCTGTTTAAAAATTTCAAAGGATATCCACTTTCAACAAGAGTATCCATCAATATTTCGTTTTCTTTGTCTATAACATCAGCCGTGCAAATATGCTGAATCCTCTTAAGTAGACACTTCACCAAGCCTCTCATATACTGTAATGGACAGAAGCTATGAAAATTAAGGTCTAGCCCTGTCCAAATGGGCTTTCTGTAGATAGACCGTCTTATTGAGCCATCGTCTCTTCCACTCAGAAGTATGTCTTAAAATGAGAGCTGGTTGCGACTTTCTTCCTCACATGTAAGACTAATATGATTATGTACAGAGTTAAGTCTATCTAATAGACGACTCGCATCTTCATGATCGTCACATATCAAAATGATATCGTCTACATATGTCTTATCATTCTATTACCTAATATTACTTATTTGATCTCAGTAATGTGTACCAGATTAATTACTTCCAATTGGCATTTTTGCAGTATGCATCAAATACAGTGACTGATCTGGGTCATGGTGTCAATTATCTCAGTGGACAGGCTTCTATAAGATTAAGAGATCTGATGCCTTGTCGAAAGCTGCCTCCACGTCGTACTGATTATCAGATGACTGGACAGAAAGGATAAGCAACCAGGAACTGTGGCAACGAACTGAAAAAAGAATCTGCTACTGAGTAGCATCGAGCGTCAGGCCCTCGAGAGGGACCCGCATAAGTGACAATGAGTTCAGCTAGGATCTGAGGGTGACATGGAGGATATCGTGTGAAGACGAGATGGAAGCTGACTGGCACTTGTGAAGTCGGCTAAAGACGATCGTAGAGAACAGGATGAAATGGTGTGGTGGTGTTATCGTAGCTTTATGTCCCACTAAGAATTCAAGGGAATAATAATTACTGCATCATTCAGCATTTGATGACAAAAATATTTTTTAAGTAAGTCATACCTCTTAAACACGTTTGTCGAATTAGTAGTAGTAGTAGTGTGGTGAGAGCTGTCTACTAGCCGAATTGGTAGACAGTAATTTACGTCAATGTTTGCGTTCTCAAGATTGGTCGTGAGAAAATATGAACAAAGACTGATTCGAAACCGACCATAACAGACTTTGCGTAGGCGGATGCAGTTAATATATAGAGGACTTGAAATTCAAGAAACAGTCACAAATAGATGAAAGATTAACTTTAAGTGAGAAACAACCAATTGCAAGACTGTGTTTGTTTGCTTAAATATCCATAGTAATGTACATGAAAATATATAAATATGCTTTGATTTCCTTTATAAACGATCTGTTGCCCAACCCTTGTCTTCTGTTGTTACAGTAGTACAATGATCGATCCAGAAATTATGTAATAAGAGTAGGGTAAAAATTACTTCGTCAGATTTTTTAAAGAATTTCCATCTGTCTAATAATTTCTCATTTTCATCAGGATTTATCTATCACAACTCAGTTCATTTCAGTAGAGTGCTGTTCTCAATTCGAACAATAAAATCTCTTCACTTCCTTATCGTGAAAATGTTTCATGTCAACTTATTGGGAGGATTACTTAATACATGTAAAATGCCCATGAAGATGTCTAGAAAAAGACCGTAAAATGGCTCAGTGAAAAGATACTTTTAGCAGTTTATTACATCGGAGAGCCTTTCACAACTGTTTTACACACTCATGAACCTTCGCATTTACTATGACAAACTTGACAGAATATTGGGAAACCCGTTAGGTTCCTTTAAATGTCGAGTGACCTTAACCACTCATTAATTTAAAGGAAAAGAAGACGTGGTTCAGTGACGAGATTCGTTTTAGTGATTATTCACCCTAAAGAACTTCCTACCTAGTCGATTTGTGAGCCTACTTTTCTAATCACTATTAGCAACAACAACGACACGATAAGATACCACCGAACCTGCGACTTAAGAAGAGAGAGCTTTTACTGTTTCGAACCAACGGGTTGACAGCAACTGCGTATACATGTGCATTAAATGTCCTTGGAGGGGGGGCTAATTGCATTGCTAAGGAAACAGTCAACAACCAATAGGATCCCAAGGTCACAAGTGGGGAGAAATACAAACTGCACTGTAAAGATAAATGTAGTACTATAGAAAAACCAAGTCTACATAACTTCATAAAATAGTATAGAGATGACAAAAAAGAGTGAACAGGTTTAGAAAAAAGTTCGCATATTACACACATTTAACAATCAAATTAAAATGCGATCAAAGAAGACACAAAAATGAATTGACAATAATTTTCAGACGATATAAAGTTGAAATAAAGTGCAGGAAGTAGTAACAACAGATTTATTATTATTATTCCCCCGGGCTACGAGTGGAACATAGGGCTTCAACAACACATCACTTTACCCTATATCTTCTGCCGTCAACGACTGAACATAATCTCTCATTTCCTCCTCGTCATATGATCTCCTCCATGTCACCCTAGGACGACCCACCCGTCACTTCCCATTCGGTTTCTACTCGAGCGATGGTGTGCATTGCGCGCGATGTCATTCGACGGTCTCCTGAACCTATGTCCTACGCATCTTCATTTTTTCCTACATATTTGTTGAGCAATCGGCTCTTGGTTGGTTTCTTCCCAGCCAGAGTTTCTTGCTACTAATTCTTTCTGGTCGGCATTTGATCTTCACTATGAAGTTAGCGTAGGCAGCTGTTGATAAAAGTCTGCGGCAGCCTGCTGGAAATCCTCTTCATTACAAGCAGTGCAAGTTTCTGACCCGTATAGAAGAAATGACAGATTGAGTGCAGAAGATTTCCAAACTGGTTTCAGGTTGATGAAGATTTTGACTGGCTTTAATATTTTCAGCCGTTTCACCTGCCTCTGGTTGAAACCGTGCTTCCTGGCTGGATAAGTGAAAGAGATAACGTCTGTTAAATCTCTCCCGTTGATGGTGATTGGTGCTGGTTGTTGCTGTTTATTGGTTATCTTCATCACCTCCGTCTTCTCTGTGTTCACCTGCAGTCCAGTTTCGCTGCGTCTTGAGCCAGTTTGTTGCTTTGCGCCTGTAAGTCTTCGAGTTTGTGTGACGTTAGACATGTATCGTCTGCGAAATCCAGATCTTCTAGAGTCTTCTTCCTGTTTTCTCGCTTCCATCCCACAGTCTTCCGCATATCCACTACAATTAAGAAAATCATGGGTGATAATAGACAGCCCTGTCTTACTCCTGTGCTCACTTCGAAAGTCTCACTGAGTTTTCCATTGTGAATCACCTGACACGTGGCATTGTCATATAGCCAGCTGTTGAATGAGGTTGAAAAAGACTTGAGGTATGCCGTAGTGTTGAAGTAGTTTCCAAATTGCTTCTCGGTCAACGATGTCGAAGGCCTTTCCGAAGTCGATGAAGTAGAGGTATGGGTTTGACTGCTATTCTATGCTTTGTTCTATGATGACGATGCGTAAAGTTGCAGTCTGATTTACGGTGAGTGAATCCTAATAAGAGCATGATAAATACAAACAACGATTGACCGACTTTTCCTGTCTTCATGGGAAAGACTTCACCGTCTGCACTAACCAAGCAAAATATGAATTTATCATGTGAAATACCGACATTATTATCACTTTTTATGTAATTCTGGAAAATAAATACTGGGAAAAATTATTTGACTTACAGACTTTGTGGATAGGAGCACCTATAAAATTTATTGAAATCAGTATCACGAATTATTTTCAGTTTAAAAGAAATATTTTGACAAATAACTTTGATCATGTATCATATCATTTTAGACCACATTTAATAAAGTAACAAGGCAGTTTTTGTGAGTTGAGAATAGCATTGAGAATAACAATTAAGCATCGGTGGTCAATTGGCAGGATATATGCCAGCTGCACATATCGTCTGGGTTCAGCTCCTGACCGAAGAGTTCAAAAACCTTGCCTTGTTTATCAGCCGATAGTCAGCCCAGAAACGAATAAAGGTTGGGCGTGAAGCCTGAAACCCCATCCCATGAAAACAGTAACACATTGCAAGTGAAATTTAGAAACTTGAATCTTTATGTTCCGTTCAGAAGGCAAAGAATAAAAAAGAGAAAGAATTATTATTATTGTTCCCTTGGGTTCCTAGTGGAACATAGGGCTTCAACTGCATGCCTTCACTTGCTTCTGTTTTGTGCTGTACTTTTCACTTGCATCCATGTTAATGCATGCTGTTTCAGTTCCTCATCACACGATCTCCTCCATGTCACCCTTGGACGTCCCACTCGCCGCTTCCCTTTCGGGTTCTACTCGAGGGCCTGACGATTTTATTATTTCAACCAAAGTTTATTTCGAACTGTTGAGGAGTCGCGTCAGAGTTTAAATTAAGCATTTTCAGATTTGCTTTCTGCCCTACCTAATTTGCCCCCACATTATACTAATTTACATCGTCAAGGAGTTATATATATTAAAGGCAAGATATGAGTAAGGTGATAACTAACTAACAAATTAAGTGAGTTCAAGTCAGACCGCAGAAAGAAGAGAAAAGCAAAGATACACTATATCAAAAGGGCAAGAGGTTAAAAGCAAAGACAGAGTACTCAAATGGAAGAGAGAATAAAGACATCCAGTTATCAGAACAAGAAAACACCAATAACTGCTTCTTTCGGATCAAATAAATCGGGCTCCAGGTGGATGATAAACACTGCTTCGACAAACTTGAATATTCTAAAGGATTTCGTGATGTCCACTGCATGGCCCATGTTGGTGAGATGCCTGGCGATGGCCCTATTGTAAGCGCTTGTTCCGTTGAGACGTAGGCTTTTTGGTACATGTCCAGAAACTCGGAGGTGTGTCATCTGTCTGTTCTTCCAATGTAACTGTGACTGCCGATACATGTAAACTAGTATACACAGCCGAAATTAACATGAGAAGGGTATCTGTTGACTTTTTAGTTGTGCCAAAGACTGTGTTGTCCGATGAACAGGAAATATGGAAGTTAAATCCAAAGGAAAGCGCTTCCATTTCAATTTCCATTTGACTTCACACTTGACGGATTACAGATAAATTCAGAAATTTCTGGGAAGCCGTCTTATATCCTGTTTATCTGACAACTTGCTCTTTTGCTCAGATCAAAAAGTTGACAGATACCCTTCTCGTGTTAACACTAACTATGTATACAAATTTATATGCACCTGTGAAAGCAGTCACAACAGCTGTACGCAGCTGGTCAAGGAAATATATAATGAAACCATCTTATTCTTCACAAAAGTATTATTCTGGCTTTATTCAAGTGGAATAGACACTTATTTAAAGATATTCGGTTTCTTCTTCCACCATTATAGACATGAAAGAGACGTTTATTTAAATTTCATAAAATCGAGAAACTAAAGTTCATTACAATGAACTGATGTTAGAAGTGATGAATCAACTAGTCAGTTCGCCTTATTCAGGTTTGCTATTACTCATCAGCCTTACTGTATGTCATTACATGAACGTTTCCCCTGTATGTTCCAAGTTAATTAGTGTTTTGCTGTGTTAAGACAATCACTTCTTGTGTTACTTGTAGTTGACTATGTCATAACACTTTAATCGTTATAGTTTCGTTAATCTACACATATCATCACTACCTTCTGTATACAAATTTTTATTCAAATGTCATCGAAGTCATCGTTTACATGGAATATTCTGTATAATGGAAGCCCTCATTATCGTCAACAACGAAGAAAATCTAGACGACATCTTGAAGTCGTTTAACAACTGCCACCCCGCGATTCAGTTCACGCTGGAGAAAGAGTCCAACTCCAAAATATCCTTTCTTGACGTCCAGCTAACAAGACGAGAACAGGATGGAACACTGAAAAGGTCTATCCACAGAAAGTCGACGTGGAACGGACAGCTTACTAACTTTCACAGTTGGGTACCCCTATACACCAAACGAAACCTGATCCGTTCACTCAGCTACAGAGTTCGCATAATTTGCACCCCGGACACCATAGAAGATGAACTGGACAATCTCAAGAGAATCCTCGTCGAGAATTGTTATCCAGAAAGATTTATTGCAAAATCTATGAATCCTAGACCACAAAAGCCGCCCATGCTTAGCGTCCCGAAAAAACTACTCTACATGAACCTTCAATTCAATGGAGATATATCTGCGGAAACACTAAAAAATCGACTGTCGCGCTCACTTAAGAAGACCTTCTTCGCAGCTGAACTACGACTAACCTTCTCCACAAAACCTATGATTCATGTGAACGTGAAGGATAAGCTACCACTGCTGGCCTCATCAATGTGTATTTATCAATTCACCTGCTCGTGTGGAGCCAGGTATGTTGGCCGTACCCAGCGCTCGCTTTCCAAACGTATCACCGAACACTTACCAACATGGTTTTACAAAGGAGAAAATCGATGCCCCCGCAGTTCCATCTTAGAACATTTGATAGAATCCGGACACCAAGCTACACCGCAAACAAACTTCAAAGTCGTCTACAGATTAAGAAGTAGTCTTCCTAAAGGTGTACGAATCAGACTTCTTCAAACTGCAGAAGCAATGGCGATTCACTTGCTAAGTCCTGAACTCTGCATACAGAAGAAGTTCGTTCAATCACTACACTTGCAATGGACGTAATCTATCTTATTAGCCGACAAGTAAATTCTACCTAATCTTTTTTTCTGTCTCTTCATTAGTATTATTTTGTCTTCTCAATTGTAATATTTTACATTTTCAACTTTCTTGTTCTCTACCCCCACCCGATTCAATTTCTACACCTCACTACCACTGTTACTGACTTGAACAACGCTCAATTTCTAGTCATTTATATTACGTCATCCAACTTATTTGCTCAATTTCACTTCTACTTAGTCTCTACCTGTAATTACCTCTGTTGCTACCCTGATCTAAGTTGAAACATTTTAGTCAATTATATTACGTCATCTAGCTTACTAACTCAATGTTACTTTAGTTGCTGTCTGATTAACTTTGTTTCTATACTACATCATTCTTGTATTACCTGATCAATTATCTAAACTTGACAAACCTCATGTACACACACACACAAATAATTATATATAAATGCGATTGTACAGCTATGTGAATGAATTCGCCGTCGAAAAGAGTCTCTTCGCTGAACGTCTTCTCTTTTTCATATGACTCAATGGGGATTTTCAACCAAATCAGGATTTAATGAATTCATCGGCTTTCAGTAGAATTCTTCAACTGAATACTAAACACAGAGGGAGATATAAGACTGATAAGGAAATAAAATACACTGAATAAATCATGCATAATGATAGGTGTGATATTCTGAGTGTATTGTAGTGTGATTTGTTCTCGAAACGTGGCCACGAATTTAGAGATCGGGAGGACTAATAGGTAGAACATAGTGAAAGAATAACGAATTACTGATAGATAATTGACTAGTGTCATATATTAAGAAACGACTGTGGTTGGATTTTGCTCAGTACTGTGTAGTATTTCTGATCACTTAATTTGATTCTTTTACAATGTTTCTCAAACAGTTTAATTAAGCCAATCCGGCTATATGCTTAACTTTAAATTACATTAGCTTGACTAGTAGACGATTCTTCTCATGTATTAGTGATCACATTGAAAACTAAATTCAAGAAAGGGTTTGGATTTCACAAAGCTACGCGGACCTACATGTTTCACTCACTTTCACGTATATATATGTATACATTATATGTCATTATATATATATTATATATATATGAAAACATTACATTGGAATTCAGATAGCCAGAAAGATGATGAACGAGGAATTCTAATCCTACTGACCAACGAATGTGCGAGAAAAAATGAAAGTTCATTGAACATACGCTAAGGCAAAATCATATGCCAGGTCCTGCAGCGGAACCCGAGTGGGAAACATTGAGTTGATCGTCAATCCAAGGGCGACAGAGATAAACCACGTGAGGAGGAAATGAAGGCTTATGGACAATTAGAGGAAGAATTTGAGTTTCTTGAAAAGATATTGAAGAGTAATGCGTACCCTCAAAGGTTCATCAACAAGTATGGAAGATCTGAAGTCAAAAATGTAAAACAAATCACAGTAAGAAAGAAGCCAGTCTACCTTCAGCTTGATCATGAAGGTGAAAACATTGCAGCGATGATCAACAGAAGGCTGAGCACATCACTAGCCATAGCCTGTCCTGCAGCTAAGCTCGTTCCCGTCTATCGAACAACTTGCTCTTTGATGCAATCAAAAATCGATAGATATCCTTCTCATGTTAACTCCAACTGTATATACAAATTTACATGTATCTGCGGGAGCAGTTACATTGGAAGGACAGAAAGAAGAGCATATCTACGATTTTCTGAACATGTACCAAAAAGCTTACGTCTAAAGGGAACAAATGCTTTAAACACTGCCATCGCCAGGCATCTCCTCGACACGGGTCATGAGGTGGACGTCGAAAAGTCGTTCAAAATTATCAATAGGCAAAAGAGCTCAATTCTCCTTAAGTTTGCTGAAGCCATTTCCATCAAGCGCCTGAAACCTGATTTATGCGTCCAGAAAGAAGCAGTTATCAGTCTTTCTTTGCCCTGGTAACTGGATATTTTTCATCCGAATGCGAGATGCTGAAAAGTTTTCATTGTGTATGATTATTATTGTTCGGAATAGTGTTTAATATTGCATATATATATGTATATATTATTAGTGTATGCGTATATTGATCAATTGATTTTTGTTTAAAATGAACTCTGTGCAAGTATGTTAAAATTGTTTTTGTAGATATATTTAATAATGTCTCTGCCCTGTAAGCAGCTGACGAGAAGGCAATGAAATAAAAGATGGTACCATTTTATTCTGCTAAAACTGTAGTTCTGGCTTTGTTCAAATTCATTAAGGGAAATAAATGTATGAAATTTATGGACAATGGTGGGTCACCTAACAGTGACTAATGAGAACGGAGTGAAATAGCAGTTTGTCGGGAAAATCCTGTATTCCACTTGGAAGCCAAAGGAATAATATGTGTACCTTCAAATAAGCTGTTCATTTCCCAGTCTTTTCATTATAATAATTCTCACCGAATTGAAGGTATACTTAAGAGTGAGGAAGTAACTAATTCCTTCCCTCTATCTCACCCACACAGGATCTTTTTTCAGCATATCCTGACCAGCAGCAATCTCTCATCTGCGCACAATGGTGGAGATAAGATCTTGTGTAATAAAACGTCACATCAACTAAAGTAACAGAGAATATTCCTCCCTGCAAAGTAGTGACACTGTAGTAAGATCGAATAAAATGTGAAATTTTTTTGTCAGCTTTTTAAAGAGATAAAAAAATGTCCAGTAAATTATACTACTTACCCTCGAAATTCAATTCCATAGCTGGAATTAGAAAATTTAGAATGTACACAATAATGTGATTACATCTACGTACATGGTATACTTGGGTATTGTTTTTCTTGTAAGTATTACGTCAATAAATACATAAAGTTTTATTATGGTACTTGTTATTTTATAAGTAGTATCTTTGCTTAGTTATCTCATTGAAGTTGTTTATTCATTTCCATATTAGTTTGTTTATTAGATATATCACACAGTGAAACAGTATTATTTACTGGATGACGTTTCGAACAAAATTTATTGTTCATAATCATATCAATTGTAATCACACGACTTTGACACTTGAGTTTTATAGTTTTCTTTGTTCTCTCCTATTTGTCGTAGGGGTAGTAGAATTTTCCAGATATCGGGGACAGGTGATGAATCATTCCTATTACACGTATTTGCAGTTGATTCGATAAACAAAGCTTCTGTTATCAATCTCTCCCTCCACCCTGTGACATTAGATTTTAAAACTGTCATCCTATCCCATCCTATTGTATGGTTGTGTGTAACTGCATGTAGTGAGTGGTATAGCTGAACTATTCTCTAGATTTCTTATCTTATTCGGGTCAACCAATCTATATTTTGCTGCTAGGCTTTTGTGGTCGGCTAGTCTGACTGCCCCTGTCCTACCACTCTTACCTATGTATTTGACCTGTCATTCATTGCAGGGTATGAGATAAACTAAATTGTTTTGTTTTAAAAGCTCCACAGGACTGATCCTTTACCCGACAAAGCTTGTTTCTAATTGAGTTTGTGGGTTTGAATGCCAAGCACTTTTATTCCTGCCTTGTTAAGAATTTTGCGTAAGGTTTCCGAGGTTCCTTCCTTGTATGGAATTACTACTGATGATTTAGATTCCTTATTATTGGTGTCGTCATTAATATTATTATTATCACTATTATTATTAACATTATTATTATTATTGTATTATTATTATCACTATCGCTACTATCATTATTTATTTTATTTTTACATTTCCTTACATATTTCTTGACTAATTTATCCGGGTAATTATTAAGTTTCAAGGCTTCTTTTATATGTATCAGTTCCTGTTTTAGATTTTCTTTGGTACTACTTAATTTTTGTGCTCTATCATTTAAACATTTCACCAATCCTATTTTTACTGACATAGGATGGGATGATTGGAAGTCCAAATATCTGTTTGAGTGTGTGGGTTTCCTGTAAACACTAGTGTTTACCTTCCCATCTTCTTTCCTCTTTACGTTACAATCTAACATTGGGAGCTCCCCTTCCTGATTTTCCAATTCATAAGTGAATTGAATTGTTTCAACCTTCGAGTTGATGTGTTCGAAAAATCTATCTATATCTTGTGTTTTACGTACAGTGAATGTGTCATCTACATACCTCCACCATACTTTTGGGGGGGGGGTAAACGTTTCAATCGCTATGCTTTCCCACTTATCCATGAATATATCTGCTACAACTGGGGATATTGTGATCCCATGGCAACTCCTTCAGTTTGTTTGTAAATTTTCCCATTTCACTTCATTGTTATGAACTCATTAGTTGTCTGTCAAGTTCTACTATATATTTCCTATGATTGATTATTCCCTTGGTGTAAAATGCTTTGCAGTAGAGTCGCTCAGATTGAGTTCTTGTGCATGCATAATACTTCATTAAGTACTCATGTTCTACATATACTCCGGGAACAGTCACACGGAAGATTTTTATGCGCCATATGAGTTTCGTCAGCACTTATCGTTCACCTACACTAGCTATTTCTGCGATCTATACAACAAATGATATGATCCTGGTTGTATTTGAGTTTCAAGAGAAACTTTTCATGTCGTAACGATTTAATCTTCAAAAATCATTGTATTTTTGATATTAAGCGTTATTCTGAAGTGAATCGCCGGAACTTAACTAACACATCTCAAATTCCCGTGATGTTTCTCCAAGTCCACGAAATAATTCTTTTGGAAACACTGTACGAAATCAGTATCTAAAGGTTACTGACGATGAAATCCTAACGTTATACATAATGCATTAAAGTGTGTTATAGTGTCACAGTACATACTAAGCCAAGAGAGTTATCAAAAAGACAATTGCAGCGAAGAAAATTTTCTTTTCGACGAAGTCATCATCTAGGCTGTACATTCGTGTATTTATATCAAATGGATGGGAAAGTTCCAGAATAATTTCCGGTTAAGGGTCAAATTAATAAAAATTACAATTAGGAATTAGAATGCCATAATAAACAGGGGGGTGGATAAAACTCGAATAAAGTAGCATTAGTGACAGAGCATCTGGTCAACTCAGGACATTCAGCGCCTTTCGAGAAATCCTTCAAGGTAATATACAAGATTCAATCAAACCTATCAAAGGGAGTCAGATCAAGACATCTGGGCATAGCTGAGGCGCTAGCTATCCAAAAGCTCAAACCCACGCTTTGTATCCAAAAGAATTACGTCCAACCCCTGTCCCTGCCGTGGCCATCATAAACAGGTAAAATTTTTTTAGTAATGACAATCTCATCGCCTTTCTTATCTAAACTTCCTGTTTATTCATGTTATTTTAAGTTTTTCTTAATCCCTGTCCACACTACAATATTTTCATATCCACTCTTCCTGTTTATTTTGTCATTTTACTATTTCTACATATTTAATCCCTGATTGCATAAACAATTATTCATCATATTAGTTTTTTATCCAAACATCCTGTATATTTTGTTATTTCTACATTTCTAACCCCCAATTGCACAATGTCAATATTCTTAGTTATTATAATGCTACTTTATTCGAGTTTTATCCACCCCCCTGTTTATTATGGCATTCTAATTCCTAATTGTAATTTTTATTAATTTGACCCTTAACCGGAAATTATTCTGGAACTTTCCCATCCATTTGATATAAATACACGAATGTACAGCCTAGATGATGACTTCGTCGAAAAGAAAATTTTCTTCGCTGCAATTGTCTTTTTAATAAGCCAAGAGACTTTAATATAAGCAAAATAGGTAGCAGCTCAGGAACATAGTCTTCTTTCTTCGAAGTAGACAACAACTTTGAAATGGCATTAACTAGAGAACCATTGAGTACTGCGTTGATTTACCGTCCTAGCCTAGGAATATTCAGCAGAGAACAGTTAGGACAATGTGCAGTAGGATTCTGACCTAGTGTTTAAATGTTAGTCTTCTCGTCCCATAACTCTAAGATATTAACTTCAATCCTAAGAGTTACAAACTAGATCAAAACAGCTGTCAAGCTTTCAGTTATTCCGTAAGAGATGTTGGTTCACTATTAAATTTACCTACAAATCAGCGCTTAAAAGTAGTCTTTCTTAAACGAGTAAACTTGCAACATAAATTGCTTAAAATGTCGACTATTAGAACACTCAGTTCGTGGTGATATTCAATGAAGGTTTTGTCACTGTCCAGTCTTGAGATGTTAACTCCCATCGACTTGGTCTTGGTGCTGAATTATTCACTGAGTCATTAGCTTGCAGTCTTGAAGAATATTGGGATGTGACGGGCAGAACTTTTAAGGGTTAATTAATACCCAATGATTTTCTGTTTCGTATCGATTTATTGTAAAATACTCAGGAAACATCTTACAGAATAAATTCTATTTAACTTACTGTTGTCTCAACGCGTCACGACTAAAATCAAAATGTGATCGTTGACATTTAGTTAGGTGCATTTATCAGATATCCAAAGCTACTATGTACGTTCCATTATGGGTAAATTTTGTTTTGATAAAGTCTCACAGTGTTATACAGTAATATTTACTGATGACGTTTCGAGCACAATTTATTGCTCATAATCATATCAAGGTAATCACATGACTTCCTAAATTCATTTATATAGTTCCATTGTTTTTCACTTGATTTTCACTTGATTTGATTGGTAGTAATATTTTCCATATTTCGGGTATGAGTGATGATTCATTCCTATTGCATGTGTTGAGTGTAGACTCGATGAACAAGGATTCAGTAATCAACCTCTCTCTCCATCTACATAGATTACTTTTTAGAATTTTAACCCTCTCCCACCCTATTGTGTGGTTGTGTGCTAATGCATGCATTGCAATTGCCGAGCTTTTTTCTAAATTACTTATCTTCTCTGGGTCAACCATTCTTACCTTAGCTAAATTCTTATGTTCTGACAATATGACTACCCTTGATTTACTAGTTTGACCTATTTAGTTGACCTAACTCACAGTCATTGCAGGGTATTTTGTAAATTATATTATTTTGTCTAATTGGGTCAACTGGGTCCTTTAACCTACAGAGCTTGTCCCTGTCTGAGTGAGTTTGTAGGTTTAAATGCCACCCTAATTCCTGCTTTATTCAGAATCCTACGTAGGGTCTCAGATGTCCCCTCTTTATATGGTATAACTGTAGATGACTTATATTCTCTCTTGTTTATGTTATTATTACTAGTTTCACAATTCTTTTTCTTTTTCTTTTGGCCTTTTTCAATCTTCCTAATGAATTTTAAAGGATAGTTATTTAGGAAAATTGAAAAAGGCCAGAAGAAAAAGAAAAAGAATTGTGAAACTAGTAATAATAACATAAATAACAGAGAGAATATAAGTCATCTACAGTTATACCATATAAAGAGGGGACATCTGAGACCCTACGTAGGATTCTAAATAAAGCAGGAATTAGGGTGGCATTTAAACCTACAAACTCACTCAGACAGGGACAAGCTCTGTAGGTTAAAGGACCCAGTTGACCCAATTAGACAAAATAATATAATTTACAAATTTGACAAATTACAACATCACTCGCATAATGCAGATAATACAACAGTGGAAGTATATACAGGACAGTTACCACTTCTTAGGGTATGCGGTGATATTAACTAGGATAAATGCGCTCTCATGAACTTCCTATTTCTATTTTCTTCAGTCAATATGACACTTCCTTGAGAATATAAAAATGGAAACTCTACTAAGAGATTATCTTTGGTTTGAGGTTGTTATGTTGTTGGTGTGAAGCAATGGAATCAAGAATGAGCATTTCGTCCTTTTTGGTACTCATTAACGTGATTTAGCTGCATCCCATTTTCACTGGTGATATTCTCCGTAAATTATTTCAAATACTGAAGCATTATACATCATGCCGGAGGGTCACGATAAGCATCTCTTGTCTCAAATGTGACAAAATGTACATCCCAGATTCTACAGCTAGCTACCTTCAGATGAATTTACATAGTTGGAGATGAAATTTTACTATTGTTCTATTCGTAAATCGAAATTACTAAGATCACAATGTGTTGTCTGCTTGATTAGATAATTGGCAGTCACGATTATACGTACTACTTATTGTATGATAAGAGTGGCTGAATACTATCAGCAGTGCCTGCTAGCCAGACCAATGTGACCTAGTATATAGTACCATTCATTAATGCTAGCTTTCTTGGTTGCTATTCTTCGTTTCAAGGGAATTACACATCGTGATCTGAACAATTCCGGTTTGCAAAATAAACTGTTTAATTTGTAAATCTTGGATTTTTTATTTTTTATTACAGCTTGATGCCACACCGTATTTTCAGTACAAGTATGGAATTTTCAGCATGTGATATCGGTAGCCCAAATTTTGCAGGCCGACCATAGATATCGGGTGTGCGTCGGTAGGGAATCGAACCCCGGACCATGTGCATGGTCGGCGAGAGTCCTAACCACTGTGCCACCGACGCACAAAGCCGGCAACACCCGGTATTCCCAGCCGGTCACCCATGCAAGTACTAACCGGGCCCAACGTTGCTTAACTTCGGTGATCGGACGAGAACCGGTGCTTTCAACGTGGTATGGTCCAGAATTCGAGTACCTTGAACTGATTCGGTCTTCTAAGTTGAGCCAGGCTAGGTAAGCACGGCAAACAGGAACACAGGAAGCAGTCATGAGGTGTTCAGACCACCCTCATCGAACTACTAGTGAGCATTACTATTAGGTGTCAGTGCTCAGTAGTGTCCGGTTAAATTTGCTGATACTTGTGTCGTGTTTTTGAGGCTTATTGGTTTACAAAGTAGTATCCCAACAGGTTGATTATGTAATATGATAAATGAGATTTTAGTATAAAATAGATGAATAATTTTAAGCAAACATTCTAACAGGTTGAATAATATACATATGCATATGGGAAGAAAACTCACGTTTTAGATATAAGATAGAACCTTGAAATGTTCAGAATAAAAAGTTGCTTCATATTAAGTCTATTGAAGATACTGTTGGCCTCAAAGTCACAGATTATCACATAATGAATATATATATATACCTTTTTAATGCACGATTACCTGAATTAAAAGTGTTCATGCAGATTACATAAGAAAAATTCAATCTCAACTCGTTAAAACTTACATGTATCCCATGACATAAAGACTAAATAGTTATCAGGAAAACAATGTAGTTTCACACTTTGCTGTTTTACGCTATTTAGGTTAAAAAAAACACTTTCATATTTAACACAGCTATTCAGGCTGGTAAATATTGTTGTGGTTGTGTCCTCAGGGCTAGATGACGTGCAACTAAACCATCCAGCTTAGAGAAAGCAGCTACACCAAAATCATCCAGCTGAGATACAATTCTTTATCATTTCTGGACTGGTAAAGGCTTTCCGCTGAGGCTATAGATGTTGTCTGTGTATATTTTTCCCATTCCGAGCCACTTTAAGATAAGGTGGATTGGAAACTGTATCAACGAAAAGTTTGTTGGACCAGATTTTGCGTAAAGCGTGAAGCCTACGTAAACGCTCAGTGATCGAAGACACAAAAAAGATCAAAGGGACAAAAAACTGGAGAGTTTTCCCCAATTTTTTTTTCATTCACTGCAAATGATCTTATTCTAAATTTGTTAATCTTTTAAATGAAATGACATTAGCTGGGGAATCAGTGAGATTCAAGAAGCACTGGGTAGATGAATTAACCTTGTTTGGAGTTATGTGATATACATCTATTTCTCTGCCACAGATCGGAACTAGAATCTTCCGGTCAGTATACGAACACGTTGACTGTCATTTGTTCCATCAGAAATCTATGCAGCTGAATATTAGATAATCTGACTTTCCAAAAAAGACAAAAATAACTGGTTTTTGAATTTATTTTCTTAACAAAATATAGAACACTTTGACTGTTGTCATTATTTCCTTGTGTTCGGAGTGGAACATAGGGCTTCAACAGCAGATATTCACTTCACTGTGTTCTTTGTAGTCTTTTTCAGACGGCTACACTATCAATCATCATCTTTCATTTCTTCTTCACTTGGCCTCCTCAGCTTCACCCAGACTAGTTTCTCCCTGTTTGGGTCCCAGTCGAAGGCTTGATGTGTGCTGTCACTCAAAGGTCACCTCAGCTTACCTCTTGTCCTACCTCTAGTTACTTCGTTTCCAAATTTCCCCAGTGCTAACCCTATGTGGTCATCATCTGATCTTCAGTAAGGAGCAAAGTTAGCTATTTGTAAAGATCTACATTAGCCTGTTGGCGATGCTTCTTGTGACGCGTTCACTAAGTCTCTGAACCCTACAGAAGCGGTGAAAGACTCTACATTAGTGTTCAAAATCCAAACCTTGTTCCTTATGCTTAGGGGAGTAAATTTTCACATTGATTTTAGATGAATGAATGTTTGTCTTGCTTTTCTCAGCTTGGTTTTGATATCCCCATCTGTTCCACCGCCTGAAGTTGAAATGATGCTTCATTTAGATTACTCCGGATGATGGTAATCGATGCCTGCTTTTGCTATTGGTGATGGCGGTTGGGTTTCTTCATCACATCTGTCTTCTTCATGTTCACTTAATTTCTTGTCTTCGCTACCTATTCTGGTTTACGCCTTTCAATCTTCAAGTTTGTGTAATATTTGACATAAATCATTATACTACTTTTGGTTGTTCTTTCTTGTTTGGTGTATCTCAGTAGCATATTTATCACTTCTGCCCTGTGACACAGCAGCAGGAAGCGCGGTCGCTGTTAATCCGGGCCCCGACCGATCCGGCATGATATTTTGTGAGTTTGTTTGAGTCATAGTATTGGATTGGGTGGCTGCTTTTTGTCTGACTGCTATCCAAACAACCTTTTTGGCCTGGCAGGACCTACAGGAACATAAGTTCCAGCCAGTGTAGGTCGTTGGGTCATTGCGATATGCAAGCCCGACCACCACGTCAAGGAAGCAGCTATCGGTCGGGTATATTAAGTGAAATATCATTTTACCCAGATGAACACTAAAGGGTAACAAAATCATAAATAGAGAACATGATTTAAGCAAATACGCATTCTCGGTAAATTCTCATCAGGCTTTACATTCACTCAATACTCAAGATCAGATGGCCAGAAAAGATCAGCAACAGAGATCTCTGGGAGCGAACCAACCAGCAGGAGCCGATTGTGAAACAAATAGGCAGGAAGAAATGGAGATGGATTGACCATACTCTGAGAAATCAAACCACCAAGTGACATCACTAGATAAGCCCTTGAGTGGAAACCGAAAGGGAAGAGGCGAGTTGGTCGTCAGTGCAAGGGTGACTTGGAGGAGGTCATGTGAAGAGGAGACGAAAACGTGTGGGCAGACATGGAGCCAGGTGAAGACTCTAGCAGAGAACCGAACGCAATGGGGACGCACGGCTGAAGCCCTATGTTCCTCTAGAAAACAATAATAATATTAAATTATACTACTTTCACAACATACTGTTCAATTTATTTTACTGTACTCTTACTTTTTATTCATGAATCTTCGACTATAATTTTTAAAATATGTAAAAAGATTCAATTAAATGTTGTGAATAGGTTTTATAATGTTTGGGTTTTTTACTATTGGGTCAAATAAATTCGCAGTTTTTGCCATTTTACACCAATCACCGAAATTATTCGGATCCTTACGTGTGATCTTGTGGATACCATCTATCCAGCCATCAAACTAGCCAGCCAGAATTCAAATGGTTTGAAATGATTCAGCTGATTCTGAGATCAGTCAGATAGGTTGCACCACTGATCATCTCACCTACAAACGAGCGAAGCTTCAATCTGGCTAGCAAACACTATCCAGTTCTTATGAGCAGTAACTAATTACTCATATCACACAATCAGTAGTATTATCTGACTAAGTATGAAGGCTTTCCCATCTACCTATTAAAGAACGCATGCAATTTCCAGGACTTCTCTCCATTTCACTCTAAACATATAATAAATAACCATTGAAGGTGAAAGATATGAAAAGATTGACGGATTTCAATTACTTCCATTCAATTCCTTGTATTGGGCAGAGCAGTATGACTACTATGGAAAGAAAGAGCATTCTTTGATGAACAATGCCGTCTGAAATAGAACGAATTTGGATAAGTGTTAAGGGTAGATTCAATCCATGAGAGCTGTGAATTGCAGTTTTAGCCACATAGGGATGTATAGATAGATTTCTTAGTCAGGTTTCTTGGACTACTAACAGCCAATTATTACAGGTGGCTGGTAATATGCCTCAAGATCGTTCGCAGTGACTCAGATATCTTCACCTTTTTTTCAACCAAACTCTGAAATTCTCACTAATCTTCATCTGATTATTCCCTGTCCCTCTGTCTCGTCCATCTTTGTCCACTGTGGATTCGCTATAATTTTTATGGAATTAGGGAATAAACACCCAAGTGACGAAAACGCACTAATGAACTTGGCACGCTCAGCCAGAAAATAATGTTGAAAGAGGTGCAGGGGCGATAAAGTGGACACTTATCTAGTTTAGGATTAGTTTAGGGAAGGATTAGGCTTAGGTTAAGGAGATATGAGGGTTTGATGGGGACAGATTAGAGTTAGGTTCAGGTTAGGCAATGGAAGCATTATGGTTATGGTTGGGTTAGGGATACAAATTTGCTTCTTAGCTCAACTGCTTGTTTCTGTGTCACGTCTATTGGCAGTCTATTGTTTAACTCCACCGCATTTCTTTTCTCTACTTATCTGTCTGCTCCTGCTGATACGATTTATGCTAAGTTCTATGTTCATAGGTAAAAAAAAAATGGGTCCACAAGTATTACAGCATAGTCAGAGAGTCAAAGACCAGTTGCTTTAATCTATTCAAAATCAACAACTTGACACCACTAAGTTTTTAAATGAAAAATATTATAAATTTTACAAGATTTTTGTTTAAAGTGTGTACTTACTCAGGACTGTAATTTTATAATCAGAATAATTACTTATTCACAATTTTTTAATTTTTGATTTAATTTTGATTTTGATTGCAGCTTGATGCCACATCGTATTTTCAGTACAAGTATGGAATTTTCAACAGGGATATCGGCAGCCAAATTTTGCAGGCCTACCATAAATATTGGGCGTGTGTCGACAGGGGATCGGACCCGGGACCATGTGCATGATCGGTGAGAGTCCTAACCACTGTGCCACGGACGCACAAAGTATTAGGTGACTTTTCAGTTCGTGATTAAAGCTGCCGATCGAGGGTGATTGATTGTAGGATATTAGAAGATAAGTAACTCTTCAATGAGAATTCAATTCTAATAAACTAATCAACATCACTTCAACCTTCCGAAAAAATTATGACAAAGATAACATTTGCTTCCTTTTACATTCAGCAATATCTCAAATATAATTAATTGTAGAGACATAAACCTGATAGATAAAGAGTGCGCGCAGAAATGTCGCTCCAAAGATAGATTCCATGAAAAGTAGGACTTCTGTCAATGATTGTGAACATTGAACGTTTGTTCATTGGCCTTGGTCGCCATTGGCGGGTAACTTGAAGGCGCGAATGATTCAATCGTGTACAAGTTAGAAGAAGACGAAAGAATACGAATAAAACTACAGTACATTCCTGGTAAAACATTTGTTTATAGACTTAGTACAGAATATTGATTTTAACTATCGAAGAATGCAATTTCTTGTCATTCATTGTGTTTTGGAGTTAAAGTCGATGTTTGTACCTAGTATAATTGTCAATTCGGAGCGTCTTCGGAAATAATAGGAACTTAGGATTAAGTTCCTTGACAACTTTAAAAAGTGATCGTCTAAGAATGAGCATACAAATAAATCCATAAGATAATGTGGAGGAAATTGCGGTAGTGGGAGGAACGTTGTTGCAGTGGAGAAGAAGCTTCTATTTATCCAATCAACCTTCAAAAGTTATTGTATGTCACAAGGAGTAAGCGAGATACTAGGCGTTTCCACTGTTACAACTTATCTGTCAGCTGAATTCATTGCTGTTTATAACGGTAGTCGTGCTCTCCATCAGTCGAAATTTGATAGGTACCCATCAGAATTCGCCTCCAACGATTGACGAATTCACATATACATGCCGGAGCAATTGGAATGGAAGGACAAAAAGATGGGGAATCATTCTTGACTTCTAAGAAGGTATTTCAAAAGCCTGTGACTCAAAACTTCTCACTCCCTCACCAGAGTCATTTGCCTAAATCGAAACGAATCTCGACAAAATGTGGATATTTTAAACTGTTTTTCACCGAGGTCAACAGGCGAAGAAATTCAATTCCACTTCATTTCACTGCATATACTACTAATAGGCCACTCAAATCTAACCAATTTATACTAAAAAAACCAAATCCTTATTTTTTGATTTTTCCTAAATTCTTCCAAATGCTTCTTGTATATATTTCTACGTATGCGCTGGTTAATTATTGTTTCATTGTCAAGTCGTTTATTTACTAAAACTTCTCTAATCCCGTTTCTTGTCATATATTTTAAAAGTATCATCCACGTATCTTTTGTACATATGAAAACTATAGATAATGGGTCATAACATATCGTTTTCTAACCTTGTCATGGAACAGTCGTAAAGTAAAGGTCCCATTGTGCTACCCTATTGCCACTCAGTCTCTTTGTTCATACAGCGTGTTACTGAATTTGAACTGGACATTGAAAGTGCATCCCAACAGTAGTTCCTATAAGTAATGGATCGGAATATCCACGTCCAGATTATTATCCTCGATAAATCTGTATATGAAGCAAATGGTTTAGGTGAGACGAACATTGGTGAAGAGAGAAATAACATCCACAGATATGATTTTCATCCCGGATACATTAACATCACTTATTGAATCGACGAAGTCGAACTTGTTATTAATAACTACTTCCGTTTTCGGCATCAGTTGTAATGATTACGCCATCTTATTTAAATTATTATTATTTCCTTGAACTATGATCCTCATGCCTAACTTTTGCTGAATAGATTGAAAAGAATGTATGTTCCTACTACATTATTATTATATTATTATTGTAACCTCTGATTCCTACAGGAACATAGGGCTTCAGCCGTGCGTCTCCATTGCGTTCGGTTCTCTGCTAGAGTCTTCACCTGGCTCCATGTCTGCCCACACGTTTTCATCTCCTCTTTACATGACCCCCTCCAAGTCACCCTTGCACTGACGACCAACTCGCCGCTTCCCTTTCGGGTTCCACTCGAGCAATGGCTTGTTTAGTGATGTCACTTGATGCATTGTTTCCTCAGAGTATGACCAGCCAATCCATCTCCATTTCTTCCTGCCTATTTGTTTCACAATCGGTTCCTGCTGGGTTGGTTCGCCCCCAGAGATCCCTGTTGCTGATCTTTTCTGGCCGGCCATCTGATCTTGAGTATTGAGCGAAGACAACTGTTAATGAAGGTCTGTAGTTTGTTTGAGATGCTCTTTATGATGCGCACTGCAAGTCTCTGATCCGTATAGTAAGAAGCACTGACTTCACATTGGAGTTGAAAATCCGGATCTTATTTTTGATGCTTAGTGCTGTTGACCTCCACACAGACTTGAGGGTAATGAAAGCTTGTCTTGCTTTTCCGATTCTTGCTTTGATATCCTCGTCAGTTCCGTTTTCCTGTAGTTGAAACGATGCTTCCCAGGTAGGTAAAGGAGGTTGTTTCTTTCAGGTTCCTCCCATTTATGCTGATTGTTGTCAGTTGTTGTTGTTGCTGTTGGTGGTGTTTGTCCAGGAATCTTCATCACCTCTGTTTTCTCTATGTTCACCTGAAGTCCCTCCTATCTTTGATGCTTCTTCTGCCAATTTGTTGCTTGTCGTTTGCATGTCTTCCAGTTTGTGAGAAATCAGACATTTATCATCGGCGAAATCCAGATCCTCCAAGTTTCTTTTGTGTGAGTCCATTTTATGCCTGTTTCCTCATTGCCCGCTGTTTGTCGCATTATCCAGTCTACTACAATCAGGAAAATCATTGGCGATAGTAGGCAGCCTTGTCTTACTCCTGTCCTCACTTCGAAGGGTTCCGTAAGTTTCCCGTTGTGGATTACTTGTCATGCAGCATTGTCGTACAGCTGTTGGATGAGATGTATAATTGTCGGTGGCACTCCGTAGTAGCGAAGTAGTTGCGAAATCACCTCTTGATCGACGCTGTCGAAGGCCTTTTCAAAGTCGATGAAGTTGAGAGAGAGAGATGACTGCTATTCCAAGGTTTGTTCAATGATGATCCGTAATGTGGCGATCTGATCAATGCATGACTTGTTTCTCCTGAATCCAGCCTGTTCCGGTCGAAGTTTTTCATCCAGGGCATGTTTGATTCTCTCCAGGATGATGCGGATTAGTATTTTGCTTGAGATGGACAGGAGCATAATGTCGCGCCAGTTCTTGCATTGACTTAAGTCTCCTTTCTTTGGTAGTTTGAATAAGTATCCTTTCTTCCAATCCTCGGGTACTTTGCCTTCTTTCCACAACTTCTCCAGTAGTGGCGTCATCAAGTCCGCTGTTGTCTCTGGGTCCACTTTCAATGCTTCTGTTGGGATTCCATCTGGTCCTGCTGCTTTTCCAGCTTTTAGCATCTTGATGCTTCGACTTCTGATTTCGTCGGGGGGTTGGTCTTATGTATATTTTAGGCTATCTTCAGGTGAAGAGAAGCCTCAAAATGAAATATGCACAATTTGTGCTCCAAATCTTGTTCTTCTTCTTACTTTTATGAAGAAACATGAAACTTCTGTAAAAATTTTTGGTTAGTCCTGGTACACAGTTTTAGTGCCACCACCTAATAACAATTTAAAACTTTCCTATTACATTTTTTCTTATCGTTTAAACTTGTCTCCTATGAGTTCTGTAAAACTATATTTTTTTATCTCTTAAGTGATAAGGGATATAGATGGTTGAATAAACAATCTTCATTTCACTTAAGATAATATTCAAACAAACATATTTAACATATTTAATTTGTAGGTTGAATAGTAAATTATGCTTGAAAATTGGTTTAATTTTGTTTAAACGAATTAATCTCAAGGTCAAAATAAGAGAACAAATAACAACCAGTGAGAATTTTAAATGAAAATAAATAATCTTGTTGTGTGAATTCACTTACCCTCCTTCACTTAAAACACAAAGGGAAAAAAAGAGATACTTTTATTTGCTCATTATAGAGTGCTTTTAAAATAAGCGTATTTCACGTTAAAAAAAGGCACACACGATGAACATTTTCAGGTACTCTGGTTTGTTAGAATTCGCCTGATCCATGTTAGCGTCATGAAGTGAATCCAAAGTAGGAAGAAGAAACAGCTATACAGTACTCCCAGGGTTTTCCAATGGTTCTGTAACAGATATCACCTTGTGATCAATCCTATATTTTGACAGATTATGAAAAAGTTTACAATATGGACATCATTTCTTACTAGTTTGAAAAAGTTTATTAAGGATATTTCAGTGGTTGGCTGACATTAAAACAAAAAATGACGTCGTCGAAATCTGTCTGAAACTTTTATAAAGGTCCGGACTTTTGAAGTACTCAATTTAGTTGGTTAGGCATTGGATCTACTATTCTGTATAGTGTGTGAGAGCTGTCTACTAGCCAAATTGGTAGTCAGTAATTTACGTCAATATTTACGTTCCCAAGATTTGTCGTGAGAAACAACCAATCGGAAGACTGTGTTTGTTTGTTTACATATCCATAGTAATGACATGAGAACATATATAATATGCGTTGATTCCTTAATAATGACTTGCCTGACTTTGCTCTTCTACAGTAGAACTTAAAGTAACTGGTCAGTTCACTTATGCTGTGAGCACTGTCAGAATATCCTCTTCTCATCATGAGATAAATGTACTCTTGAATTGCTAATGCTTTGCCTATGTCAAGATCACTTGGTCACACTCCCTTCTAGAAGCTCGACTGAACGTTGTATAGAATTTTGAAAGATTTCTCAAAAATTCCAAACTTGCGGTTAGCTGTGAAATGATGAATCTCCTGAAGATGGTGTCACCAAAAGCTTTTTTTATCTAACACTTCTACTCCCCTCTCTCGGCTATTAATGAAGTCCAGTTATTTCATTCTTTTAGTGAATGTCGTCCGTAATTTCAGCTTAGTCATCAGTCTGAAGACTCAAGCGATCTGCTGTTTAGGTAGTCGTAATGCGTCACTGGTTAGTTTGGCTTCTGACTGTTGAACTAATCATCCATAGAAAAAAAACCCAACGATGTGGTCACTATTCTGTAAATCATTTAATTATAACCGTTAACTCAGTGTTGGTTAAAAGAATCACCCTACCGCTAAATGGCTTGCGGAAATTCTGGAACCAGTGAGATTAAATCTATGTAAACATAGTCTCTCCGATACTTTTGACTTTGTCAGTTGTGTTGATGAAATTAATGTGTCTGGTAAGCATATGATTTCGCTAGATGTTTGTTCTTTGTTCACAAATGTACCACTAGTAGACACTATCTGCTATCTATGTGAGTATATTGATTCAAATAGCATGAACATTGGGTTACCAACTGAAGATCTTAAACAACTATTACTGAGATGCACACTGAATGTGCAATTTAGATTTAATGATGTCATCTACAATCAAAGGGATGGAGTCGCAATGGGGTCTCCTTTAGGACCGCTCTTAGCGGACGTCTTCATGGCTAGCTTAGAGAATGGTCCACTAAAGGAAACCATCGGTAGTTTGTCTATGTATAAAAGATATATAGATGACACTTTCATTGTATGTGACGAAAACTCTTCAACTGCTGAACTTCTTGGAATATTTAATGGTTCTCACCCATCTTTGCTTTTCACGGTCGAAGAAGAGTCGAATTCCTCATTTCACTTCCTTGATGTAAAGCTAGATAGAAGAGAGAATGGTACGTTGCTAAGGTCGATTTACCGAAAGCCAACATTCACTGGGCAGTACACTAACTTCAACAGTTGGGTACCGTTAGGGAGAAAGAGAAATCTTATTCATTCCTTATGCTCTAGAATTCGTAAAATCTGCTCTGCAGAGACAATCGGTAGTGAACTAGATAAGCTTCGATCAAATCTCCTTAATAATGGTTATCCTACAAGGTTTATCGAACGTAATATCAAGAAAGAACACGCCCCCAGACAAATTACAGTGCCAAAGAAGAAACTGTTTATGAGTCTGGCATTCAAAGGTGACACCATTTCGGAATTGATTAAAAATCGTTTATCTAAATGTATGAAACGTACTTTTCCTGCAGCTGACTTACAACTAGTTTTTACCAGCCGAAATATGATTAGACAATGCGTCAAGGATAGATTACCGCTTTTGTCCACATCCATGTGTATTTACTCTTTTACCTGCTCTTGTGGAGCTGTTTATATTGGACGTTGTAAGCGTAATCTCCGGAAACGTGTAGCTGAACACTATCCAGTCTGGTTAATGAAAGGCGAACGTAGAACTGCAAAGTCGTCTATCTGTGATCACCTGTTAGAGTCAGGTCATTTAGCCCCACGTGACTCATCTTTCAAAGTTATCTACATGGCAAAATCGAATCGCTCCAAAAGTTTACGTTTTCTTCACTTATGCAAAGGTGAAGCTTTAGCTATACATGGACAGAAACCTAAATTATGTGTTCAAAAACGTTTTGTCAAACCCCTTTCTTTACCTTGGTCATAGTAATGTTCTTTCTAGCTTTTGCTTTATTTTATTTTACCACTTTCCACTTCACTTCACATCTTCATTCTTATCGTAATCGTACTCTTATTTTATAAAATTTTTAGACAACACTTGACATTTTTAAAACATTTTTCAATTCACTTATAAAACAATCTTTAATAATTTTGTAATTTATCCACTTCAACTCTACCCCTTATAACATTTTAATTATCGTTATTCTTATCACATATATGTATATTGACTGAGCAATAATCTAGTGCCACTTAATGGCCTTTTCTGTAATATAAATACGACTGTACAGCTTGAAAATGAAGTCGTTGAAAAGAAATTTCTTCGCTGAACAAAAACTGTGTTTTTACTTATGAATAAATGGGTATTTTTCGTGATTTAAAAGAATCGAAATTAAATTACTAGTAGAAAGTGAAAAGTAATAACTTACTTTCCGATAATAGGCGGCAATCTGTTAGAGAGAGAAAATGGAAGACAATTTATAATTATCTGTATGTAAGAAATAACAAACACAAAGTTAATATCTTTAAATGAAGTCACTGGAGGCGATACGAGGCAAGAAGGAACACCACTCAGAGAAACACACACAAAGGGGATACTGTTATTATTATTATTACTCGCGAATTGTATTTTCAGCCCTTACCAATCCTTTTCAACTTAAGAGTATAAAAGACAATCATTTCTACCTTCTCACTGTTTGATGTTAGGTAAATTTGAAACTGCTGTAAGTGGTACATATATATCAAATTCAAAACAATGGCATATTTTGATTGGACACTAGCCAGTAAGTAGTGTGATGTGTCTAGTCCTTTCTTTAGTGCAGACTGAATTCTATAAGTCAGGTTTCCATTGTGACGACAAGCTACCTAGAATGGTGGCCACATTGCAACCTTGACTGACAGAATTCAGTCTGCACCAAAGAAAGGATTGGACGCATCACACTAGTTGCTGGCTAGTGTACAATCAAAGTATCCAATACAGTCCTACAGGAGGTCACTGGTAACGTCTCTGGCTGCAGCACTGAGTGACGCGGGTTCGAATCTTAGAAAAGACACGAGTTCCTTCAAGATTGCAGATACGCCTTGCTGACTGCCGAGTGCCATCTAGCACGAAACCTAGGTCAGGCAAGGCCTCCTGCCGATTGCATCCAACCATCTGATGTCAACAATGGCGTACTGTTATATTATCTTTCTACCACTGATCAACGAAGTCCTAAAATTCTGGTAGTGAAAAGTAGTTTGTGACGATCCACTTAAGTTAACTTTCCCCTATCTTTAACGTTTAGTATTTGCGTCTAAGATGTTCTTTTCGTCAGATTAGTGCATGAGGAGTCGAACCCATCACCAATCGCTTCAAACTCTAAGGTGTTATTCACCAGGAGACGCGGCCAAAAGAATGATGCCTTATGCAGTGGGTATCACTTGTTATTTTGGATTTCCTGATCATTGATTAAACTGGACAGAAAGACTCGGTGCTTGGTCGGTTCGCACACTTATCGATAATAGGCAAAACAACGAATCATTTATGAAAAATTATTAAATTTTCCAAAATATCATAACATAGATCATGTTTAGCTGTTAGCTTTCAACATAAAGAATGATTTCTTGTATAGAGAAATGTAACACCGATACAACTATGAATTATTCAAAGCCTAGAAGCTCTAAAAGTAGACTATTTAGGGTATCCAAAGATTTGTAAAGAATCACAAGATAGAGTGTAACAAATAGAATCATCAAAAACATATATATTTATATAAATACTGTGTACTACAATCACATGAATCGAATCCTGTGTAGATTTCTCTCCTGATTTGACTACCCGACCTAGTCAATAATGAAAAATTAACTCACTCTGAATAATGACCCCTAATTAGTAAAAAAATAAATTCGATTGAATTTATTGAAGATTATGAAAGGTAGGACAGTAAAAGTTGTCATGAAATACTGTTTCTAAAGTAAACAAAGTTATCAGTGAGTGAGTTGTTGTATTTTACTGATTATTCTTCCAAACTGTTTTCATCTGAACTCCTTCCATTCGCACTACATGATACTTCGAAATCACTAAGTTAGTGTTGAAAATCCACTGGTATTTTATTTCCTTAATATTATTATACCCTTGGGTTACGAGTGGGACATAGGGCTTCATCAGCACATCACAATTTCACTCTGCTCTCTACAGTCTTGATAAACTGACTCCATGATCGCCAACGTGAGCTTTCATTGCTTCTTTATACGATGATCTCTTACATGTCACCCTGTGCTGACTACTTGGTCGTTCCCCAGTCGACTTCCTCCCCAGGGCGTTAAGCGTAATGCCACTCAACAGTTTCTTCAGTGTGCGTTCCTTCCACTTCTGTTTTCTTCTGTATATATGTTACATGAAACGTTTTTGATTTTTTTGTTGCTTCTCCGTGTTATTTTAGGCATTAGTGTAATTCTGTCGTCTGACTTGTGGGAAATGGACTTATTCTATGGGAAACTTGAGTGTCCTAATTTAAATCTACGATGAAAGAGCCTTACTGGAAGGTCCTTGATTAGGAGGAAGTAACCTTTTTCAGTCATCTTCCGTATTTAACTGTTGTCCAGCTGGTATATATTGGTGAATATGTTTACCGGATGAAATTATCAGTTTAAGTTTTATTTATGAGAAGTGTTCACTGGTCTTCTATGAACACTATTTTTACTATACTGTGAAAATTACCTTTGTTGCCAAGCCATGTTTTCAAATGAACTAATCCGACTTTCATATCAAATGAAAATACCAATAACGCTTCATAAACGTGATAACACATTCACAGGAAAAATTTTTTATTATAGCTTGATTCCACACAGTATTGCTGGTACAATTGTGGAATTTTCAGCATGTGATATCGGTAGTCCAAATTCAGCAGGCAGACAATTGATATCAGGTACGTGTCGGCGAGGGATCAGACCCTGGACCATGTGCATGGTCGGCTAGCGAATGGAAGGGTTCCCTTTTGAGAATTATGAAAGCTGCGTAAAGTGAAAAGTATTTCCGCTCGACTACATAGATGTTCAGCTGTTTTCATCTTCCTCTAATGCCGTATTCCATTTAGTTATTCTTTTAGTAGGATGATATTTGATACAAAAATTGCATGTTAATTCTTTAAGTAAAAATGACTTGATTTAGAATGACAAGTGGAACAAGTGAAATAATACCAGGGACAGTTAAAAGTGAGAGTAGTAATAGTAACAATTGACGTAATAAGGAAGAGTATACAAATTGAATAGACAAAAATGAAAAATTGGAAAATTGGTAGAGCTAAAATATGATTGGGGATTTCCATACTTTAGCATAGAGGGATTAAGACCATGAAAGTTGGAGGGGTTGAACGAACTTTTCTGTTTCGATAGCCAAAGCATCAGCAATACAGATGAGTTGGGTACGTAGGGATTTGGGTAAATTACTCTTTGCCTTGAAGATGACTTTGAAGGCGGAGGCTATAGAGATAGGGTGATCATTATCGACTCATCTGTATTGCTGATGCTTTGGCTATCGAAACAGAAAAGCCAGATATCTGTGTACAGAAAAAAGTTCGTTCAACCCCTCCAACTTTCATGGTCTTAATCCCTCTATGCTAAAGTATGGAAATCCCCAATCATATTTTAGCTATACCAATTTTCCAATTTTTCATTTTTGTCTATTCAATTTGTATACTCTTCCTTATTACGTCAATTGTTACTATTACTACTCTCACTTTTAACTGTCCCCGGTATTATTTCACTTGTTCCACTTGTCATTCTAAATCAATTCCTTTATGCAACATTAAATTCTATGCTATTAAATTTCACACAATATTACGTAACGTTTTTATTTTGATCTTATAATTGCACACCTTTTTCAAGTTCTATCCATCCTATGAATTATTCTATATATGACATTAATTTGCTTTGCCACTTGACATTTAACTACGATTATAATTTTATCATTCACACTATGTTCAATTCCCTCAGATATAACTTCTTAAAACCATATATATACGATTGTCATTAATATATGTATATGACAATAATTTGCTCTGCCACTTGACATTTAACTACGATTATAATTCTTTAAGTAACATATAAGCCTAAGCCTTGTATACTGAAATAAAACTGAAATCTGATTGGCAAATAAGTCTTGTCGGTAAACTTTACTCGTAACCTAAAAGTTTGAAGTTTACTGTAGTCTGTATTACAGTAGCAAATCCAATTCGGTATACCCGTACAATGAAATAGTCTGCCATCTTAAGACTATTATTGATATTATTATCAGTGAAACTTTGAGAATAAGTTAATGTTGAGCAGTCTTCTTCTTAATATTCTTTTTCACTGTTCAGTCATAGTTGTTGCCTTCGCTGGACAATGAAGATCAGATTTTTGACCATAAATTACAAGCAACAAGAAACTCTGACAACGATGAGCCAACCGACAAATATGCAGAAGGTAACATAAGGAGGTAGGATATACACCGAGGAATCCGGTGAGTGACATAACAAACCATACCCTCGATTGAAACTCGAATGACAGGCGACGAGTTGTGTATGGTGGGTCCGTGGATGACATGAAGAAGACCGTGTGAGGGAGAGATAAAAGCTCATAAGCAATCGTTTGTTTGAGATTACTGTTAGGTTATTCTAACTAGTGGTGCTGAGTTATGCAAACCTTTTTTCCAACCAAGGCTTCCTATTAATTGCCCTACAACATGACAGTGTTTGTAATAAGTACCTACATTATACACACTTGATCGACTGACCTAGTTCAATTCTTATGAAGTTTTGCTGATTTGGCCACCGATTAACAAAAATTATGCCAAACACCACAGACAACCAGAATTAGTGTGGCATATAACTGCAACGTATACATTATTTAATTTGTATGTGAATGTATATATATATATATGTTTCAATAAAATCTGAGTGATTCTACAGCTTACCCAGCTAGACCTGTGAAAATTAGAGATAACATTACGTAATGGTTTGCTTGATGTGGCAGCTTAATGTTGGTAATTTAGACAGTATGTTCTGACTGATTATACAATAAAGTTCCCTGAAGTTCTCTGTTGAGGAGCCGTAACCATTGAGCTCCACCAATTCCTGTGAAGGAACAGATACTCACCAATGACATTGGCCATCACTTGTGTTATAATATCGAGAACCTGCAGGAGCCAGAATTCATATACTGTCAGTTTGATTCTATGCTAGTGGCTGAGTAGTTGACGCGCTCACCTCATGAGGTGCACGTACTGAGTTCGATGCTTGGTGCTGTCATGTGTGCATACTGCTAAAGAATCCTTAACTAGGATGAAACAACTGTCCAGTGTTCTGCGGTTTTCGATGTTTCTACAATTGAAGTCATTTCCTAACCCAACTTAAAAGCATACTCAAATAGATAATATGGCTTCTATAAAGGTGTTTTTTTCTCAAGATGGTAATACTTATTTTAATTATCCTTTCTTTTGACGAAATGCACACAATCTGAAGTAGAATTCTACATTGATTTATATTATACTGTTGGTTGTGTAAAGGTTATAACTATCAACTCAAACAGCCTATTTGAACGATTTGTCTCAGTGAGCCTTACTGATCCGAGTAGAGCGATGTCCAGCTTTTCCTAAAAGGAGAAAAAGAACATTTTGGTGGTTCGACGATAAAGGCCCGACAAGCAAATACAATTAGTGGATCTGAATGATTATTAAATGCCACCCAGATTATTCAGCTGCGTAAATCAGACAAAACTCTACAAGGTATTTTCTATGTTTAAGTCTTTTGCATATAAAGCTATGCAACAGTACTCTTGCACCAGAAAGCATTTGATTTGATTTGACGTGATTTAATTTTATTTATTTTTCGCGCTCGCGAACACTACCCAGCCTGGCTAGTAAAAGGAGACCGAAAACGTGTATACAGTTCAGTGACAGAACATCTGGTCAACTCAGGAAATTCAGCGCCTTTCGAAAAATCCTTCAAAGTAATATACAAAATTCAATCAAACCTATCAAAGGGAATCAAACCAAGACATCTGGGCATAGCTGAGGCGCTAGCTATCCAAAAGCTGAAACCCACACTTTGTATCCAAAAGAATTACGTCCAACCCCTGTCCCTGCCATGGCCATCATAAACAGGTAAAAAATTTTTAGTAATGACAATCTCATCGCCATTCTTATCTAAACTTCCTGTTTATTCATGTTATTTTAGGTTTTTCTTAATCCCTGTCCACACTACAATATTTTCATATCCACTCTTCCTGCTTATTTTGTCATTTTACTATTTCTACATAGTTAATCCCTGATTGCATAAACAATTATTCATCATATTAGTTTTTTATCCAGACATCCTGTATATTTTGTTATTTCTACATTTCTAACCCCCAATTGCACAATGTCAATCTTCTTAGTTGTTATAATGCTACTTTGTTCGAGTGTTACCCATCCCCCCTGTTTGTTATGTCATTTTAATTCCTAATTGTAATTTTTTATTAATTTGACCCCTAACCAGAAATTATTCTGGAACTTTCCTATCCATTTGATATAAATACACGAATGTACAGCCTAGATGATGACTTCGTCGAAAAGAAAATTTTCTTCGCTGCAATTGTCTTTTTATTTCAAGAATGCTGACTAACAGTGGAATCCACGATGTGTATTTCGTCCTATTTGAGGTCGCCCAGCTGGATGCATCTGATATTCTCAGTGAGTGATGGGGTTCTCACTGAAACTCGATCCAAGTGTCGGTCGTTATAAACTCCAGGCCTTGCCCAGGTTGAAGGTACCTCTAGATGACAAATCCTAAATAGGAAGAAATGTGAGTTATCTATCCCACTGCGAGTCACCATTTTTACCAATAATTTGAACAAATAATGACCTACTGTTAGCCATGGACTCATGTATGTGCGTGTGTGTGTGTATTTGAATCGAATGAGTATCAATGAAGTAAAGTAAATCTCAAGCTATCACATGACTGTGATCACTGTGAAAGACCAGCTACAGAAACTCTTCTAACTGTTCATTTTTCAAATACAGTATAATTATATTTCAGTAGTTTACACACAATGATAACTGTTTTGTTATTGGTAATATTTCGAGCAGAAATTACTGCCCGTGTTCACACACCAACTGTTGGAATTGTTTGATTCACACATTTATGATTTGTACTCATAGTTCATGATTTTTGCCCATTCCTGATTTCTTTTTTGTATTTAAGTTATATTCCACGTTCATTCATGTTTTTGCATTGAGAATTATATTCCAAGTTGTTGATAGTTGTGCTGAGTCACCCTTGTTACATGTATCCGGTCGGTGTGACTTTAATGAATATCGATTCTGTTATAAGTCTTTCTTTCCATTTGTTCATGTTAGTTTTTGCAATACACACATTGTCCCAATCGATATTGTGGTTTTTTTCCCATGCATGTGCAGCTATAGATGAATTTTTTTCAAGATTTTTGTAGGGTTGTGTTCCTGTTGGTTGACCTTTGGTTAGGCGTTTATGTTCATTCACTCTTACTTTGAATGATCTGGACGTTTGCCCCACATATTTAGTCGGACAGTCAGCACAAGATATTTTATAAATCAAGTTGTTTTTATCCATCATTTTTATGGGATCTTTCATTTGATTTAATTTATTTTTGATTAGATTTGTCGGTTTGAAAGTTGTGTGAATGCCGATATTTTTGAGGTTTCTTTGAATTGCCTCTGATGTACCATTTTTATATGGTATTGTGACTGTCTTTTTGCATTCTTCCATCTTGTTATTCTCCGGTTTTACCCTCTTTTTTCTCTTTTTTATATTATCTTTTATAAATAGCTGCACATGCAGCATGGGAAAAAAAACCACAATATCGATTGGGACAATGTGTGTATTCTGAAAAACTACCATGAACAAATGGAAAGAAAGACTTATAATAGAATCGATATTCATTAAAGTCACACCGGATACATGTAACAAGGGTGACTCAGTACAACTGTCAACAACTTGGAATATAATTCTCAATGCAAAAACATGAATGAACGTCGAATATAACTGAAATACCAGCTCGCATTTTTAGACATACTTCTGAGTCGAAGAGACGATGGCTCAATAAGACGGTCTATCTACAGAAATCCCACTTGGACAGGGCAATACCTTAATTTTCACAGCTTCTGTCCATTACAATATAAGAGAAGCTTGGTGAAGTGTCTATTTAAGAGGATTCAGCGTATTTGCACAGCTGATGTTATAGACAAGGAAAACGAAATATTGATGGATACTCTTGTTGAAAACGGATATCCTGTGAAGTTTTCAAACAGGTGTAGAAGTCAACTAGCCTCTAAACCTACAATCCATACCGTCCCTAAGAAAAAGGTTTTCATCAAATTACCATATAATGGGGAAATAAATAGTAGGATTTTGAGGCAAAGGTTGAATTCCATCATCCGTAGAACCTACTATGTAGCCCAGCTTGTAATTGTCGAAAAGGCTAAAAATATGCTTCACTGGAAACCTCAAAAGTGCACAAGTGATTATATCACATCCCATACAATTTACCAATTTTCGTGTGTGTGTGGACATACATACATAGGGAGGAGTAATCGCGCATTGCACGTGAGGGTGGGAGAGCATATCCCAAAGTGGTTAGGAAAACAGATGAATTGTGACAAGCCTATAGATGCAGGTGCCAGACTACCAACTTCGTCTATAGCTAAACATTTAATCGAGATGAACCATATGGTTGATGTTAACTCAGCCTTTAAGGTCATCTATAAAAACGGTCAAGGACGTTTATTGAAATACGCTGAGGCTATAGCCATTCATAAACTTAAGCCCCCCTTGTGTATTCAAAAACAGTTTGTTATTACTCTTAACCTACCTTGGTAATCCTTATTTGATTGGATTACCAAACGTTTGTGTTAATTATTCTTAATTCTTTTTTTGTCACCTTGTTTAATTTAACCTTTCCATATATATTGACTTGACAAGTAAATGTGTGATCAGATTGTTCGAAATGTATAGCGCTAATACATCACATTTTTCAGATAATCTCCGTCTTCTAATAATGCTATCAAAATTTATAAAAGGGACTAACTGTTTTAAATACAAAAAAGAAAACATGAATGGGCAAAAATCATGAACTATATGAACTATGAGTACAAATCATAAAAATGTGTGGATCAAACAATTCCAACAGTTGGTGTGTGAACACGGGCAGTAATTTCTGCTCGAAATATTACCACCAATAACAAAACAGTTATCATTGTGTGTAAACTATATTGAAATATAATTGTACTTAATTTGATCTAATCCACAATGCTCAAACTTTTTACTGATGTTCCTTTTTTCAGTTAGCCGTATTTAGTTAGCTTCAAGTAAACAGTCATGATGTATGAAAGAATACGCTTCATGTGCGTGGATAACAATTTTAATAATATTGTAATTAATATCAAATGCTGAAACCACAGGACTTTAATTTACTCTACAAAAATAACAAATAACAAATGTAACACAGTGAAAAATGCTGAAGGCAAAACTTTATCTGCTTTATACTTACCTCTATCCAGGGAGATTGAAATGCAGATAACTATGAGTAGAATTGAAGACTTCATATCGACAGATAACTCTTAATGTGTTTATGAATAACCTTCTGAAATATATGTCATGATATTTATAGACTTTCATGTGGAACTGTGTAAAAATAATGACATGTAATTTGGAGACAGAACACCTGTTTTTTCTTCTATAAGCTAAATTAAAAATAAAAATCTTATATTTGATTGGCTGTTTGGATATTTGTTACCTTGAGAATACTCCTATTGGCCTATTATATCACAGGGGTTCAAGGCCACTTCGTGTATTAGCTAATAAGATGCAATTGTCTTTCACTAGGTAATATAGTAAAATTTCGAAATTTGATATGGAAAACGAAGGGTTGATTGATTGGGCAGGCGATTATTTCCTTAGCGGTTTTAACCGACCTGTTGTCTTCACCAACCGACGCCTTCACTGGCATGATGTAGCCCACTGTTTCATTTTACAATGCTGGCTATTCATAGGGGTATACGTGAGAATATCTGGTAATGATCCTTCTGCAGATTCATCTACGGAAACCTTGTTACGACTTTTACTTCTTCTAACTAAATAGTAAGATTAAGTCGTCTTCTCGGCATCAGTCGAGAGGCAAAGCCACTAGAACGACACCGATCCAATGACTTCACTAAATCATTCAATCGGTGATAGAGACTTGAAGTGTCTACAAAGGGCCAGGACGTGGTCAGAGCAAGCTTATGACTTCCACGTACCAGGAATTCCCCGTTCATGCGAAATAACTGCAAGCCACGATCCAAATCACGACGGTGATTAAACAATCTGCCCAAACCTTTCCGAGGAGGTTCCCAGACTCTCTGGTACCATCACTGCAGCGTACCTGTGGCTCCGGACATCTATGGGCGTCACAGACCTCAATTCTGTACAACTTCAATGTGCTGTCTGTCCCTCTAGTAAGCAAATACTGGCACCACACCCACCGGATTACGACCACTCTACTCCATGAAGAAGCAACGGAAGCCGCTCCCTGAACGAGCACAAAGGACCCATCTAATATTTAGTTGGTTAAAGTCTTGACTGTTTTCGGTATTAACCAGGAAAATCACTCAGCAAAATAATAATGGCTATGCACGACCATCTAACGAATCAAGAAAGAGCTTTCAATCTGTCAGTCCTAACAGTGTGTAGGTCAGGTGGGTTTTCCCGCGTTGAGTTGAATTAAATGACATGCTTAACTCCTGGTAGTGCCCTTACGTCAATTCTTTTAAGTAACAGCCTTGCAACCATACTTCTTTCGGAGCTCAAAGGCTCAAAGGTTTCCCGGGGACTGCCCGCAATGTCAATTACAGAACCATCGCGGATCGTCAGCTGACATCGTTTATGGTTGGAACTATGACGGTATCTGGTCGTCTTCAAAACTTTGACTTTCGCTCCTGAGCAACGGAAGCATTCTTTCCAAATTCTATAGTCTGTCTGGCGATGATCCCAGAATTTACTTCTAACACCGTCATACAGTTACCCCCGTCTGTCCCTCCTAACCTGTACCTCGCATCCGAAAACTAACAAAATAGCACTAAAGTCTTATTTAATTATTCCACGCAAGAATTTCTAAGAACACAGACCCGTCTTGAGCACTCTAATTTGTTCAATGTAAAGATGCCGTCCGCTGCCAGCACCCAGTTGAAGACATCAGGAAACCTACCAACAGATAGCGGGAAAAACAAGCTCATAGATCTCTGTCAGCACCCATTTACACAGATACGGCTGAAAGGCTGCATGGCCACACTTGTTCTGAATCTAATCAAGACCGCGAACAAGCAACGGCGTGCAACCACACAACCCATGTTCAACTACAAGATTTTTAACTGTAGCAGCTTTAATGTACGATTTTGGAGCTGCAGTTACCGTGGCCGATGACACCAGACTTGCCCTGGAATCGGTCTTCATTAAAGGATTTAAATTGTACTCACTTGAATTACAGAGCCTCAGCTGAGTCCCATATTCGTACTTCTCGTCACTACCTTCCTGTGCCGGCAGTGGATAATCTTCGCGCCTGCTGTCGTCCTTGGTGTGGTAGTCATTTCTTAGGCTCCCTAACCTATTATTGTCATACATACTAGTGACGACTTGGAATCCCTATCATTTATTATGTAGGGTGAATTTTAATTTCAAATATCCAGATAGCAAAGATCCTGGACCTATCGCTGGTTTCACAAGACTAAGTTTAATACGCAGAACAACAGAAAACGGTTGGATAACACGACTGTTTATTCTTCAACCGATAACTAAACGGATTTACAATTGTTACTCAGTGCCGAATTCTATAAATAAATGTTGATATAACGTACAACAATACCTCTCAAATAATAGAGAAGATTTGTAGCTCAGGTGGATGATTTGCAATTAAAAGTGTTCTCTGAGCTGGTTGGTTTAGTCGCGAAGCTTTCATCGTCCTTCCGGACAACATCTTCAGCGCCATATTTAGACTCTGTGCTAAATATGGCGCTGAAGATGTTGTCCGGAAGGACGATGAAAGCTTCGCGACTAAACCAACCAGCTCAGAGAACACTTTTAATTGCAAATACCTCTCATAGTATTTCTGTAATCTTCTGCCAAACAGTACACGATTAAGCAATGATAGCCTTCTTGTCTCCCACTAATATGAAGACCAGTCCGAACAAACAAACGCTTCAGTGTCCACCAGCATTGATATAAGTGTTTATTAAATATTATTTATGAAGTTAAAGGTTAATTTTAGTATCTTCGGAATGTTTAATCTATATACTCTGTTTAAATTTTGAAACCTATGGATTCACAGAACGGTTCCTTAATCCTGAAACCTTAAAGAATATACTTGATGGTGCTGTATGCAGAGAGACATTGTGACTTATAGTAAGCATAAAATATCATCCTACTGTGAGATAACATACAGGCCACCCAGATCGCACATAATCGGTTGGCGATTAGTCTCTGTAAGTATGTTATATACTTTGCTCTTTCTAAGTACTACGTATCGTTACAACATTGGGAGGAGCCTTTATCTGCAGTTACTGTCACAGAGAGCCGTTTGAAGTAATCGTTAGGTCAAGTCAAGTTGGAATACGACAGCTTGACGTTATGCTAGCCATCAAAGATTAGATTTAGAATGCTTCGATGTTCATAGTCTCAAAATAGTCAGCTCTTGTCAGAAACCTATTCGTAGAACTAAAATACCTACTTAATAGAATTATTGATCAGGTAATACAAGAATGATCTAATATAGAAACAAAGTTAATCAGACAGCAACTAAAGTAAGATTGAGTTAGTAAGTTAGATGACGCAATATAATTGACCAAAATGTTCCAACTTAGATCAGGGTAGCAACAGAGGTAATTACAGGTAGAGACTAAGTAGAAGTGAAATTGAGCAAATAAGTTGGATGACGTAACATAAATGACTAGAAATTGAGCGTTGTTCAAGTCAGTAACAGTGGTAGTGAGGTGTAGAAATTGAATCGGGTGACGGTAGAGAACAAGAAAGTTGAAAATGTAAAATATTACAATTGAGAAGACAAAATAATACTAATGAAGAGACAGAAAAAAAGATAAGGTAGAATTTACTTGTCGGCTAATAAGATAGATTATGTCCATTGCAAGTGTAGTGATTGAACGAACTTCTTCTGTATGCAGAGTTCAGGACTTAGCAAGTGAATCGCCATTGCTTCTGCAGTTTGAAGAAGTCTGATTCGTACACCTTTAGGAAGACTACTTCTTAATCTGTAGACGACTTTGAAGTTTGTTTGCAGTGTAGTTTGGTGTCCTTATTCTATCAGATATTCTAAGATGGAACTGCGGGGGCATCCATTTTCTCCTTTGTAAAACCACGTTGGTAAGTGTTCGGTGATACGTTTGGAAAGCGAGCATTGGGTACTGCCGACATACCTGGCTCCACACGAGCAAGTGAATTGATAAATACACATTGATGAGGCCAGCAGCGGTAGCTTATCCTTCACGTTCATATGAATCATAGGTTTTGTGGAGAAGGTTAGTCGTAGTTCAGCTGCGAAGAAGGTCTTCTTAAGTGAGCGCGACAGTCGATTTTTTAGTGTTTCCGCAGATAAATCTCCATTGAATTGAAGGTTCATGTAGAGTAGTTTTTTCGGGACGCTAAGCATGGGCGGCTTTTCTGGTCTAGGATTCATAGATTTTGCAATAAATCTTTCTGGATAACAATTCTCGACGAGGATTCTCTTGAGATTGTCCAGTTCATCTTCTATGGTGTCCGGGGTGCAAATTCTGCGAACTCTGTAGCTGAGTGAACGGATCAGGTTTCGTTTAGTGTATAGGGGTACCCGACTGTGAAAGTTATTAAGCTTTCCGTTCCACTTCGATTTTATGTAGATTTTATGCAGTGTTCCATCCTGTTCTCGTCTTGTTAGTTGGACGTCAAGAAAGGATATTTTGGAGTGAACTGAATCGCGGGGTGGCAGTTGTTAAACGACTTCAAGATGTCGTCTAGATTTTCTTCATTGTTGACGATAATGAAAGTGTCGTCGACGTATCTCTTATAGATTTCAAAGGTATCGATCATTTTCTACCTGTAATTACCTCTGTTGCTACCCTGATCTAAGTTGAAACATTTTAGTCAATTATATTACGTCATCTAACTTACCAACTCAATGTTACTTCAGTTGCTTTCTGATTAACTTTGTTTCTATATTAGATCATTCTTGTATTACCTGATCAGTTATTTAAACTTGACAAACCTCATGTACACACACACATAAAAATTAATAGAATTATGTGGAGAATTTCATCATGAGCTGACATCAGTTAGAGAACCACTGGAAAACCTGGCAGTACTGGACAGCTGTTTCGTCCTAGTTTGGGACTCATCAGCAGTACGCACCCACCGGGATTCGAACCCAGGACCTCCTGGTTACAAGGCAAGCTCGTAGACCATTGAGCCACTGGGACCCGATCCAGTGGTCCTTGAATTCTAACTTCTGCCAATTCACGACATAGCGCGACCATTTCGCAATGTCTTCTTAGATGAGTTACTGCCTCATCTCCAACCTGCTGTACCTGATGAAATCCTCCACGCAATCAAACAAAATCCCTACAAAACCAATACCTGAAAATAATAGAATTATCCTTTATCGCTTGAGCTGATA